AAAATATAAAAAGAAACAAATCTCAAACAAAAATAGACATTTAATCAACAAAAAAAAAACCATTTCCCCATCCCAACCCAATGCCGCCCCCACAAAAACCTTTACACGTCATAGTCACACAGGACAAGCAACACACAGATTCACTCTCACAAAAACCCAACAAAACACAGATTCAAACTCATAAAACGTCCATTATATTCCCATTTCCATTTCCATCCTTACACACGGTATATACTCGCTCCGCCTAACCTGCCGACTCCTGAGCCGCGGAGCCGGTTCGGATCGCCCAGGCACATGTGCGTGCGGCATCAGTAACGGCATGTCATCAGCATCCCCAACACCAAGCCCCATTCAAACGAGCTCACACCGAACGAACCAGCCCATCAATCCCAAACCAAACCGCGCGTAAAAACGTAGAAGATGGGAAGAAAAAAAATGCCCAAGCTTGTAAAAGCGAGAGAGAAAAATCAACAAAAAGAAGGATACACAGAAAAGGAAGAAAAAAAAGAATGAGGGTATCAAGCCACAGATGAACAGTTTTCTTCACACAGACAAACAGTCATACACCAAGACTAAAAACAACAAACTACGCTCGAGGATGCAAACCAGGCCTCCCCTCGCCGTGCCAGACGAATTTCAAAAAAAATAGTAGGCATTCCCCGCGCGACACGCTCAGGTAAAGTGGGGCGCATTCAGCACGATACCCATGGACAAGCCGCCAATGGTGCCGGCAATGGGAATGGTCATGATCCAGGAAAAGACGAGCAGGGCCACACGTTGCCAGTTGACGGCCTTCCAGGTGCCGTTGCAGAGGCCGACGCCGACGGTGGCGCCGGTGATGCACATGGAGGTCGAGACGGGGAGGGAGTATTGGGAGAAGATGAGGACGGTGAGGGCGGCGCCCATTTCCATGGAGCAACCTGCGGGTGGGGGTTAGTACATGTGTTTGTGAGGTGAGGTGGGATGAAAAGGGGTGCAAACACGTACCTCTGCTAGGAGAGTGGTAGGTAATCTTGTTACCCATGACCTTCATGATGTTGTAGCCGTAGGTGATGAGACCGAGGGAAAGGGTGGCAGAGAGAACGGCCAACTGCCAGATGGGGACGGGAGCCTTGGAAGCGGCCGCGTTGCCCGTGTTCCATGCCGAGTAGATGACCGCCCAGGGACCGACTGCGTTGCCAATGTCATTGGCACCGTGGGCAAACGAGGCAGTGCAGGCAGTGAGAACTTGGACAAACGAGTACGTGTGCTCGACCTCGTTGGCGTACTTTTTGGCGTGGCCGTAGACGCGCTCCATGCGCTTGCCCTCGGGCGTGCCGTGGATACCGGTCTGGGCAGCATGAATGTCATAGTTGACACCGTAGAGGGCGCCAACGCAAAGCATGGCGGGAATGCGCTTGACAGTGATGAGCATATTCTTCTTCTCGTACACCTCACCGCTCGTGATCCTGTTCTCGTGGAGATAGCGCATGGCCCATCCGAGGAGACCGCGTCTGGTCCTGAGCTTGGCGTGGAAGCGCTCCTCACCCTGGGCGACGAGTTCGTGGTAGCTGAGTTGGGGAGACTCGGCCACCACCGTGCCCTTTTCATCAATGACGTGGATGCCATTCTCTTCGTCGCTGTGGAGGGAGGCTGGCTTTAACTCGTCATCGTGCTGGACGACGGCGTAGTCGGGAACGACGGCAGCATCGGCGCCCTCGAGAGCAGGGCGGCGGAAGAGAAGAGGACCCTGGAGGCAGTGGTACCAGCGGACAGTGTGGTCGCGCTTGACCACCTTGGCGTGCAGGTAGGGGACGAAGAAGAGGAAGGACAGGGCAGCCAGACCGACACCCGCGCAGACGGTGACGGTGGCGACAAACGAGGCGGGCCTCTTGTTCAGACCGAGGTTGGGCGATCCCTTGTATACAATGGAGAGCGTGCAGACGGTACCGGCGATGAGAAAGAAGAAGGGGGCGGTCCAGATGGCCCATGGGATGGGGTTCTTGCGCAGGTGGACAGTCAACTTGATCAGCATGAAGATGGTCGCCCCGAAGAAGGCAGAGGCAGCAGGAGCCATTCCAAGACCAGCAAAGATGGCACCGAGACCCTTGCCTTTGTTCCAGCCCCATTGAACCTGGGAGGCACCCGCCACGGCGACACCGACACCAGCAACAGAGGAGATGAGCGAGTAGGAAGACGAGACGTGGGCCGAGTGCCTGGTGCACCACATCACCCAGATGGAAGCACCAGCGAGGGCGCAAGTAAAGGCAAGCATCTGGACGCCGGCGTTGTCCTGGAATGCACTGTTGGGGATGATGCCGTTCTTGATGGTATCGGCGGTACGGGCACCGACGGTGATGGCACCAACCATTTCAAAGATGGTTCCGAGAATCATGGCCTGGCGGTAGGAAACCGAACGGGAGGAGACTGAAGTGGCCCACGCGTTGGCGACATCGTCTGGAAGGCTGTTAGATGGGGGGTTCTTGTGTGTGAGAGGATAATGACAGATACTTACTGGCACCGTTGTTGTAGGCGTCGAGCAGGGCAAAAAAGGTGCCCAGTGCGAAGACATAGTCGAACTGAGTGAGGCGTGGCATGGTGAGTGACACGCAGCGAGGGAAGCTGGCTCAGCTAGGGGGGGGGAGAGACAGATGTATATATATACAGAGAGAGAGAGAGAGAGAGAGAGAGAGAGAAGTAGAAAGAGAAATTGAGACGGAGAGGAATCAATCAACAAAGAGTGGTGATTTCCAAGTGAGCTGGAGCTGGAAAACAGTAGCAGTCTAGTATGAGAGAGAGAGTATACGTATATATATATATATATATATACATATACATACCTACATGACATGGCTTGCGGCCAGACCAGGCCTGCATTCGGCGGCTGGTAGTAGCAAAGCCAGTCGGCCAGCCAGCTAGACAGGTTGAGACGCTGTTGCGTGAGAGCGAGAACTTGTGCCCATGTCTACGATGAAATCAGACCATGATTGGGAAGCCATGGACAGAGTGGACTCTGGTGGAGGATTCGCCTGTCTGGCCCTCCTTGTACAACGACAGCCTATCAGAAGGCCGGGCCAGCGCATGTGCGACTTGCACAGTGTACAGGATGCCAGTTCCGGGGGCTGTCCCGGCGTGGCCCATTCAAGGGCGTGGTCGGTGCCGTGGTCGGTGCCAAGGAGCGGATGTCTTGGCCCACGGAAAGACCGAGCAAAGTGAGACTTTCCTGTCGAGGTGAAGCGTGTGCCCCGGGTGGGATAAGCAACTCTCTTGGGCGTGGTGGATCCTCGACCGCGCTGGAATGCCGTGTCAAGCCTGGACTGCGGCGCTTGGCGGGCGTTTTGCGTCTCTTGGGGTTGTGTCTTGGGAGGGCGCGCGTTGCCTTGGAGGGCGATGGAGACGTGTTGGAGTGACGGGCTTGTGGGGTGAATTGGGGGGAGTGTTGAGAGAGGGCCCGGCGGCGGCCCATGTCGTCGCCAGGGGAAGCTGGTTGAGTTGAACCAATGACCGGCCTGCCTCTGTCAACGTGGGCTCTATCTCGACTACAGCTCGTCCACGACCACAATGTCGACCTCGACCATGTCAGACGCTGCATTCCCGCATTCCCATATTCCATAGCTCGACCCTGTTTTGCTTCTTTTTTCTTTTTTTTTTCTTTTTTTCTTCTTCTTCTTCTTCTTCTTCTTCTTCTCTCTTTTGCCATGCACATGCAAGCTTTTCCCCCACATCGTACCTATAGCTAAAGCACCTAGCCAAGTGAAATCTCATGTGCCCACCCTCTTCTACTATACACACCAACATACAATTGCCTCATCCCCCTCCCAGAACTTCTCCACTCATCCTCTTCGCTGATCGGCGGGCCTACAAGTGCCCTGTCCTGCCCTGCGACAGAGCACAGACAGAGGCCATCTCTCTGTATACATTATACAGCGAGCCAAGTAGGCTGGGCGTGTCTGACACAGACCGGAACGCGCCGTTGGACGAGCCCTGCCTTACCGCCTACTGTTACTGTCGCTGTCGTGTGCACACCTTCCTCCTCGTCCATGGTCCCCGTCTGCCAACCATCTGGCTGATGCCATGCTTTCTTGACTGCGCCGTGTAGATTGGCCATGGCAGCCTACTACAACCACCCTCGGCCCTTCGGCCCTTCTCTTGCCTACCTGTATGATTGGACTGTACCACAACTGCACCAGGACCGGTAGTCCCCAGAGCCTGTTGTATCAAGCACGGCTGCTTCCGAGATCCGACGAGAGCAACTGGCTGCCATTGGCCCGGATAGTTTCGTTTATCGTCCATCTACACAGTCGGTAGGTAATTCGGCTGCATCCCATTGCGGACCATCCCCTCTACCCTTACCGTACCTCTACGCCAACAGCAAGCGAGACGTACTACAGCAAGAATCACATTCGCTCTCTCAAGCCATTTACATGGGGTACACGCGTCCAAAAGAGCCCAACCCCTCACTCCCATCCTCTCCCCAACCCGCTTTCACCAATAATCCTGTAGGCCAAGTTCGCCACCCGCCATGCTCAACCCAATAACTAACCGCAACTCCAGCGATCCCGGCACACCCAGGATGCATCACTAATCCCGCTGTTTCGACCAAGACCAGACAGACAAGCACAATGCCTCATCAGCCCGGCGCACAATTGAACAAGTAGGTCATCAGGCCATGGAATTCCTGGTCCTCGACAAGACCCCGGGTTTCCTGTGGGGAAAGAGCGAGAGATGCAAAACGCCAAGGTCATGGCAAATTGGGCCCAATCGCCATTTCTTTGAATAGGCTCTCTCCTCCCTCTCACCCTTGAGTCCCCCAACCAATTGTAGAAATTCCCCAGTATAACATCGTCCCGCCCAAGAAATCTCTGGCTTCCGTGCAGTTTAGACTTTGACTTTGCATGTATATTGGCATTTGGCGTTTTATATACATCAGCTGTACCGCGCCCTTGGTATCAGTGTCGTACCACTCCTCCTCATGGCTACGGTAGTTTGTCCTGCTGCCGTTGCTGTGGAATTGTAGATTCCGTACGACGTCCGTACATGGCTCTGGAGACGAAGAATCTAGGCCCCGCCAAAGCCGTCTGAACGCGTGCCAGCGTCCAACACCACGGCATAGTGTCGACTTCAACCTTCAGCGTTCATTTTCTCATCACTGTACCTATCGAACCTAGTCACGCCGTAGAAGTTGTACTCACAAGGCGATAAACACCACTTCACACATCCATCCTCTATCCTCCATCTCCCCAAACACCCACCCACCCAACATACCCAACCCCACGTCCTTCCATACCACTCCCAACCACTCTCCCACATCCCTCGCTAAGCGTTCACTCTCGCACAGTCCATGAAAGTCAGCCAAAGGCAAAACAAAGGATTAGAGTAGATAAATCTCACCATGACGACATCACCAATGTTGGAACAATCAACAATCGCTTCCCTCAATAGCTTAGTTTCTGCGACACTTTGATTTCCATGTAACATCCAGCATCGACACGCACACGCACACGTACACGTACATTCATCCCGCAATACCGCACACCTTCACCGTCTCCCTTCCCCCCAACACCACACCCAACCGTATCCCCGCGCACAACACGGCAAAACCCCCGATTTCACGCTTCACAGTCCGTACACGGACGGTACACGGTACTTAGCCAGCGTATCTACCCATCTAGCCTAACTATCTAGCAAGCGCGAACACCAAACCGAAGTGGCGTAGGTACCAGTAAGCACTACTATCCCATGCTATGCTCTGCTGCACCAGCTAACCCATTACATCCAGCGCGCTCCCAACACCCGTAGGTAGGGTAGGGTAGGGTAGGTGAGTGCTGGTAGGCAGTGGGAGTGGGCAAGGTATAATACAGCAGAACACACGCTGCACCAGCACACGTCGAGGTTTTGACATGGACGGCAGTGAAGCAGGACCTGGGGATATGGAGGGTACAGGTTTGCGAGCTGTCGCTGGGTACCAGGAAGCCATGGTGGCTGGCTGTTAGACGCGCAGCGCACGTGGGTTGGGTGGTTGGCGTTGACTGCGTTTGGCTGGGGGTTGGTGGAAGGTGGGTGTGTCACGTGATGCTGTCACTACTGCAACTAAGTATGGCGTGGGATAGGATGACGAGGTGTTGGGTGCTGGATGTCACGTGTGGAGGTCACGTGTGCCGGTATCACATGTTACGGTACCTATACTTGAAGTTTGCAAGAGGGATATCGATGCTATATCACAATGGCAGAATATATACGTCTACATCCAGACAATAGGGGTTCACATGTACCAATCAAGCGAGCAAAGCATCCCCGAGAAAAAATTTCAGATTTGGGAGTTTGTGGATTGGCCTGGCGAGGTAGGGCAGGGGTAAGAGTCCGAGCGACGACGGTAGAGTAGATTGAGGACGGAGTATGGGGAATGAGGCTTGAGATTGTGATGATGGGGTGGGGGTTGGATGGGAATGTTGTGGGATGACAGTGAAGATGATCTCAGGAGGGGCGGAAACGGTGGTTCAACGTTCAAGTGGGATTACATTGAGTATTCAACAGTGTGTGGAATAGTGACTGTATATGGCATGGCTGCAAGGTTTGCCTACACTCCACGATTATTCAGTCTTTGGCATCCTTCATGGCCATCCAGTCTCCAGCATCGTTCATAGTAATGGAATCTTCGCCGTCCTTCACAATTATTCAATCTTCCCCATCATCGAACCCCTCAACCCTCAACCCTTACATAGCCCCATTGCCATCTTCCCCCTCTCCATGCTCCCCCTCCCCCCAAACCCACCCAACAACCCCCCCACGCGCCCTCCTCCCGAAATTCAGCACCAAAACCGCAACAACCAAGCCCTGCAGCGGCCACGCCACCGCCTTCGCCACCATGCCCAGCGCGAAAAAGTCTAGGATCAGCAGCAGGAAGAACTTCCACCACAGACCCTGCGCTGTGTCCGTCGGCCCGGCGTCTTCGGATGCGAACGCCATGGTGGGGGGCGGGTGTGTGGGTGTGAGGATCGTGGGTGTGAGAATCGTGGGTGTGAGAATCGTGGGCGTGAGGATCCTGGGTGTGAGGATCGTGGGCGTGAGGATCGTGGGCGTGAGAGATGGAGCGTTATATGTTGTGTCCATCTGGCCGAGCGATCCTGCGCAGAATGCGGTTTGTGTGGTTTTGGTGCGCGGCGGAGCGGCTATGATGCTGCGGTCTTTACGTAGAGAGGGGTTGGGGTGTGACGGCTGGACTGACGTGTCCGACGACAGCTCGCGTGGCTCGCCAATGATACCGGTAGATAAGGCGAGTGGAAGGATTGTATTGGTCGGAGCCTGAACGGCGTTTCGAGAAGATGCGCCTGCAGACTGTGTTTCCTGCTGCTCGTGAGAGTTAAAGAGGAATTGGGGTATGAGGCAAGGTGGTCGTACTTGTGCAGTGAGCTCAGTAGTGCAATCGCATTGGGTTGTGAAGGGTCCGTAATCAGGTTGTTGGACTTGGGCATCGTGACTCTACAACCAGTAATGATTCGCTGAGCGGACGGAGTAGGCTTTTGAGAATCCTCGTGTTTCTGCGTTGTCAGAGTGGCGTACTGCGCTTCTCTGGCGCCGCTGGAAGGGATCTTACTTGGTGTACCGGTAGACTTATTGTCGGCGTCGTGGTTGGAGGAAATTGTATCAGTGCTATTGTAAAATTCAAGATGCGTAATCTTTGCCTGAACGTTTGATGCAGCCGCCGTGCTGTTCGGCTCAGGCGCTGGATCAACTGAGTCTTCAACCTCGTTAGACCAATAGTTGACATGGGTCCGGGCCATCGATGCACGCGAAAAAGGGAAGACTTCAGTCGAGGAAACCATGACGTATGTAGTAGCAGACACGGACCAGTCAGACAAGGTTGACAATTCAACGTCTGTGATGAACTCCGTGGACACTGGAGCGGAGAACCAGATGCCACCTTCTGACAGTGCCGTCCTCGAACTCCTGCAAAGCGTCGTCGAAATCTGGGCCGGTTGGATCAGGCAAAACAATTACTGGACCAAGTCCATCTGTCTCGCCGTTGCCAAGATGGGCTTCCAAGTTTGACAACAGCGCGTTTGAGACCTCCGATGTGCTTCTCATTTCGATGACGGTGAGACTGCTTGGAAAGCGAGCTGGGAGATGAAGTATTGGCAGTGATTCGCTCCAGCTCAGCATCCTCCGTATCAGAGGTATCCGGTGAACCGCCTGACGAGCTGCCTGACCAGCTACTTGAATCGTTGTTATTCAAGTTCTGTGACCACTCGGGATACACCACCTTTTGTATCCTAGTCGTAATCCGGTTATGCTCTCGTGACGCAGGCCCGTCGATAGTCGTAGTCAAGGGCTCGGTGAAGTCTTCGCGGCCGATGCGCCGTATTCGATGATCGCAGGCACACTGTAGGAGAACGTGGGTGATGGGCTATCATACTCTTCGTAGAGCCAGATACCTTGAGAATTCCGAGCTGTAGTGTGTTGTACTCGCTTCTGATGCTCTGTCCAGTTGCGGAAATGTCACTCCTAACCTCGAGCTCCACACATAGTCTGAGCGAAGTCTTCCTCTTCTTCGATCTCACTTAGAAAAATCGCCTCGATAAACGGGCCCTCGCTCAGTAGGACGTCATCGAAGTCGCGAGTAGCGGCGACCAAACACAGCTCGTCTGGAAAAGAAGCCATGTAAAGCTCTCGAACCTGGCCGCCAGACGCCGGGTATGAACAAGGCTCGATCTTTAGGACATTGTTTTTTCCCAATAACCTAGCTAGACGTTCACGTCGCTCGTTGTCGATAATGTGGGAGGGGATATATTGGCTGTCGAGGTAGCGCGGAGGATTGTCTTGCTAAGAGCACATGACACAAATCAGTGCCGTGCATTATTTAGTTGGCTCAGACATTTGCTTTGCAGTGTCGCTCATGGCGTAAGTGTGTGGTTGCATGAGCGAGAAGGTGTATGGTTGTGTGAGCCAGAGAGTGTGTGATATTGGAGTGAGAAGATGTGCGTGGATGTTTGAGTATATATGGTGAATCTACTCCTCCTTGGGGTAGTAGAAAGACTTGAAGTCACTTCTGTGTGATGGTTGTCAAGCTAATTTAATGGAGTTGAAGTAAAGTTTGCTGGTAGAAACTGATGGTTGAACAGAGAGTGTGAGAATTGTGAAGGTTTGTGTGAGAAAAGCGCTCAAGGTATGTTATGACTACTCAGCATCGTCCGTGCTGGCGCTGGGTATGCGAGTGAATCGGTCACCCGCTCCTTCTTGCCACTCGTTACCCCGGTAATTAGAAGCCGCCTTTCACCGCAGCTTTGATAGTTACAGATGTAACTCAAACTTTCCGGACCATCCAGGCTTGTGCCAAATACGCGTACCTTGTCAACGCTTTCCGATTGAAGCCGTACTCGGACTGTTTGCTCCTGACTTTTCTGTCCTCAAAGGTCAAGTCCCCACACTCGTCGCTCAAATCTTCAAAAACGAAGCCCATGTCTTCGACAACGGCAATAATCTCCTCGAGGCTGAGCTGTACAAACGGTCCAGTGCCATATAGCAACGGCCCAAAGTTGATCCATCTGCCACCTGGTTGGAGTAGACGATGTATAGTTTCGAAGTAAGCCATCAAGTTCCTCGCAGTATCGATGAAGTAGTGAGTGACTATGATGTCAAAATGCCCCTTTCGATCGTTGAGTACGGTGTTGAAGTCACCCTCAACGAGCAATACATCTCGGTTAGGCGCTACATTGGGGGCCGCGAGCGGACGCAGCATATCCTCGGTAATAGCGTGGTGCGACATGCCATCGATGAATGGGTAGAAGGTGAATGCGTTTGCTGCTGATTGCGACTCAATGAATCTGTAGCCCACATTCATGAACATGGACCATTCGTTGATTGTCACTTCGAAACCTACATTCTTGTCAATTACCCGAACAGATGTGAAAAAGAGAATCATTGGAGAACACACCTTCAAGGTTAGCAATCTCATGCCCAAGGCGGCCGACCCCAGATCCTGGCAGCAGGACTTTTTTCAACCCCGGTGAACTGTCCTTGAGGCTCGAAATTGTGCTCAATATGCATGGAAATGCCTCATCACGTTCTTTGCTGCCTTCATCAGCCCAGTCTCTAACGAAGTGTTTCAGCGTTTGAGAGACGCCAGTCTTGTCAGCCTGGCGGCCGGCCTTTTCTGCTTCTTTTACATGGTCTTCCAGCTCTCTCGATGTAATATGGTAGTACTGCATTGCTGTCGCAACAATACTTTTACATACGACCTCATTTGTGTAGATCAATTCTTCAATATCATCAAGCTTCTTGGTGTACTGAACGACTCTTTCCAGGATCTGCAAACGTCAATGCTAGGCTCATGAGAGCCTTTAGTAAACAAACCTGCTTCTGTTTCTTTCCGACGTTCTTATAAAGACTACGCCATCGATCAAGTTCAGCCATGTTTCGTTCCCGGTACTTGCTGAAGCCGAAGAGTGCTTCCAAGAGTCGATATCTGGGATGAGTGGTTCCCCATTTCCCGCTTTTTCGGTCCATGCGCTTGAGGAGATGGGCCTTTTCTTGTCGCTGTCTGGCTGTACTTTGTGCGGGATCTAATAGCATCGCACCAATATTCATCGGATCCTGTGCCGCATATCCATCTCCGGAGTTGTACTCCATCGAGCTGATACTAACTTCATCGTCGGATGACGTCACGGTAGCTCCCGGAGTCGCCGTGCCGGTTGCTGTATTTCCCCATTGCCAAAAGAAGAGCAGTGTGGAAAGGATAGGGATACGCATTTTCCCTAGTCAGCATGTACATCAGTACTCCATATGGACAAAATCGCGGTTTCTTTAAGATTGGGAAATGAGCACCTTGTTGTCTGCCAAGCGACCTCTTAAGTGGAGCGAAGGATTCTTTTTTTGACCTGTGATTTTGCTTCATTCGATTCTTGACACGGGCTTGGAGATGGTTACAAGCCTACGATGGGCATGTCCGACAATGATAGGCTTACGTATGGTATTTTTCACAGACAATGGGAATCGAGAAAGTCTATCCAGACGGAAACATGGTCTGGTCAGCTTGGCAATTGTTGTTCACCTTCCCCCAAAGACTAGGATGGTCGACCAGGAACTAACACCATGATTCAAAAACGATTTCTGGCCTGCTGAAATTAGATTCCAATGCTTCAGACATCACGTGTCGCCATGCTGACCTCGCGCTAGGCCAATTGGGTTAGTGTGGTCTGTGTTATCAGCAAGGCACGTGATGACTCGACGTCCACAGACTTTGTCAACCATCTACGCCATACAAGATCCCGTCATACTAAGGAATCTATAGATAGACGTAAATACCAGCCCCCTATCAAGAGAAGAACTTGGCCGCGAAAAATCGACCCCCCTATTCGTTCCTTGTTACTTCCCATCATGCTAGACGACGGCCTCTTTGCTACCATGCGAACGACAGGAATTGCAATTCTACCATGTGATACGAAATCGATCGAAAGGTAGCACTATAGGCTTTACAAGTTCATTGTTAGTGATTCCGTACTTTTGCCCGCTCTGTCTAATTGTCGTGACGCTTTCGTATAACTGCGCTGTCAAAATTCACATGCCCGCGCGAAGGTACCATTTTCTTATACTTCGCTGATCCAATTTGCAAAGTCCGATTGTTTGCTCGAAACACACCTGATGCGAATGAAACACTGGCTAGAGCCCTTCGTGCCTCTGATGACTTTCATCGGTCATACCATCACTTTCATTTCCTTGATTACACAACAATTTTAATCGCTGCCACCGTTGTCGCATTCACCTTCGCATACAGTGCTGGGGTAGCCAGCGCAACAGCAAACGCCAACAACAAACAACAAGCCCGATCGAATTTCCACTTCTACACTCTAATACCTCAGTTTCTCACCCCACTATACCCAGTACATTGATCTGCGCTCCGCCGATTCACTTGCAATGGCTCGTCTCAGCGTCGAACACTACAAGAGCAACCCCAACACACCGCGACCCGAGCGCAAGACGAACCGCCTCCGCAACCTCCTCAAACACCGTCCAAGCTCCAGTACGTCGTCCAGCCCCGCCCTCTTAACCAAAACACAGTCTCCATCCAGTCCCGTCATGCCGCCTACTGTCCAGCCTGGTTTCGAGCTCATCGGTGTCCTGCCAAGTGAAAGGTCATCGACAGAGACTGAACATCGCAAGCTGGACCGAATGGGACCCACGCTCAGTGAGATGCTCAGGGAAGATCTCAAGGACTGTGGTTCCAAGGATACTGCTACGCCGATCACGGTCCCAGCGGGACACGAGACTCCAGCAAAGTTTCATACCGACTGTCCAGGACTGAAGCAAATCGAGACTGGAGCTCTGGGCTCACCTTCCCTCGGTACAGCGTTCCACAACGCTATGGAGATTGGATCGTCACCCCCGGCGCCCCTCAGTCGCAGTTCCGCAAAGAACGGCAGCGAGGCAGGAGTCACGCCCTTCAAGCGCTTCAGTCAGGCAGCTGGGCTTCTCCGTGACATCTCCGTACCCACGCTCGGTCAGTTGAAAAACGTCGCGTTCCATCTCGTCCTCGCTGACTTATCCACCCTAGACACAAACGACTCATTCATGACATGTGACGACCACGACAGCCATCTCAAGTCCTCCGCAAGCAACATCTTCGACGACAACGACTCCCTCAGCCAGGGAATTCGTGAATACGTCGCCAGCAAGATCGCCGAAGCCATCAAGGACCACGACGTCAAGCTCTCAAACGCACAGCAAGACATTGTCGCCATGCAGATGCAGCTCAACGTCAAAATCAACTATTCCACCCTCGCCCTCAACACCCTCATCCAGTTACTCAACCGCGACAGCCCCCCCATCGACCTCTGGACATCCCCCAAGAGCATCGGCCCTTTTTCCATCAACCATGCACGTACAGCAACGCTCTTGCAATCCGCAACCCTTGCATTTCTCGCCCTTGCAATGCTTCTCGCCGTCCTATCCGGCCCCAAAGAACTCTCCCTCGTCCTCTGGCAGTCCGCAGTTATCCTAGGAAGCTACGCTGCCGCACTGAAGTATTTCGGGTGTGCTGGACATGTCGAGCGCGATCTGCTTCTTGCACCGGTCCTTTATTGTGCTGAGGAATTTCGGGCTTGGGGCAGGATGGTGCTGGCGGAGATGGTGGTGGAGGGAGGGGAAATGAATGATGGTGTTGCGATGGCTAGTATGGCATCGGCAGCAGGCCATTCAGAGTAAGAGACTCGGTCTATGAAGACAGATACGTGTGATACACCGAGTCCAATGGATCTCAGCGTATTACATACACTTATATACAAGCGATCAGGACCTTGCGGATTGGAGAAACGGCGACGGGAGTGGACTGCATTTGAACCGGGCTCCGGATACGGTGCAATTCAGCTAGCCCACCTAATTTCCAGCAAATGAACAGATTGAACCTGCAATTTTCTCACTTAGAACCATGGTTCAGTGTCGTTTTATCTGTTTCTAAGCTCCAGCACAAGCTAATGTCGCACCGGAAAGCTTTTTTCCTTGGAGCCTTGCATCCACTCGGCGTGTTCCCTTGGCACTATTGTAGATTGCTAATTGACTGAGGTATTCCATTTCCCGCCAGGACGGACTTGAACCACGTCGACTTGGCCTGTACCGAGATGACGAGTATTGGACATCTGGCCGGTTTGAGACTTGGGCTTGGGGGTGGTTTGTTTTTGATGTTGGGGTCATGTTGGATTGGATTGTTATGTATTTGAGAATATCAAGGATAATCAAGTATTCGAGAGCTGAGTATTAGAAACACAGCTAGACACTCAGACCACAGTTGCCTGTTAGGTAAGATACTGTGTAGCAAGGCAGGGTTTACAGACGTTCGAGCAGCTTCTCTGTATATGCCATCTAAACATGAAACAAACTATGCCATCCAATCAACTCGGATATATTGCACGCCACGCTGCGAAAAAATTCATCTACTACACAAAGAAACGCGACCCATCTGACGCCCAAGCCACAACGTATGTTACACCACCCAAGCGGCCTCCTCAGATAACGGAGTCCCAGGATTAAACCAAGATCCTTCCTCTACTGACGGACCTTCGTGATCCAACCCCCCCTCATCCAGCCAAGGTACGTCCTCAGCAGTCCAAAGTCTATCCTCAGGCAAGGAACCGTCTTCAAAGTCGAAATTCGAACTCCTGTGAAACCGTACTGTGTGAGCACATTAGTACATGTACTCAAACGAGGGGGGAAAGTGAGAATAGGCGCGGCATACTATGACAATGATGGGTGCGAGTTCGAAATTCGCAGAAGCATGATTTGGGACAGATGCATGGAGGTGGTCTGTCGTGGCATTAGTATTGTTGAATCGGGATGCTTGGTGTACATTGATAGTGACTCGACTGGAAAGACTCACAGCTCGTGACTCTGAAGCGCGAAGATGGCGTCCAGGGCTGCCCCGTTATCATGTCCATGGCTTCTACCCGTCCGTGCAGCTAGGAAGATATTCTCCCATGACTTCCTCTGCGGAAGACGCGCATGACCCCCTATGCGTACGCGCATGTGCTTGATGTGATCAAAGGCAAACGTTAAAATCCAATCCACCAGCACAGTTTGACACGTAGTGTGTTGATTCTCGCGGCCTGTCTTCAACTCGATGCTGCTGGCCCATGGATCCGCTGCCCAGCCATCGTTTGGGTCGCGAAAGCGGATGCATAGGTCCGTCCTCGATGGCAGGATAGCAAGGTGGTGTACCAGAGACTCCTGCGGTTTGGTGTGCATGGTGGGCTCGATGCCTACGCCCAAGAAATTGAACCAGGATTTTGGTGTGAAGCCGAGTTCTATGCGTCCGAGGACGTTGTAGCGTATGGCTACGCCGACCCGGGACGATGCAACGGCAATGAAGATCCAGTACTCGAGAAAACACTTTGATGTAGCTTCCCATGCTGCCTGCAGCGCCTCAGCATTCACCTGCTTACTTACGCATAGCAGTGCGAGTGGGGGCTCAGGGACATTCTTGCCAGCTTCGTACGTCTCCGGCATCTTGAATCTGTCGCCTGGCCCCTCAATAGTGCCCTCAAGAGCTTCAAGCATGGGGTCGCGAACCCGGTTTCCTATCTTATAGCCAAATCCCAGCATGATGGGCTGGCTGGAAAAGTCCTGGCATAAAGTGTACCGTGTCTGCTGGCCAGACAGCGAAGTGCAATCTCGAGTGAGAGGGTATATACTCTTCGAGGGACCAAAAGCCAGCTCAAAGATCATAAGGCGAATCTCAGCAGGGAGATCGAGGAGACGAAAAGTTGCCTTGCTTCGCTTACGCCAAAAGTAATTTGAAGAATCGATTCCCCGAATCCGCATGAGATTGGGGTCAGCGAGGCCGACAAGCCAGGTCGAGAGGGGCACCCAGATTCCCGCCCGTCGGACGTGAAGTTTATCGGCCGTGAGAGGGCCGCTCTTTGGAATCAGAGAAATGGGCACCGTGGCTGGAAATTCCTGCTCGTCCTGAAAAAAGGTATAAAACTTGACTGTGTCTGGGTCGCCGTTTAGAGGCCAGAGGGGAGGAGCAGATGTAGAAGGGACTGCCTTGATGTTGGCGTTGCACATCAGTAGGCCGTGTTCAGAAGACTCATTAAGCTTGTGGATAGCTTGACGGATGAGTTTCAGGACTGGATCCTGCTGTCGAGGCGCGGCTTTGAATTTATAGATGTACTTGCGATCACGAAAGTAGTTATAGTCAGGCGGTTGTATACAAATCGAAAAGTGACGTGCTTGGGAACATGTTTCAAAACGGATGTATCTGAGCCGAAAACGAAGTTGTTCTTGTTTCCGCTCACGTCCTGAATTCATCGTGGAGGATGTATTGGATGCGAAATAGAGGCTTTGGAGTCGTTTCAAGAGATATTTGGTGTGTATTTAAGAGAAGATTCGAATGATTTATAGTTCTTGGTTGAGGTGAAGATGAAAATTTGGCCGCTAATGCAAAGATATGTCATTTCCACCTGTGCTGAATCCGTGGCACGGACACTTGTCTCCAAGACCTCCCAATATTGAATGGGGTGCAGCCAAAGTGCATTTTTGATGCGGTAGTAATCACAGTCGCGTCATGGCTACCAGATACAATTCCGCACAGGTCATTGTCACTGCCTTGATGTGAAGTTTTGGAGGAAGGGTGAATGAAGAACTCGTGACCGGACAGCCATATCTTCCTTCCACAGAGTGTGGTTTTTGTGTCATTTAGCAGGGCCACATATGGCTCATATTCCATGGGTTGACTAGAGTGTATGGATAAGAAATCATACTTGTTTGTAACGTGCTCGCGCCGGGGACGGTACCATGACATATGTGCAATAGAGTGAACCAAGGTCGAAGTCGGGAATTATGTAGCGAGCGCAGAGATCATGTAAATGACAAATATATAGGCAACCAGGAGTGATGGAGTTTGGCAAGCAAATGATAATTTGCCAGCCCACAAACAAAGATTCGGTTGGTAGCTTTGCTATGAGAGCAATCTCAATGATTTCCTAGCATGATGCTTCTGAGATCGCCGCCAATATGAGGACAAGAATCGGAATTTACTTGGGACTCTATTGCGAGTCGCATGCCATTACAGCAGCTACGGCGCGCAACTCCTTGAGTCAGCGTGTCTTCTTCATGGTTGCGATGAAGTAAGCGAGTCACGTGAAATGCGAATGTCTGATATCGGAGTGCCTGGATATCAATGGTAAAAGTACCTCGCAGGTAACGCCTTGGGTGCAAGAAGATGGGAGGTATTGGAGAGGAAGCAAAGTGGTGTCGATATGAAATGGACGTTGTTGCTTGAGACTGGACTGGCATGACGCCATCAGGGTCCAAGGGTGTTGGAGGTGGGGAGAAGGGGAACTGGCAGCCCCGCGTTTCGTGAAAAAACAAAACGTTCATCGTGAAAGCCAGAAAGGAAACAGCCAGCCCCCCGCCCCCAATTGATGCTGCGACGGGTCAACTCTCTGCTGCAAAACACGATACAATCTTCTCTCGTCCCACATAGCACTTCTCGTAACATCTCTCTCCCTTATCGCAGAATGGCCGGCGTCTCCAGCACCTATGATGGTCAGTCACAAATCCTCATGGGCTATTTTCTGTAGTCAAATCATCAAATGGAAAAACACCATGTTCACCAGGACAACAGCACCGGTGCACATCGCCGTCATAGGCGGCACGGGAATCTCTTCTCTTCCTGGCTTTGAGCTTGCCGCCACTCTCGACATCGACACCCCGTGGGGCAAGCCCTCCTCCCCCATTGCCATTCTGCAGCATCCCTCCCCCACCACGGGCAAGCCTATCCCCATTGCCTTCCTCTCACGCCATGGCCTGCATCATGAATACGCGCCTCACGAGGTCAAGAATCGGGCCAACATTGCCGCACTGCGCCACATCGGCGTGCGCACCATCATCGCCTTTTCTGCCGTGGGCTCGCTGCAGGAAGAGGTTCGGCCGCGCGACTTCATAGTGCCAGATCAGATCATCGACCGCACAAAGGGCATCCGTCCATTTACATTCTTCGAAGGCGGCATGGTCGGTCACGTAGGCTTCGGCGACCCCTTTGACAAGAAGCTCGCCGAAATCGTACGACGCTGCGGGCACGCGCTCGAAGGCGAGGGCGTAACACTACACGACAAAGGCACAATCATCTGCATGGAGGGCCCACAGTTTAGCACCCGCGCCGAGTCAAACCTCTACCGTACATGGGGCGGCAGCGTCGTCAACATGTCTGCATTACCAGAGGCCAAACTCGCGCGCGAAGCAGAGATTGCCTATCAGATGATCTGCATGGCCACTGACTATGACTGCTGGAGAGGCGACGGCGAGGAGGATGTCAACGTAGCCATGGTCATGGCGCATATGAAGGCCAATGCGGAGAATGCGAGGCGCTTTGTTGGTGCGGTGCTCAATGAGTTGAGCAAGGAGGAACACGGCGAGCAAGTGCTTGCAAAGCATTTGGATGGCCAAATGAAGGGCGCGGGAGCCATGACGAAGAAGGAGGGCAGAGGTAAGGAGGCGGAGAAGAAGCTGCAGTGGCTGTTCCCTGGCTATCTCGACTAGGTGGAGCACAAAACATGTACAGAAAGAGAGAGAGAGAGTGTGTGTGTGTATGAAAACACGTGAGCGCGACAAGCTTGATAACCGCAAATAACAGAAATGTGGTACAAATGACAAACTGTACTTCCACCAGTCTCTTGTGTTCGAGTGCAACGTCGCACCGGGGGAAGGTGCTACTGCACTTCTTACACACTGTGCATCGACTTCCAGTCATCTCGTCATGAGAAAATCGAGGACAAGACAGATCTAGATGATCGATAGCTATCCGCACCCCAGCACCCTGTCTAGACAGATCTATTAACACCGCGGAGTGCAGGATATCTCGTTTTTTGCACCTTCCCTTTGCAGCAACGATCAGCGTCACGACTCCATCTGCCGACGCCCTCAACCTTACCAAGACGACTGTGAGAATAGCGCCATCATCAACGACTTGGACTGCCAACTCGGGCATGTCTAGAAAAGGCTTCGTAGTTTGGTAAGCCGGTTATACAGCCAGCAGTCTCAACATGGTACACCAGTTCCTCAATAGCAATAGGTGCCCAAGGAGATCGCGATGCCGTCCATGTACATGTACCTGCATACGTCCGACTATGCGCCGTTACTGTGCAACGTCAACAGACCTGCCATCCAACCCCTCAGCTTATCGTTGCCCAGCGATCGACAGATGACCCGTATCTCCGGTATCCCAGCGATACCTTGCCGCAATCCACATCCCGCGGATACCATCATCCTGGTAGATACACAACGTACGGCGTATACCCCAGACGTCGCGAGGAGGCAATGAGGATCGCGAGTATAAGTCCCGAGCCCATTCGCGCGATGCCAGAGCTACGGATCATACCCGGCCGCTTTCAATCCTCTCCCGCTCATCTGTTGCATACTCGCTTGGAGCCATGGTGTCAGCGCTCTTTCTTGCAAGAGCTCTCGTGGCATTTGCCCCATTGAGGAGTGTATGGGCGCAGTATGGATCAGGTCCACAATTTCCATTGCTGTTGGATGCGACGGCCGAGGAACTGACGTTGGGGTTGGAGTGGGGCAACTTTACGAGTGTGGATTTGGTCAATGTCAGTATAATCTCGTCTGAGCCTGCGAAGAAGGAGTAGGATTATTATAAATTCGTGCCTAATTAGCAGCTATTCGAATGGAAACTCCGTAGTGCAGCATGTTACCGACTAAAGGGCTTGGTTACTGACACTGCTTAGGCGTATGTGGCTCGTATCATTGAGGTCAACAGCACACTTCACATGGTTACTGAAATCAACCCGGATGCTTGGAATATTGCAAAAGAGTTGGATGAGGAGCGCGCGAATGGTACACTGCGTGGGTGAGTCAACACTTCTGCGACAGTCTCGCAGTCACTGATCATGAGCAGACCCCTGCATGGTCTCCCGATACTCATCAAGAACAACATCGCGACCGCAGACAAGATGAACAATACCGCTGGATCCTGGGCCCTCGTTGGGGCCAAAGTTCCACGCGATGCAACTGTCGCCTCTAAACTACGCGCTGCGGGCGCCATCCTTCTTGGGAAAACCAACCTCTCCCAATGGGCCAACTACCGCTCGTCCAACTCCTCGAACGGGTGGTCCGCTCACGGAGGGCAAACATACGGTGCTTACTATCCGGGCCAAGATCCCTCTGGTAGTAGCAGTGGCAGCGGTGTGGCTGCAAGTCTGGGTCTCGCATTTGGCACTCTAGGCACAGAAACAGACGGCTCCATCCTCTCCCCCAGCCAACTCAATAATATTGTAGGCATTAAACCTACCGTCGGACTAACGAGCCGATCCCTGGTGATTCCAATATCGGAGCGTCAGGACACAGTAGGCCCAATGGCGCGAACAGTGAAAGATGCAGCGTACATTCTGCAAGCCATCGCTGGCCCAGACCCGGCGGACAACTACACACTCGCCATCCCGTGGTCTCAAAATTCATCAGTGCCAAAACCAGATTATGTAGCAGCATGTACCTTGGATGCTCTCCACGGCGCCCGCATTGGCGTCCCACGCAACGCACTCGGTCGCCGCACCGCATCCTCCGCTCCCATTCTCGACGCCTTCGAAGCTGCTCTCGACGTCCTCAGTAACGCGGGCGCGATCATAGTAGACAACACAAACTACACCGCCTACGCCTCCTACCTCAACTCCACCGCCGAAGACACCGTCCTCAGCGGCGACTTCGGCCCCAATCTCGCGTCCTACCTCGCCCAACTCACCCACAACCCAAACACCATACACACCCTAGCCGACCTCACAGCCTTCACAAAAACCACACCCGTAGAGCAGTTCCCCTCGCGCGACACCGCTATCTTCGACACCAGCCTCTCCCTCAACTTCACAAACATAGACCCCGAATTCTACGCCGCTTACCAATATAACCTCTACCTCGGCGGCCAAGGCGGTCTCCTTGGCGCCCTCGAAACACATCATCTCGACGCCGTCGTTCTCCCTTCCAACGTCGCCGCCGGTATCTCCGCCATCATTGGCGCCCCCGTCATCACCGTCCCGCTCGGCAGTTTACCCGCTAACACAACGGTACGCAGGAACCCGCGCGGCGACTTGATCGCAGCTGCGCCAGGCATCCCGTTTGGAATCAGTTTTGCGAGTAGGAAGTGGAGTGAGGAAACTTTGGTGGGGTTCGCGTTTGCGTTTGAGCAAAGGACGCGGGTTAGGGGGAAGGTGAGGGCGTATTTGGACCCGCGGACGGAGTTGCGGGATGTTGTTGTGGGGAGGGGGTAGATATGCTTGGGGTGGTGGTGGAGAGGCGGTTCTACGGCATCGATGGAGTGCGAGATCAAGGGTTGGGTATGTACAAGTGTGAGAATTGTATGGTTTTGTAAACACTAGAAACATGCAACAAAACACCGTTGAAACTTAACCGCAATCGCTCAAGTCAACATCCCTCCTTCCATGTCCTCATCATATACCACACCATCCCTCCCATCCACAACTCCTCCTTATTTCCTTCAACCCATAAAGTCAACAAAACAAAACATGTCTCTCGCCTCCACGCATTATGTGGGGCGGATGATGTTTCTCAGACTATTCGTCTGGTATTTTCTCAATGCTACCGTATACCAGCATGTATTCCATCCCCCCCACAAAGACCTAGGGCAAACAATATCCCCTAGGCTGTGCGCCTGGTGCGAATCCCGCTGCTGGAGGTGTTGGTGTGTTTCTCGTCTACACCGCTTGGGTGTGACGGTGCTGTTTTTCAGCTGTTTGTGTGGCGTGGTTTGGCTTTATATGGGGTCGGGTGTGGGATTTTTTTCAGACTGTTCGTCTGGTGAGATGGTGAGGATGGTTGGTGCGTATTTTCGCCTCCAGTTGTAACTGATGGGCGGGCGGTGTGGTGTTGTTCGGTTTGCGTGGGGCATTGTGGTTGTGGATGTCATTATGCTGAACATGTTTCCCGTTATCCGGGCCAGTCTTTCTTCCTTGGATATCTGATCCTCGAGATTCGTAGGAGATGTGTATGTTGCTACTCCCCGACCCAATTTCATGTCTCTCGCTCACGGCGTTGTATGGGATGGATTACACTTGTGAAGAGGTTTCTTCATTGCCTTTTCATCACGGGAGTCGGACACTGTATCTGGCAAGCCACTGGCCAAGTCCTCGTGGCCCAAGGGATCATCGTACTCGACCGCGTTCAACCAATCCATCACACGGCGTTCTTTGTTCTGGTCCTCGAGTGCGCAGATGTCCTGGTTTAGGTGGATGTTTTCCTTGATGATGTCGAGGAAAAGGATGTGGTAGTCGTTTAGGGTGGTGTTTGGGTTCTTGCTGAGGAGCATGTATTCGTACATTGCGGCCGGGATCGTTGAGTCGATCGTGGTGGCATCGCTGTCGGAGCTTGATATTGAGGTGGGGAGTTTGGTGTGTTGGGCGAGATGGAGAATGTGAGCTTCATACTTGTGTTTGTCGAAGTAATTGTCTTGGTCGAGGTAGTTGTCTTGGTCGAGGTAGTTGTCTTGGTCGAGGTAGTTGTCTTGGTCGAGGTAGTTGTCTTGCTCGAGTTGTTCATCGCCTGCGGCACCTCCATCATCGTCCACGTGTCGACGATACTTCAACAGCAAATACTCTTTCAAATGAGTCATCTTGCCAGACACAAAGCCGATGAGAAAGATGAAGATGAAGAGCGGGATATCGGCGTCAGGCAGAACAGGGACAGCCACGGTTGAACTTGAAGCGCGTGTGTTAGTAAACACCAACAACAGCGTTCAGAATCCAAACATACCAAGTCTTGGACGCACACGTAGAAGCTATCTTGGTAAGCCAAATGAACGGCCCCAAGATTCGCTGAACCAGCTCCGCAACCCTCTCAAGCAGCCTTCCGAACAACATCCTAAGCGTGAAAGGCGGCTGCTTCGTTGGCGTCCCTGGTACTTCATAGCTAGCAGTGGGTTTTGGTACAGTGACAATCACATTAACAGACTGCAGGTCCATTGCCACAGGATACGCAGCTTGTTGCAATCCCGTCGCCTGCACATGAGCAAGAGCAATCTGAAGCATATTCTTCTCTGCATATGGCCTTAACATCTTGCAGAGGATCACCGTGGTGAAGAATTCCCCCGCGTCGTCTTCGGGCAGCTTCAGACACTGTTTGTAGGCATCCAAGATATTCATGGGAGGCCAAGGCATGGAAGGTAGAGTGATGGATGGTATGACGCTTGTGATGTAGAGGCCTGCGGAGCGGATTACGAGACCGGATTTGCATGGGAGATTGATGGGGCCGAAGAAGGTGGTTGTTAGGCATATAATGGAGGTGGTTATTTTGGTGAGAGACCACATTGTTGATTATGAAATTTGGGTTGTCGTTTAGTGTAGAGTAATGGTTGAGGTTGTTGTGGTTGAAGTGTCGGTGGAGTTGGATTTGGCACAGTTGATATAGGAATGGGTCGCAGATGCACGAGAGAAATGGCGAAGAGCGCACGGGCTGTGAATAGCTATTGATCTTGCAACATAGGCTGGGAGGGAGAAGGGCGGTAAGGAAGCGGCGGATTTGGGCGCCTTTCACTGGGCAGCAAACGCTGCCGTGAAGGTCACGTAACATCTGACCAGATAGACGCGAATGGAGGACGCCGCATTCACGACACACGTCCACAGCTTTTAAAGATATCTTGCGCGTTCTTGGGCTGGATATCAAACGCTTTTGATCCAAGTGAGCCTATCTTCTCGAGTTAAGAGGGGATTTTATCCTGACGCGATCCGCGAGACGTGCGCACTCTCGATACTTGCCAAGTGATTCGGATACTTCTGCAAACGGATGCTGCAAATGCACTCATCTCAATGCGTATATAAACGTGTAATGATTTGAGTAATCGTATCAGAGGGCTGAGCACAAAAGGCGTGACCCTTTCGTGTCTCGTCATGGTCGGCCTGTGCTGCTGGGATTTATGGCCACTTGAGTGAGCGACTGGGAAGCAGGAATGAACAAATGCTCAGATGCTATTCAGTTCTTTAGAATCGAGTGCTCTCAGGCATCTCCCACTTGAACATCATTTAACAATGCTCCTTGAGATCCAATAGACAAGATGGCCTCCCCAGAGACTTCATTCATCAGTGCGCCCCACCTCGCTCGTTAGCCGTGTATATTCGCCCACTCGCTCTTCAAATCTTCCTCCAGGTCAAAAGTATGTGTCCTATCCACCACAAACTTAATGTGATACCCCTTCAATTTTGCTCTCTGCACACTCGAAAACAGCGTCTCCAGCCCCGCCTGGAAATGTTCTTCGCGATGTCTTTCCTCTTGCGTATCAGTCAAAAAGTGTATGCAAATCTTGGCGCCATGCTTGAGTTCAAACAGCGGTTCTAGCTGCTCTTGTAGGCGTTCAGGAGCTTTCGGTACACCGAACATGTAAGCTCGGAAAGAGCCGCGGTCGTAGCTTATGGCGTTGAGGTGGATCTCGACGTTGGAAATGAGAACTTTGGGTAAACAAGGCATGCTGAACTCGTTGGTATTGAGAAATCGCGTCATGACTCCTGGGTCGTCGCTGAAGATGAAGTTTGACGTGTGGTAGTAGTTCTCGATTAGTTCGTGGAAGAACATGGCACCAACATAGTCGCTATTCCAGTAGTGTTCCGGGAAGTGTGACGCTTTCCAGCGAGCGTGATTATATGAGTATAGTTTCGATAATGGGTCTAATGTTGCGCGAGAGTGTTCACGATCTATGCGTTCGTTTTTTCTTGTACTTAGATGGTGATATATCATGTCACGAATTTCTCGCGGGAGTTTGGTGATGACTTTGGCAGTGAGGGCGAGACATTCTGCTTGTGCGAGTCGCTTGATGTCCTGTTCTGCGCTTTTTATCTTGTTGTCCAGACTTGACTCTAAATCTAGTAGTTCTTGCCGCAGTGAAGCAATCCTCGCATTAAGTAGGATTTCTGCTGAGATCGCCCTTTGATTTGGTAAGCTTGGTCATGTGATGAGCTGTACGGAAGTGAAGTCACCTGAATGCACGTGTTCGCAATTGAATATATTCTTCACACATGATTAAGTGTAAGGCAAACGTAGCTTACTCTTTGCAGCGGTGAGTTCAGATGAGAAATGGGATGTCCCTTGATGTAAAGTATATATTGGAGTACTACCGCTGCTTATTTAGGTACTCACACTCCTTGAGCAGTAGCGTCCCAAAAACTACACTATCCTTCTTAGCATGACATTGCTTAGCTCACTATATATATAGTCGCACGACAGTAGATTTCAGAAAATGATCATCAGGATGCCAAATGAACCGAAGAAAAGAATATCGTCCATAGAATGCGGAAATTTCTCGGAGGCACCAAATGCGGCCACAATTCCTGGGACTCTGTTCACTGGTCCACTACCCAATGAGTCAAGTGAATGCTTTCCCATGATCTATGTGAATATTTGCACCTCATTCAGACCAATAAGAAAGTGTTAAAGATGAACAATGGTGCATGGTTTATCAAACATTGTTCCCGGACAACTCCACCATCTCATCGTGGAAATCTTGTGCTTTTCGCCCTCTCTAACCTTGACGTATAGAGATACTTAGTCTAGCCATAAAAAAAATTGTTTTATACAAATATCTCAAAGAAGGCAAAGCTGCTCTTTGTCACAAACTTTGCGTTACTTTCGCTTGTCTCAAAATTGGAATTGGGTGAGCACCGCGCCATCAGGACCTCATACAGTCGTCCTCGAAGATTGTTAGGTTCTGGAACCCTTCCCATCGGAAGGATACTTAGTTTGCTCTCTGATAAAAGCAGTCGAACAAGCAGTTTGGTTTCACTCTCATTGCCTAGCTACCTGCACAGGATGGGCTCAGGCCCGTCAGGGATTGTAGAAGGCTTACTCCATCTTAATCATATTTTGAAAGCCGCGCTCTCTATGGCTTCTCACCGCACTACTTCTATTCGCATGCGACAATACTGGCACTTGTAATCTACTGTAGTACTGGTGGAGCACCTCTTTTGAATTCCATTTTCTTGCCAGCGTTTGAAATCAGGCTTTACCCATTCACGATGTAGAACATTAAGCTTTACAGTCTCGTTCCGAACACAATTTCTTATTTCATATCTTGTGTTTACTCATTAACATTACTGCCTTTGCGCCTTTGCGACTTGACCAACGCTACAAAAATCATTACATACGCCTGGTATCACAATCTGTCATCATTAGAGACCGTCAGAATGGCGACTTTGCCTATTCTAACCTCAGGAAAGAATATTCCAGCCATCTTTCGTGCCTACATCCAGCATTACCGCTACTCTACGGCACCTGCACAATTCACCAACGCCACCATTCCATGAGCTCAGGGCTTGCAGTTCGGTTATGCTGACAATATCCGCATTTGCGCATCCACTAGACGCTCCATCCATTCATCTGCAGACAGAGAACAGTCATTTCGGTTGAACTCCAAGTCTTCGTAGTCAGGCCATTTAACAACGAACTTATGACCCGCACGATGAAGAGCGTTCAAACTCCGATGTAGATCACCCACAATCGACTGCATCCACTCTGATGGAAGAAGGTATTGTTTCACATCGCCATACGTATGAATACGGATAAAGAAGGAAACATGATTGGGAAGTAGGTGCAGATTCTTTAACGGCCGTATACCTTGTGTGGTATGTTCGTGTACATCCTCAATTCGCATGTTGGCCGGGGGGTGGCTGGCATCGAGTTCGAACCTGGCCTTGCGGATGAAGTGGCGTGGCTTGATCCCTAATTGCCATCTATCTGTATTGAGAAATTTGGTGACGACTTCGATGTTGTTGTGCTTATCATAGAAGTAGAAGAGTGTTGTCCGATACCAACTCTCCACTATTTCACGCTGCACGTCTGCACCGACATAGTCTACATCCCAATAATGTGCATCTCGATCTGTCTCGCAAGGCTGTTTGGTTTGGTCGAAGTATTCAGGTCCGACATAAATGGTCTCGTGTGCATGAAGGAATCCATAGATCATGTCGCGGACTTCACGGGGTAGATCATAATAGATGCAGCTGCACAGCAAACGACTCGACTTTTTTGCCTGAGGCGCGATCACCTTGCACAATAAGGAGATTTTCAAGTCGTTCTCGGCTGTCAACTTGGCCAAATGCCGGTACGCTTTGTCGATGTTGTTTGGTGAATAATGTGCCCGGCCGGTAGCTGGAGGTCTTGGATAGGGCCCGAGCAGAGCGTCTGCCTTTGATCGCGCCTGTGAAATTGCTTCATTCTTCTGGTGTATGATTTTGAGAAGGCTATGAAATGTTTTAGTTACACAACTCGTTTGAAGGGGCTATCAACATACGGCTGGACACGTCGCTGAAGAAGGGTGTGGCCCTCAATGAGACTAGAGTACTCATGCTCAGACATGGTGCGACGTTGAGATTTCGCTGGGGACTTTCAGATGCGTGGACATGAAGATGCCAGTGAATACAGGTGAGGCAGATGTGGGGTGCCTGGTAGGTACACAAGCAGGACGCCTGAACCCCAAGTTACTAACTCAGTTAGGTAACATCCCGCGACTTGCCTTTGCCCTGCAAGTCTGCATGAAACACTCGATCATGCAAGAACGGCACCTATTCCAGGCTTTCTCAGATGTACCGAGGACTTTTCATACGAACGGCACTGTATTACTGTACGGTATCTGCTCAGGCGTGACTCCATTCGCAAGGCCCAGCTCTGGAGGAACTCCTGGAGCTCTGCAATAGATCACGTGATTCATACCACCGGGATCGTCCCGCCTAAGAATGGCAATCTTTGAAGTTTCAAGTTAAGTATGTCGCATCTCGAACAGAATATATATATCCATCCGAAAGGTGATACCTAGGTTGAATTTTTTGATAAGCTGTGCATTACCTCAGAGTACTAGAACTAGTTTTTGGCTTTTCCTAGTCTCAGTAGGATAGTTTCGCTTTTGGCCGGTCACCAAAAGTTGTATACTCCCACCGCGCCGCGGCGTATAGTTCAATGTTGTATTTCGTTCCACATGGAACTCATCGCAGGCCGGTTTACCATTGAGCATCTATTGGGCCTTCAATATCACTCCGGGATCCCAGGGGCCAACACTAGCCGTCACTTGCGCTCCATCCTTGACACTGCCAAGGCTGATGGAAGGAGGTGCTTGGCGGGATACCGCAGCACTGCAGCCACTACGTTTGATGACTTCTTCCCACAGGTTATCACGCGTGCTTGGGGCGGTCACCTCGCTTGGTAGAGGCGATGTGCCATTCGACCCGTGGTCTTGGATCCAGCTATTCAAAATCTCAAGGTAATTTCAGATCTCGCAATCTTGATAGTCACTACGGTAAAAAATTGTTTACTGTAGAATGGTACGCTAGGGGTTTACTATATAGGTGTAAACTGACCTTGTGTATACCCGTAAATAGGTTTAAAGTGGTGGTTTACTTTTATTAAAGTAGTAGTTTACTTTTATAGTAGGGGTTTAAATTAAGTGTAAAAAGTAGTTATATTTCTATTATATGCTATAATACCTAACTAAGACTAAAAGGGGTAGAAAAGATTAGCTTTACGCTATACGCACATATGACATAATAATGAGTCATGATATTTTTACTAATAGGAGGTGGTAATAATAGAGGTGGTGGTAGAGGTGGTGGTAGAGGTGGTAGAGGTGGTGAAGAAGATTAAAGAAAGGAGGGGTAAAATACTTAGATAGTTAGTAGGAAACTAGTAGATTAATAGAAGTAGAAGTAAAAGTGGAATACATGGTATAGTAAACCCTATTTAGGTTTACTTCTTCTACCTAAACCACTTCTTAGTCTACTTTAGATAAATATAGCTACTGTAAACCGGTTTTGTACCGTAGTGAGTTTCCTCCATGTGGCTTCTCGGGTAAGATGGTGATGTTGGCTCATCCTGGTCTTTTGGAATTCCTGAACGCCCTCGTTCAGAAAGTAGGCATCCCAGGTACCGACGTAAACAAGGAGACGTCCAGCGAGATTCTTGCCAAGGTTGCGCGTAATGTTGAAGTTACTGACAATATAGTCACTCATAACGTACAGTTTCCAGAATTCGACGGTTTCGGGATAAATCTCTCCTGTGAACTTATCCCAGGGCTCCAGCGGATAGTTGTTATAACCTTGCACACCGGTAACAGCATTCCATACGTCCCATTGGTTTGAAGAGCGGGATGCAGTACCAAAGCAAGTTCCCAGTGATTCTCGTTCGCGACAGTGGCGAGTATGACTTCAGTCCCATTCCTGAAAGTGCGAATTGAAGGCCTGAAGCTTCCATCAGCTCACTAGTAGGCACTAGATGAAGTATAAAGCTCTATATTCTGGTGTTTGTGGAAATCAAGAGAGTCGGGGTAGGACGAGAAGCACGCGCCGAATAAATCCGGTCTATATACAACATTGGCAATCGATGCCCAACCTCCGGTCGAGCCGCCTTCTTGAATGCGTGCGTAAGGTGCCTGGATCGTGTTGAATGATGCGTCGATGTGAGGTATGAGCTCATCGTTGATAGCATCCCCATGAGGGCCAAGATTGACAGTGTTGACAGCGTAGGAATCGTCGTAGAAGGGCGCTTCGTGCCGGAATGTTACCAAAATCATCTTGGGTGCTGGACGTGTCTTGTTAGTACCAGTGAGGGTGTAGATGCCTTGATCCCAAGCGGTCGTGAAGGTTGCATTCCTTCCATATCTGAAAGCTCAATTACGCCCAGGCCAGAGTTTTGGGAATATATGGCCGGATATCGAGTTGTGGTGTCTTCGGCATTGTAGCCGGCTGGCAATACAATGTTTGCACCAACGTACCGGTACATGTCGCAACCCCAGAATGCGCTCAATTTCTGACTGCGAATCTTGATATATCTCATGTTGCTATTATCTGGGTAGTTTCCCTGGTAGCACCCTCCAATCTCATTGCCTGTGAATGGTGTGACCTGCATGACATTGTTGAAGACAAAATCAATCGTCTGTCGGTTCCCAGAGACGTGGATCTTGGTCGATGGGGTCGTCAGACTGCCGAATGAATTGATGTTTGGTGCTCCATCTCCGCACGGGAAGTTAACGCTGACTTTGGCGCCATCGCTACCGGTACGAGTGACAGTTTCACACTCTATCAAAAACGCTTGGACCTGATATGTTCCTGCGGCGATGTCCATCATGCTGATGTTAGGCCACCCGTATACCCTGGTCGATGTGCTGGAATTGCTCCCTCCAGAAAATGTGATCGTGATCCTCGAGTCGACCTCATAGACATTCTTTCTGTATATCTTATTAGGCGATGTTCGAACATTGGTATCGTTGAGCGGATCGATTTCATTAGGTGCAAACACCAGCACCACCCGCCCGTCTGTGGGTGACTCTAACAGGCCATTCGCGATCGTCAACCTGAATTCAAGGGTTGAATTCAAGGATTGTGTCGCATAACTGCTAGCGCCTGGGAAAGCTGATACGTTAAGAGCAATGGCAGAAGCAAGTATTGCCTTCATCATATGGCGGATGGGGAACCCCATGTGGGCAGTCTAAGTATTTGCTAATTGAACCAGATATCAATGTTAAAGATAGGAGACACTCAAGCTATCAGTGGAAGTGGAAGTCTATTAATCGAGCTGGAATGACTCTAAACCGACCCTGGTTATACGAGCGGGCAAGATTCATGAGTCGCAATTACGTGAAGTATCCGCTTCATCCACTCTCTGATTAAGAATCCCTATCGACTGTCAGTCCAGCACAGCCCAACTCATACTATAGTCGGGTGGTAGCGTATTGAGTAGCGATGATGCTTAATATTCACATTGCGACAAAGTTTGCCACTCCATTCCATGCTATCGCATGTTGCCATGAACCCGGGTCTAAATGTCTCCATCAGAATCACAGTATTCGAATGATGATCAGCAAGGCCAATCCTTGGAATTAACAGGAACCCCGCAACGTTGGAACTCTGGGTCTACGAACCACGAACGGTGTTATCGTTCTGCCAACTCTCCTTCAGCGGCTCTCACGAGATCAGTTAAACTAGGAGTTTGCTAGATAAGCAGGTATTAGGAAACGTTGTTTTTGCTCTACACGGGAGATAAATCACACATTAGGCTCCAGAAGCTTAATGGCTATTGTTCTCGGGAATGGATTACGGGGTATTAAAAGCCCATGCCCGTCACCCGTACGATTTGAAATGGCCGGCTTCTTACGTCCTATTATAGCAGTGCGTAATTTTCGCCCTCTGTTACCTTGTTAAATTTATTCAGCTGAGCACCAAGGATTACAATGTAGCAATCGCTTTCTCCAAATCGATAATAGACAGAAGAACGTCCGCAGCCTTCAAAAGTCCGGCTGATCCTCCGGCGATGCTCAATCGTGTCTTATCCTTTGGTACTGCGAAATGTTAGTAACTTATGCAAGTTTGGGCAGTAGAAACAAACCTGAGCGCACTTCCCGCCCATATGCCCTACCAGCCTTGACTTTGATTTCTCTCCAATGCCCAGCACCAAGAGCTTGGTTGATGAATACAGAGCTCGACGTCGAATCCGACAAGACGATGGTTCCATTTGAGCCGCCGAGCGGCGACCAGGTTACGTAGGATGCCCCTCTAGGTTGCGGCCCGGTAGCTGTGCGCACTTCGCTGAATGGTCCTATGCCTGAATTCTCTGGATTTTCAGTGATCCCATACTGAACCTGACTGGTACCATTTCTCATTGACTCAACTACTAAGAGATATTGGTTATTTGGAAGCTGTTATTGTCAGTATCAACAGTATCGGAAAAGATGAATTACTCCACGCACCTCCGCCGCGCTCAAAGATCCTAAGATATCTGACAGAGCTGCTGAGCTTGTAACATCCGTCGCTGTTCCCCAGGTAGTCCACATGTCTTCCGTCGATAGTTGTACGACTTTCTGTGCATGTTGGCCATCGCGTTGGTCTGAAAAATAGACAGTAAGTCGCTTATCACTACATGCAAATCAGCATCCCCACTTGGCTGGAGCTAAATGAAGTTAAGTTCATGAATTGGACTCACTGATACAGCATGAAGGGTTCTACGACAGCCGCACCGCCCACGGAGATAATGGGCCCACCTTCTGCAATGCGGTGTACAAATTCAAATGTCTCGCCCTGGTCGTAGCTTGCGTATAACTCTATATTGGTGCTTGTGACATCAACGGCATTCACAGCAAGGAGCGTGACGTTTGTGTTCCCGCTCCACAAGTCTTCAATGAACAATAAATGTGGCTCAAGCAACCTTCTCCCAGCAACAGTAGATCTTACACCGCCTTGAGGATGCCACGTGAAGCCATGATTGCTCGATCGATAGACTAAGAGTGTGTCATTGGTCGACGCTGCATCGTTCCACGCAGCAAGCATGGTATTGTTGGTTAGGTACTCCGTACGCGGCGATGTCAGAAGATGGGCAGAATTGTCGGGCTGGTAGATGGTTACATTGTAGAATGTACCTATCCCAGTTGGTTTAGGCACAGGTGGATCGGGAGGACTTGTCTCTTCTGGATCGGGGTCGCTGGTGGGTGTTGGCCATGGTGGGTCGTCGTCCGGTTCTCCTGGGCATTCTGGGTCATCGTTCTCTGAGTCTTCGCATGGCTCTTCGTCCCATTGAGCTGTAACAATACAAAGTAAGAGCAAGATGGTGGCGAGGAAGAGTAGAGACCGCATTTCCAAAGGGGGTGTGAACAACCCAAAAACATATCTCGCAATTAGCTTGGAGCGCAAGGCACCCGCTTATTTGTACTGTTTGAAAAGAAATGCCATATTTTTCAGACCAAACAGCCGGCTTATTGTCGTGCCGAATGTGTTTGCCATATGCTGCAGCCCAAGTTGTTTCAACACACCTCGACTGGCCTGTAATCTCGGGTAAATCGTCAAGGTAGTTCACCCCGCAAACCACTTTCGGAATTTAATTAATGCAGAAAGAGGCCAATCAGGAGCCCCGGGTGAGGAGGCTAGAGTACATTTGACAGGCATGCTTTGGTGTTCTATACAGCTTCGTATTGCGGCAGTTACTGATCCAATCTGCCATTTGTGCCAATGATAGAAACCATGAGTCAATTATCAGTTGCTTGAATCTCCTGACAGCATTCTGGTAGATATTTGCTGCATTCCAATCATCTCGCACTGTATCGCTGCCAAGGGCCGTAAAGGCATTGCTTCTCACACGAAATCGATGCCTGTGAACTTCCTCCTCTTCAACCGATACTGAGTCCCATTCCGAGCCCTTTCAATCGCCCCACAATATCTTCCATGACTTTCTGTGCATGCCCCGAGCCAATCCTTTCCTCGGCTGGGGATGGCCGTTCGGTGCCTCCCACACAACTCCAACTTGACGCTCTTCTCCAACTTCCTACGCCCATGTACTTCGACTTAGACGGCCAGGCACATATGTCCTTAGTCACCAGTTCCCCCTCGGAATCAATTCTTTCTGCATCAAGAGTTTCCGGTGGCATGTTGTGTTCGACCCAGTCTACCAGTGCGCCAAGCGGATCTTTGAGTTGAGCACCGACACCACCACCGCAGTGTCCTAGACCTGGTGCAAGAAACAAACGGAAGTACTCGTCCACTCTGTGCGCTCCTCCCATCAACCGTTCAACTTTCTTGCGGTAAGCGACAGTGTTCTGATAAGGGATCAGTTGATCATAGAGACCATGCCATGTGATCATCTTAGTTCCTGAGGCTTCCAGTGCGGAGAGGTCCGGATTGTTTGTGTCGAGTAAACCGCCAAATTCGTAATTTGCCAGACCATAAAGCTCATAGTATTTGTTGACATCTGTCAGTTGACTCAGATCGTAGGTGGGGTCTTTGAGTACAAGGTATTTCAGCCAACTCGCAGATATTGGGAAAGGGCGCTGCGAGCGAACCCCATCTTCCGAGATTGAGATCTTCGCGAGTGAAATCATAGGTACACCACGCGCAAGGCCTGGGAAGAGGGGTTTTCCTGGTGTTGATCCTGGGCCTTGATGGATATCGGCAATGATGCGAGCCATCTCCTTGGAGAATACCAATTCTTTGCCATCGCATTGGAAGGTACGATTGTCACCCACAAGACTATACGGATCAAGCTCGCACTGTTCTGGGTCTTCGATAATGCCATCTAGCACGCCGTCTATGCTATCGCAGGCCTCGACAACTCTCGCTTGGTAGTATTCCAGCTCGCAGTTGGATAGATAGGTTTTGGTATCCTCCATTCGCAATTGAGGCCAGAATAAGGAAAGTACTAGATGGCTAAATTCAATGGCAGGCGCATTGGCAAAAATTCCATCTACTAGATGCGGGAATCTCTGGGCAATGGCGTAGCCCTGGCGTCCTCCTGTGGAGCAGCCATTCCAGTAAGAATGGTGCGGCTTTACTCCATAGAACTGCTCAGTGATGCGTTTGCCGATAGGAATCTGGTCGGCAATCGAGCGCGAGGCGAAGTTGTGGAGCAGGTGCCATTTGACGGTTCTGTCTTCGTTCAAAGCCCATGATGCGTCCCCGACTGCCGTGTCTTCTGCACTATGCCCACCATCTGTAGAGGCTGCTGCCCAGCCGTTTTGTACAGCGACGCCCAGGTGTGCATCGAACATTCCAGTTGTGAAGCCAGCACCACCTGTTGCTTGGAAACGTCCATTCCAGTCTTCCGAAGTCAGAGGCAGCCAAACCTCGATTAGAACTTTATCATTCGTGTCATTAAGACCCAAGGAAATATCAGCTGCCGTCTGGTGGGTCAGAAAGATCTGGACCTGACAGAAGTTGAGACCCTTCAGAGCGGGTTGGGGACCAGCTCCACGGCTGGTATAATCTAGCTGCTGCTTTGCTTCGATTGATAGGATTTTGATGCGGGGAATGACATCGTCGAGGTTAAAACTGCTGGACGTACACTCTGCTTGTGGGGTCGAGTCTGCCACTGCGATGGCCGCACCAGCAGCGAAAAGGCCACCTATCAGTCTTGCTACAACCATATCAATCCGATTATTCAATGAATGACCGTCAACATGCGAGACTGCTCGTGTTGTTTCATATTGAAGGGACTGTGCTAAGACGTGAGCAAAGTACCGAAGTCGGTGTAACCTCGGCAATGGCGTACGCTAGAGTTAATCAGTGTTAGCTCTCCCGACCGGTACGGGACGGCGTCTAGATGCCGCTTCCAGTGAACCAAAGCTGAGCAAAGCCATCTCTACCTACACGACCAACAACCGATCGAATCGAGACTCAGAAGAGCACTGACATCTCTAGACGATGGACGATAGATGACCCAAAATTTATGAACCCAAACTAAAAGCCAGCAAGAGACGCCTTATAAGATGCCATTCACCTCTTCCAACTCAGCTCTACCCAGTGCAATCAATCATGAACTTGACCAATTACCGTCTACAGCCTCAGCTATTCTGCCTGTATAGGAAAACTTCACCCAAATACAGTTCAAATTTTTTGTTCAATCTGTTTTGAATTGACCGAACGCTCGAGAGGCACCACATCTCATGTTCAGACTCCGCGAATCCACGCGGCGATCTTCCCCTGATAGTAAAGATGACCTTCTCCACAACAATCCACATCTTTCAATGGCAATTCCATTTTTACCGTTCGCAACGCCGAGGCGACCCGTCCTTATCTGGGCTTATGAGGCGCGACTGAGGCCGCCTCATGCCATGCCTGCTGGCTGAAGAAGCATGTATCTGGTTGACTTGGGCGTCGTCCCAATGATGCGTTGGTGGGACCGATTTAGTCATCTATCTATTTGAAACAATATGTTCTAGCGATTCGGGCTCCGACACGCCGTCCTGGCATGTCATCAGATCCCACAGCAGGGCACCAAGTCTACCCCGCAATGCACAGCCTTAAAATAGGGTTTCGTCTCTCAAGACCCAAGTCGCTCCAATACTGCTGGTCGACTCGGATAACCTCAACCTGGCAACTATACATGCTGTTATTCTCGCTCTTATTATGCTTTCTAAAGCACTCGAACCATTACTACTGACAAGATTCCAGATTCTTTTTTTGGAACACGGTACTTGCCAAGACCATATTGCTCACATTGTCATAGTGATCTAGGCTATTACCGTACAGGCTCGACGAAAATCCAGCTTCGAAGGAACGGATAATGTACGCTAGTTCCGGGCGAAATGCCGTGCCACAGACCATCGTTAACTCAACTCTGTGACGTTCGGTATTTGTTTCGTTGGTTGATTCATAGGATTTCTTTCGATTTCATGATCACCACAGTAACGCCTCGTGAGAACCACTTTTAGTTGATGGCAATGGTTCCTGTGCAGTTCAACGGGAAGGACGGGCGGGAGAGGCGCACCAAACGGTAGCACCCCAGTCGCATCTGTCTCTACCGGTACCTGTCAGCCGCGCCACATAACATTCATCCTTCAAGATCCGCCAGCGGCTAATGGCCCCAAGTTTAGATGCACATTGCAGCTACCTCTGGCTCGCTTGTAGGCTTACCACTGCACGTCAGCGACATATTCTGTGATCGAGGCCTGTCATTCGTTCCATCCCGACGAACGCTTAGGCCGGTCATTTCTGGTGGTAAGGAGGATTATTACAGCACAAATATACGGTAAAGATTGGGGTAAGCCTTGCCTAAAATTGCTATCGTGAGCTAAGGTTGGAACATCTTGCTATCAATCCTGGAGACATGATGGATCAAGGAATCTGTCTGTCAGATGTCTTAACAACACCCATGTACTCGCTTACATTGGGGGGTTTCTCTATAACCTCAGCCCGGGCCTAAAGAACGCAGGAGAGCATTACAGGTTCGAATCTTTCGCTTCAGTTCAGAGCAACATTGTTTCACTATGCCTACGGTGTTACGGCGTACAACATTCTGAATATTGTACTCATCTGCGCCTCTTTTCTCGCATCACGTCAGGGCCGGTTGTTTAGTCGTTTTCTTTCTTTCTTTTGTTCTGTCATCATGAGATTTTCAACATCATTCTTAGTGGCCCGTCAGGATTCGCTGCCAGGGGAGGACCGAACGACAGCTATCACGGTAGCATCATGGACGCTGATGTTCATCACCGTAGTCGCATTTGCTGCCCGACAGATCACCAAGACTATCAAGTTTCGTAGATTTGCCATTGATGATGCTTTCGCTCTCACGGCTACTGTAAGTCTTATCTCTAGATTTTCAAGCTATCTTACCAACGTATGAAGATATTTGCAGTTGGTCTGTCCATCACAGCAATTGTCCTTGCGTCTCTAGGCTCAAGCGTCCGAGGAGCCTTGACCACCGAGCGGGCAAATATGCTCACGAAGGGCATCTACGCTTCAGATATATTGTACATCTCAGCGTCTTGCTTCACGAAACTATTATTGCTCGCTGTGTTTTATGAGAGTCTAAAGAGACTTGCCTTGCAACGTCGCTCGGTGTTTGTCTTCGGATGCTTCGTTTCTGGATGGAGCATTGCATCTATACTAGCCATCGCAGTGCAGTGCCCACTGCCCCAATCGTGGGATACGGTGACCTCGCGATGCTTTGATACGGTAAGTTACACCTATGGGAGCTCACTGTATCCGGACTAACCTGTTGGGGGTTGTTTTTACTTGCGGAGAGTGAGAACTTGCTGACTCTGCTAGCGAGCCTTCTGGATCACATACTGTATCATTGACTCCAGTACTGAGCTATTGATCATTGCATGGTCTCTCATATTAGTCTCGTATCTGAAGGTCTGCCTTGCTTGTAAAGTAGCTATCGTTGCATGCTTCGCGTCTCGTACACTCGTTATCTGCGCCGCCATCCTCCGTCTCATGTGGCTTTACCCATCAACGCACCACCAGCAGCCTAAATTCCAATTTGGGCTCCCTACTATCGTTACACAAGTACAAGTCTGCCTTAGTGTGTGCACAGCCTGCATACTATACATATTCCCCTCTTTAAGGTTTAAAGAAAGCAAAACCTGGCCATCGACCTTCACCAGAAGTCTGAAGGACCATAAAATCCAGAGTTCCTGCCCCATCAGCTCATCGCTCTGGTTCAGGAGACATAAGCCACGAGATGCCAACAAACCCTGGGACTCAATTGACCATGGAAACGGCAGCTACGAGCACGTCTCATACATCTCGCCATATCTCGCCACCCCTAGACCCACGAGTCCATTGACAGCACCGCGAGCACCAACTCGATCGTCCAGTAAGCATGGATTGTGCATCAGCATCCCTCTTGCACAAAGGAATCCAGAATACGACTTGCTCAGCACAAGAACGGCCAGTTCCTGCGCACTGTCTCCCTCATGCGCATCGCCTCAACCTCTGCTCACACCTTTCGTTGCTACAAGGAAAGCACCGTCCCCTCCTAATAAGGCATACACTCCCGGTTCTGCACCGGCAGAATTCCACACTGCTTCTGCCCCAGCGACCCATCAAGACATACCTCGCATGGGTCCGTTTTCACTTTTTCCCCTGCAGCAGACCAGCTGCCGCTCCCCACAGCATCGCCAAACACGTATCAACTCCCCATCAGTCGCATCTACTCGTCGTCGCAAGAGATCACCAATGCTCTCCAGTAGGCCCAGCAGTCCTCCTCTCGCTACATCCCACCCTCCGCGATTGTGCACTGTCGAGCAACTCAAATCTAGCAAAATACCCCAGCCACAACCTCCACCAACAACAACCTTCGCACCGCCAAGAGAGCAGCAAACACGACCAGAATCTGTGCAAGATTTGAATTCACCCATGGGTGCAGCACTCAACAACTTCTTCAGTGGCTCTGCTCATGCCTCTCCTGGAGGGTATTTGAGAAATCAGCAGTACTTAGCGCCTTTTACACCCATCAAGGAGACGGCTCCTGGGTCGCACATCTGGCGTGCATCATGTGATGCGCAGCGCGATGGATTATTCTTACCGGAGAAGGTGTCCAGGGAGCGAACGATGCCTGTGATTAAGGATGCAAGGAGCAAGGCGAGGGTTACTGTTGTTGCGCGGCCGATGGAAGGTTGAGGTGATGTTTCAGCATTTGTTGTACTGAGCATTTCGTTGGAAGTGCGGTTTGTTATGCACTATTCCAGGCGTCCTGGGGCTGTTTTCTTGTACGATAAGAGGTGATATAAGGTTGAAGAGTCACGATACAAATGTTCGGTTTTCGGTAAATATTACGGTATGCCAGGCGTCTGTGTCCAGGTTGATTTGTACATTATTCTTTCACATAGCTCACTGATTGATTGGTGCCAAGAATAGCTATGATATATCTTACGAGGACCTATTGCAGCGCAATGTACGGTTGAAGCTTTGCACGCGGGCGGTGGAGGGAAACGGAGATAAGGAAGAGGATGGGTATTGCCGCGCGTCTTGGCACGAGTGAAATACGTCACGCCGAAGATTCCGAGTGACGAACACCACAGTGGCAGCCATGACAATCCCAACGTCTTTCCAAAGGCTTCCTGGTGAACGTCGTTCATCTCACCGTATACCCGATTGAATACCTTATTGCCTATCACTAGCGAACCATGAACTCAACTTCAGACCCACCACCAGCGAACACAGCACATACAGCCATGTCAGCTCCGACACCACCCATACCCTCCTATGAACAAGTCACCGGCTACGCGCCTCCCCCAGGCCCTCCACCCTCGCACCCCTCAGATCCATCGCAAGCCTCCCAACAAGCCAACAACACACCTCCGTCCACGATACCGCCCTCCCTCCCCACAAACCCAACGCCACCACCCGAACTTCCTCCCGCCTACGCAGTCGTCGATGAGAAAGCAACCTCCTACACCATCTACGGCACCTTCATCCACACACCCTCAGGCCCTGCTTACCAACTCTCCTCCCTCCTCGATGCGCGCATAAACAAGATGCGGATCCGGCGGCTTCGGGCGGAGGAAGTATCGCGATTGCAGGCTGGCGCGCACAACATACCTTTCGATCTTTCCACTACACTCTACGAAATGCACGACCCACCTTTTATGATGAACGAGTATTACATTCGCGGCGCCTCTAGCACCACTCTCCCTGGCATACTTCAACTACGCTTTGGACTGAGGAGATGGCATGTGCGACATGTGCCCGCCGAGGGCGCGAAGCCGGTGGACTTGATGACCTGTGGGAAGCGAGGTGGGTTCAGTCGCGTGATCAAAGAGAGGCACAATGAAATGGAGCCATCAGAGTGGAAAGACAGCGAAGGCAGCGTGTTGGCGACAGAAGTGTTAAAGATGCAAGGAGGTGGCAAGATGCCGACAATTGAACTGAGAGAAGGTGTCGATCAGATGTGTAGGGAGCTGCTCCTCGCACTCTGGGTGGCGAGACTATGGGCAGCGTTTGGGGCAGGAAGTATGTATAACGGAATATGAGAACTTGAAGCCTTGAATCCAACTGAAAGCCACACCAAGACATTTCACAATGTCCGAAGAGGTCCATCCAAACGCGAATTTCACATGGAAAGAGCTAGCATTGGTATCTTACGTCTAACATCCCCTCGTTCATCCAACCATTTCCCCCCTATTTACTCCCTACGAACAACCCGCTTAAACCCCTGCTGCTCGACCTGCTCCTGCGCGGCCGCAATCGTAGCATCTGCATTCGGATCCGTGAATCCACAGCCCGTCTTCCCATTCTGCTCACTCGCCGCCTCAGCGCTGCACACGCCGTCGCCTGTCGCGGCGACCTGCGCGCAGCATCCGGAACTGCAGTCTGCGTCGGAGACGCAGCCACCGGTTATGAATTGCGAGCCATCGCCTTTGCCGACGTTGGCAGCGCCGGCTTTGTTCGGAGTTACTTGGGCAAGAGTGAGGGCGGTGAGGACTGGGTTGGTGTTAGCATTTGGGGGATTTTTGGAGTCAGGGAGGAGAGGGGAGGCGTACGGGTGATGAGGGCGGTGGTGGTGAAACGCATGATTGTTGATTGGGTAGTTGGAGATGAAGATTAAATAGGATGACAGTTATTGGGAGCTTTCGTAGCGTGAAGTTGTAGTTGTGAGAAATGACACCGGGTCTAATCTTTTGCAGTCACAGACAGCAAATTCGATATAGTATAGTATGTATAGAAGAACAGAAAGCTGATCGTGATTGTCTTTGGATAACTCTTCACCTCGCACGCACACCAAAGACCCTTTTATACATCCCACAACCACAACATCAGCCACCCTCTCCGTCCATGAACTCCCTCCCCTTCTCACATCTCGTCGCAATATCACATCCTCTTATCCCCCAACTGAAGCCAACACTGTATGATCGGCTATTGTCGCACAAGCCCTCCTTACTCCACACCCTTTACCACCATACCTATACCGTACCCATCATCGCAGCCAACTACACGCCCAACACTGCAATACTGCAGAGCCATACCTTAATGAGCGCGTGCCGAGGATATGCAAGGCTCGCTTCGAAATGCGATGGAAGCATCTCTGAACCGATGTGGCGAATAGGAAGCGGGCGTGTAAAATGTTGCGTGATGAGGTGCATGTCGGAGGTTATTGCGACACACGTTTCAGATGCTTCCATGACTCCATGGAGCTCGTGCGAGACACGTGAAGTGTTCAGACCCACATGTGCGGCTAGCGATTGGAGGCATGGTGATTGGGGCGGTTGGAACTTGGAAGTTTGAAGAGTTGAGGCTGAGTTGAGTATATCATAGTGAGGTTGGTTGTAAGTACATGGGTGATGTTATGCGCAGTTGAATTGGTATTGTCGCGCCATGCGAGGAGGCTATTCAAAAGTGTCCTTTGTAATCAACAACCATATGTCCCGGACTCGGGGGCACAATTCCTGTCTCCCAGACCTTCTTCTGGTTTCCTAGTTGGAAGAGGATCTCGCCGCCAATGACCATGACGTTTTCATGCTCGAACCAATTTCTGTCCCATGGTTCACCATTGATGGTGACGCTTTGGACATAGTATCCCTCTTTTCCATCACCGTCGTCCAAGCCTTGTGCACTAATCCTAAGTGTTTTGTCATGATTCACGGTCATGTTGATGTCGCTAAACCATGGACTCTCCAGCAGATATACATTGGTAGTAACAATCGGATACAACCCCAACATCTGCCACACCAACCAGCAATTCAATGCCCCTGCATCACTATTGCCCGGAATTCCGTCAGTTCCGATGTGATAGAAGTCACGAGCCAACTGCCTACCGCGCTCAACAGATTTGAATTGCTTATTGATGTAGTTGTAGAGGTATGGGTTTTCGAAATCCGGTTCGTTGGCCACATTGTTGATAGTTGTGATACCGAGACCATTGACACCGAGATCAACGCCCGACGTGTTGGGCGTGAAGATGTAGTCGAGACGTTGTTCGAAGGCTCTGAGACCGCCCATTAGCTCGATCACTCGACGGATGTCATGGGGGATGACGAAAGAGTATTCTGAAAATGGCATTAGTATGTTGAGAATGCTTGCAGATACATATGGCGGTACCAAAAGCAGTTCCCTCATAGCTTTCATCAGACCAGTTGCAATCACCGCAATTGGTGATATTGTAAGTACTATGAAACGTCCCGTTGGCGTAGCGAGGCATGACAAAGCCCGTGAAGTTTCGGCTCGTGGCGCTGGGATCCCAGCTCAATTGCCAGCCTGCCGAACGTTTTAGATACTTTTCTTGCTCCTCTGGGGCTTCGCCTGCTGCGATTTGACTAACGGCGAAGTCATTAAGCGAGTATTCTACTGTCTTCGATACTGCACGAGTGTTGCGGTCTGCAGAGACATAGCCTAGTGGGATCCAGTCGTCAAGTGCGGAGCGACCTTCTTTCAACGAGCCTTGAGAATCAACGGGGTTCTGATCAAAGAGAGGAGGCACTTCTGCATTCTTCTTGACTGCTGCGTAGCCTTCAGTCCAGTTGATCATGCCTCGTAGGCCCTTGACGTAAGCATCTGCCAATACGTTGTCTGCGTTTGAACCCCCCTGTACCAAACCATTATAGTTACCGGACCGACCATCGGGTAAATAGCCTTCATGCCTGAAAATATCAATTAGCGAACGAATCATTGATTCATAGTATGTTGGTTGAATCAGATGCCACAACGAAACCTGATTGCGGAAGAGATCCCACATTGTGTAGAAGTCATCCCAAGACGGCTCATCGGACTCCCAGAGCGGATTTTCACCAACTCGCTCACTTGGGATGAGATGCATGAAGTACAGACTTGAGTACAGCAATGAAAGTCTGGTTTTGTTCGCGGACGCTGATGTATCCACCCTGATCTTCGAGAAGACATCACGATTCCATTCTTCGCGTGCTGCGTTTGCGACATCTTCGATCGACCATGAGATTTCAGCGTTCTTATATGCGCATGCTTTGTCGACCGACTTAAATGAGATGCCAACTCGTGACCTGACAGTGGTAGTGTTACTCCACGTAAAAACTGCTCCAATACGATCGTTCAGTGGCCCTGATCTTGCTGAGGAACCGGTAAATGCCGGTTGGGGTATAATCCCACCGTTATCGAAAGTTCGGAAGTGTCGACTGGCGGGGAAAGTGTTTGTTCCTTTGAACGCTCTCGCTTTCTTAGGCGGCCTATCGAATTCGCCGCAGACATATACGGTCACAGGCGCTCCAATATTCCAGCCGCCTGCAATTGATGTGTAGCCGGTGTAGATACTAGAATTGGGCTGGATCTCAATCTCTCCGCCCGTGTAGAACTGTGAGTCCCACGAGCGCGTCGGATGTGGGAGGTAGTGCGAGAAGTCTACAAGAATATGACTATCCGCTGAGGACGAAAAAGAGTAATGATGCAGTCCAGCATGTCTTGATGCTGCTAGCTCAATGGTGATGTCTGATTCGAGCCGTGTACGGAAATAGCCCACTTCAGCTAGATCTTCCCCGACCTTGAACGTGATCAGTATCCAGAAAGAAGAACATCTCTTGACATACCCTAGATTGCCAGTACGTCCTGTTGTCTAGCGGATTAACGTCGCCATCGATGCTATTTAACGGCATCTGCGCCGGGAATCCATATTTGGGACCTCCTCCTGTTCCTGACTGATGCATCAAGCTGATTCCCGTGACATATCCGTTGGGTGTGTAACCGCCATTAAGAGCGCTCTGATTGATAGGCTCTTCGTAGGTGTCGATACCAAGCTTAACCATACCGAAAGGGACTGTGCCGCCCACGAATACATCTCCACCGCCATCTGTAGACTGTCAGCCATGTGTGTTATAGCATGATATATCGCGTACATGCGTAGCCTGATATGGCACCTTCAGAGCCAATAAATGGATTCACGAATTGCGCATAGTCGACATCTTGGGCGAGGATACCAGTGAATATCACCAGGACTGCTAAATTATGTATATACATTGTAGCGGTTCAGGAGTCGAGGAATTTTATTTCCCCATGTGTTAGGTATCCGTGTTCGTTAGACAGGTACCGTACATGGCTGTCCACGAAAAACATACCCCGCAGACGTCTGCGCACCTTTCCTTGTACGAAACGAAACGTGATCATGGCACAGCAACAAGGTTACATTGGAAAGGTGCTTGTGATTGTCTCGAGCCCAAGCGATGTGGTTTGCTATGACGTCGTGCAGTCTCCTCCTTCTTCACAAGTGCATGCCAAGATGCGGGGATCTGTGTTGGTCCCACATCACGTTGGAGAGACACATCACTCCACGAGTAATCAATTTTTGACGGAATCCTTGTTGAAGAAAAATTATCTTCTGTATTCGCGTAAAGACGCTGATTTTGCTATGGGCTGTATTCCCATTGAACCCTACTTGTCCTATACCGGTACCGGCCACTAGGTAATGTAGCACGCTAGCCTGTCAGTCCTTCTCCCTGACCTCATTTTCCCGCTGTATGTGTTCAGATTGTGCTCATTGAGCTCACTGGCGCTTGGGATAGCCTTCAAGCGCTCAAGCACGACGTCGATCGACTCTTCAAAGGCTTGTCTAACATTTGTCCCCACTCATATGCAATGACTCTGCCCAAAGTCTGTTCGCCATATATGTCTATGAGGCGGGGCGTGAAAGAAACCATGGATCGCCAATTTTAATACCATAAGACATAATACGACAAGACGCTTTCATTCAAAGCCCTTCAATTTCATCAACGTATCAGACTTTGAAACAACAGACAAAGTTGGGGTCATAGTGAAGATAGTAGCGGTATTCGAGAGCATAACAACGCCAAGGCAGACTTGGAAGCCCAAAATCCAAAGAACAGAATGCTGGAGTGACACGGTGTACTTTTTCCCGCGGCTCATGGTATTGATATCTATAATCGCGAATCATGAATTGAATCCACATTGTATATTACAATTATCACTCATCTCCCCTCCCCTTTACAAGTCATCGTTCAAGCCATCTGTCCCCTCACCGCACCAGGCAGCGCAAGACTAGAATGCGTATCCGCCATAAAAGCAGCCGGATCAGCCTCGATCATCTCAACATGAAATCCCTCGCCCGAATCCTTGCCCTCGATCATCACGCCCGTCGTAAACGGTCCTGTCATACATCCCGCACTATTCCTCACGGCAACGTCTCCATTGACGGGCTGTGGGTCGGGAAACGCGATTCGTGGTGGTCCCGAAGCCCCGCGCGCAGCTTGATGAATATGCGTGGCTGTTGTGGCAGGGGAGTCGAATTCGCCCTGGAAGTTGTGCAGAGTGATGTTGTAGCATATCATGTTTGCAGCGCTGTTGATGCCAAAGTTGAAGGTTCCTGAAGCCCCGGCGAGGCCACCGGTGGGTTCGGTGCCATTGACCACTTCTTCAGGGACAGCGTTGATGTAGTGTTGTGATGTAAATGCCAGGATTTGTTCCTCACCAACTGCGGTCGTGGCGAAGTCGGTAAGCTCTTGGATATTGAGATTGAGGGTCAGAGTTGTAGGTGCAGCGCATGCGCCGAGGACAAAGCCTGCAAGGATGGAGAAGCTTGAGCTCTTCATTATTGCGATTTTATATTATTATTTTTATTCGAAAAGGATAGTGAAGGTAATACGAATTGCAATTATGTTCGTAAAGAAGCGAATATAATAATGAATGTAAACGAAGAAAACTGTTCAACAGTGCGACTTACTGACCATTCTCCGGCTGCCTCGACCATCTTTATACTATGGACAATGTCGAGGCTGCCGGATGTACAGATGCCTTAGTACCAAGGCTTGGTGTTGTGCTGGAAAATGTGCTCCCGGCGTTTGAGGCAACTCTGGAACGTGTGGCATGTTTCAGTGACCTTGGCGTCGGGTTGCTGCTAGGAACACCCAAACATTGTCAACACACACTCCAAAGAACTAGAGAAATGTGTCGAGGAAGATTCGCAAGTGTTCCGAAGGAGTTTATCGGCCTCCTGGTCGGTTAGTTGTGGTCTCTCTTGTGACCTACACCCAAATTCATCGTACGATACCAAGACAAAGGTACAAAATTGTACAGCTTTCTAAAAAGTCTCGTCAGCTAAGCAGAACATATCGAGTGTGCACAAACACATTCGCCGCGCGGCTACAGTATTTGCATGAGAACTTTAAGGTGCATTCGGAGTCAGCGCTTACCTGACACCGTATTCTGATTCTCATTCATTAGAAAGTATGGCTCCACCACCCATAGATGAGTTACGACATTCGATGTTGATGCTCCGCGCGAAAAAATCTGTACAGGAGCCAGTAGGGAAGAAGCGACAGTAGGTGGTAACTTCGCGTAATAGTAGATTATGATGTGTTCGGCTTCTCTAGGTCGTTGACCAGTCGACAGAGGAGGTGCAACTATATTAAAAGCAGAACCATGTACCAATTCTCTTACCAGTTCCTTTCCAACTCTTCTCCACTGGCTCCATATCTTCTTTCGTATAAACATCGGTCTGTAGATCCATATCGCTCGCCTTCCTGAACTTGGTGCGCTTGACAAGCTTCCAGATGATAATCATTCCCACAAAGATAGGTAGCTCAAGATAGAAGCTCACAAAGTCAATAGCAGCAAACTTCGGACTGAATGCAGTCCATCCTTGGACGAGCACGATGAAGATATTAAGCACAACGCACAGGACCGGTCCCCAAGGATAGGTCCAATTCTTGAACGGAAGCAAATGTTCTTTGCCCTGAGCCTTTACACCTGCTCGAAACCGCAGTGATGCGATGCCAATGCTGATCCAGCTCAATTGGTTGGAGACGCCCACTATGTTTTGCAACCATGTCCAGAGTTGGCCAGACCCAACGAAAGACAAGGAAAACAGGACAATAGAGACTAGACTGGTGGTCATGACCGCTACCCACGGGACCTGGTACCTAGTCAACCTGGTAAAGACTTCCGGGGCATGGCCATTTGCGCCCAGCGTAAAGAGCAGTCGAGACCCGGCATACAGCGCATGGTTTCCTGCGGAGATGACACTGGTAAGAATGACCGCATTTACGAAAGAACCTGCGGCCTTTGAACCCGCCATCTGAAACGCAATCGTGAATGGTGACGTGCGACTGGACTTGGTGCTCAGGCCAGGGTAGTCGTATGGAATGTTAAGGCCAATCATCAGGGAGGAGAGGATATAGAAGAGGAGGATGCGCCAAAACACATTCTTGACGACCTTTGGCAGCACGCGAGCTGGATCCTTCGTTTCTCCGGCGGTGATGGCGATGGATTCTGTCCCGCCATATGCAAACGAAGCTGTCACAAATACTGATGCGAAGCCTCCTATACCACCGACAAAGGGCGCATCCCCTTTCGTGAAGAACTTGCCTCCGATATAACCGTATCCGATATTACCACCGGCATTGACTGCGATGCTCAAGATAATGAAGATGATGATCGTCACTACCTTCAGTAGACTGAGCCAGTACTCCAATTCGCCATATGCTCGTACATGGATGATGTTCGCCAGAACGATAATCACCCATACTATGATACCGAGTGCATACCATGGGAAGCTGTCCGTCCAGTACTGCACTAGCAACTGCAGTGCGACCAGATCAGCGGCTGTCGAAACCGCATCATTGAACCAGTAATTCCAGGTGAGAGCAAATCCAAAAGCATCGTCAACGTAGCGGCCAGCGAAGGTGCAAAAAGATCCTGCAACGGGCACAAAAGCTGCCATCTCGCCTAGTGACAACATCGTCACGAAGACGATGCCTCCGACGATGGCATAGCAGATCAACAGCGACGCAGGCCCACCAGTTGCCAGCGCTTTCCCGGTCCCTAATATTTGTTGGCCTCCATCCTTTGTAAACGTAAGTTCATAAATGCTCAGACATACCTAGGAACAATCCAGTTCCTATAGTCCCTCCTATTGCAATCATCTGAACTTGTCTCGCGCTAAGAGAGCGGCGCAAGCGATCCTCATTGACCACGTGCAGATGGGTCCGTTCTGCGGAAGCCGGTGAATGTTCCTTATCACATGGCGCCTTCTCTGGGTCGATCATGGCTGCCATGATAGTCGTTGCGATGACACTAATGGCGGGTGTCAAGAATAGCGAAGAGTGCTGGGCAACTGGAAGCCTTTCATGGCAAAGCTTGGTGTTGAATTAGGCCCACGCCTGCTACTCGCGCCACCCACCGCCGAGGTAGGGCAGCTGCAACCTCTTTTTGCACAAACATTGCTACAACAAAGCACGCAATATCTCTGGTTGCGTATTGGTTGGAGTGCGATGTAGCAATGATCCATCTGACCCACGCCGAGAGTTTCACCAACCAACCTGCGTACGGTTAGCCGGTTACTCAAAGCGAATGACTCTGACGGAGCTCCCGACAACATTATTCATCCCGGGTGCATCGCGACTTCAACCAAGTTGATATTATCGACCCGGAAATATCATGGTGTGGAATTCTCTACAGTCAACATGTTTTTCACATTAAGATCATATCCAAGTCATTTTAATACGTATGACGTCAACATCACGTGCAGTAGAAGTCCTACTCTACCTATGTACTAGAGTAGAGTAGCGCTATGATACTTCCTGTACGTGCAAACATGTGCCTCAGCTACGCGACATCTGCAAAGTCTGATCTATCCCTGGGAAGCCGTTACGCTAAGCATCACAGTCATGAATAGACACCATACCAATCCAAGTGCCCACATATACCTCAGGGGATCCTCCAACGGGCGTGCCGCTACACTTCCAATCATCAATGACAAGACCTAGCTACCTTTGCGCATGTCATCTCAACGTCATGCTGGCCTTGGTATTGGCTCAGTATTCCAGTCCGTTCATTTCAACAATAGCAGTGCAGAACATTGCCTAATCCAATATAAATGATGCGTGAATGATTACGAGTATACAAGCCTGCATTGAAATATGCGGCTTAGTATATATCGCATCTTCGCGCTTCTTAGAATCAGGATTGCCAAAGGGCGAAACAGTATTCAGAATTGTTCATAACAAGAACTTTGTGTTCCATTCCAAATTATCAAGAATTTGTGGCCGTCGACTATTCACAATGGCAGACGCAAGCGATAGGAAACTCGCGCTCCGTACCCACAAGGTTATTCCAGACGTGCTCACCGAAGACCTCAATCTGTCCTTCGATCTAACGTTGAAATGGCCGGAAGCCACACTGGACAGTCCCGGACAAGAACTCGATCGGGAGAAGACTCAAACCGAGCCCGAGGTTTTGTTGAACCCAGCAGTACGTTCTTACCTGAGTGCCCGCTCCAGATAATCGAATAGCGTGGGCTAAGCATCACAGCCTTCCGAACCCCTCGATAACCTAATCTTGATCATGACAGACCCAGATCTCATGATGAACAACGACACCTACTTCGGCCAAGTGCGGCACTGGCTGGTGACAAATCTCACTGCTAATCCAGACGGCAAATTGTCCCACCATGCCTCGGCTGAACGATCACCATACGTTGGACCAGCGCCGCTTCCAAATTACCTGTACTCCCGGCCCCATCGCTACGTCTTCATTCTAGCCCGGGCGGGAGAGAAAATCGCCGTGACGCCGGAGGACCTTCGCGAGCTGCAGCAGCCGTACATGGCGGCTGTTGCAGGGAAGCAGGGCGAGGTGCAGGATCTGAAAGATCGATGGGGGTTCAATGCGCAGAAGTTGGTGGAGAAGAAGGGGCTGGAGGTAAAGGCGGTAACTTTTATGCGTGTAGGGGGGAATCTGAAGAGTGCGGGTGCTAATATGGGGATGATGGGTCAGGCTATGGTGGACAAGGTATGCACGTCTATGACAGTTCACCGTAATTTATGCTAACTGGGGTTTCTGTAGGTTATCGGAGCTTGATGAGCATGTTCATGTGAGACAACGGTATGGAAGTGTCGATGTCAAAGTCTTCCAACTCGTTTCCTACTATCAGTGGCAGATTCTATCTCATTCTTTCAAAGGTATAGTGTACGTCTCAATGAAGTAATTTTCAGGGCGCGGAATGCCTCGGGAATTCCATCGTCGTTATCAAAGGTTTTGGTAGGTGCCTCGAACGTTCAGCTTTCCATCTTACCTTGTTCTCACTACGACTAAATCCCGTAGGCGGCGCCATGCCACCGAACATCACCACAAGCTTCTTGGTTGGTTTATCAGACTGCTCGACCATCTCGGCGCAATGCACTATCATACTGGATTTGGCATCTCTCAAAGGGTGTTGATTACAGCGCTAAAGGGTTGGCGTTTTTGAAGCTGGGTATGCCTGTCTGACGGGGGGTGGTCGACACGGATAAAGTCTCCGTGCTATGTTTGTTTGAGTGAAGATAGGAAAAGACCGTGGATTGATAGTATGAATCTAAGCCAGCAAAATCCTGGAACTGCTTGTGTTTCATGGTGTTGTAATGAGGCTAACATAGTCGATGACAGAAGACGAGGCTGGAAAGGGAAGCAGGTTCAGGCGATGTAGAGGTCATGTGATTTGGCGACACGCGCTAGCGCAAAACCACACGATGTGCGTCGCGTTCCTATCTATACATCAACCCCGCAGATTCCACGAATATCAATTCAGTTCGTGCAGCCATGTCGTCGCGAAACAGACAATCAAGAACACCGGCCAGCCGAACTTCCATGGTGGCCAGCTCCGCCCGTCGTGAGGCAACAGACGACCTCCCGCCCTACAAAAAACCATCCCATCCACTAGATGCCGAAGCCACCAGAGCACTACGTGAACTACAAGGACGCAACCTTGATAGTGTGAAGAAGCACAACAAGCAGGCCACAACGGCCATCACCCAGTCTGCCGAAAGCGTCAATGACATGCTCCGTGAACACGCCCAGTACATTGAGCGCCGCCAGAAGAAGTGGGACGCAGGCAAGAGTCTAGATGACAAGGAAGAGGAAGAACGCACCATGGCCGAGCTGCAGGAAAAAGTAAATGAAGCTACCACCAAACTGGAAGAGAGCATGCGCGCCATTATCGACTCGACCATGGCCACCCAACGCATCGACTCCACCCTCGACTGGCTTCGCGAAAACGCCCCCCGACAGCTCGAGGCAGAATACATGACGCAAATGAGCCAACGCGCCAGCCAACTCCAGCAATCCCAACTCGCCCGCCAATCCCACAACGAAGACTCAGACGCCGACGACCAAGACATACAAAACAGCACCACCAACACCTCCACCCCAGGCCCCACCCCCCTCACCAACACCCCGCGCATCGCCCTAACCGGACCCTCCCACCTCTTCACCACCCGCCTCGAGCGCGAAAAAGACGCGTACACCGCCCTCTCCCTCACCACGCGCTACGCCCGCCACAACGACTACCGCGACTTCCGCCGCCTCGTGCATGACGCCCAACACGGGGACTCGGGCCCACCCCTCGGCCACGAAGACACCTGGTTCAGCGCGGATGGCTCCCCGGCCCCCGGCCTCACCCACGCCTCCCAGCGTGGCGGCGCCCCAGACTCGGACGATGATCTCATCGTCGACAAGGCGAGCATCAGCACGCGCTGTCCGCTGACGTACCAGCGCTTTCAGGACCCGTGGACGAGCACAAAGTGCCCGCATACGTTTGAGCGGAATGCCATTCTCGAGATGATTAGGGGGAGTGCGCATCGGGTTGGTGGGAGTGGGGAGCGGGTGGTCGAGTGTCCGATTCAGGGGTGTGCGCAGCTGTTGACGGCGGGGGATTTGAGGAGGGATCCGATTTTGATTAGGAGGATTAGGCGGTTGATTCGTGCAGAGGAGGAAGGGTTGGAGGAGGATGAGGATGAGGAAGAGGGGGAGGATGCAATGGAAGAGGACGAGGAGGTGAAAATACCAGGTACACAACACACAGTCATCGAAGACCTGGGCGATCCAAGCGACACCGACGAATAAGCTTAACATTTCAGCCCCACAGCATACACAATCACAATCATACCGCACATCCACACCTTACACGAAAAAAAAAAGCCAACTCCATTCCACATGTCGTGGAAATCTCAATTGATGTCAGAATATGCCACACTACAGCAACACACATCCAGCACAAGTAAGAAGAAAACATGCCCAAACCCCTCACATCAAACACACAATAGGTATCCCCCCATATGCCCAACCTCCATACCACATGCAAACTCAAAAGCAACCCCACAGGCCCACAGGGCGCAGACGACATACCCAGCCGCCCGCCTCAACTCCGGCCAAGAACAAGGACGTGAAAAGGAAAAATAGAAAGCGGTGGAAACCCGCGCAACTGCTCAGGAAACCCACAAGAGCCGAAACGAGAAGGGGAAAGTAAACGCCGCGAAGAATGAATACGAGAGAGAGAGTATACGTCCCTTGACTGTGTTCCCTTCTGACTCCGTATCGGTAGCAAAAACAAACAGACAGAGAGAAAGAGGGAGGTCAAGAAAAGAAACACGTCAACAAAGAATGCCCGCAAAAGACAAAAAGAAGCGTACTCAGACTACGAGTACAAGAGGACGGCATCACTAGTCGTGGCTTCATGGATTCGTGGAAACGCAGGCGGTGTGGCGGGGCACGCATTGGTGGGTTTTTATTTAGTGATGAAGCCGAGATAATCTGCGACGATGAGGGTGACCATTCTGGTGTGGGTTGTCAGTTGCTGGGTTTGTGGGAAGGAGGAGGAGAAGGAAGGGAGGAAGGGGGAAGAGAATATAAAAAAAAAAGAACCTACGCATGCGGCGCAATCCTCACATAATACGTCCCAAACCCGCGATAAAACCTCAACAAGCCCTCCTCCCTCGCCACCTTTCGAAAGCAGTCAAACATGCCCTTGTACGGCAACGTGCCGTCTGGCGCCCTCGTCTGCTTCTGCAACCGCGTCTTCATAAAGTCAAAAGGCAGGGAGAGAAAGGAGGCGAAGAAGCCAGCCACGGCAGAGGCCGTCAGCGTCTGCGTCTGCGGCGAGAGCGATGTGTGCTTGAGCTGCTGCTTGGCCTCGCTGAAGAAGGCGAGCTGGCCAAAGTTGAGGGCCATGGCGCGGACGACGGTCGGGTAGGCGCCAGCCCATAGTCTGGCCACGCCTTCGGTCCGGGCGATGCGGGTGAGGGCATCGATGACGGAGGTGTAGTTTGCGCGGCTGGCGGCTGGTTTGAGGCCGTCGGATTGCATGCGGATCAGGGCCAGGTCGGCGGGGTTTCCGGCAATGGCGGCGAGGCCTCCTGCGGCGAGGCCGGCGGCTGCGCGTTCCTTGAAGCCGATGGTGGTGTTGTTGTTTTTTGCCCGGGTGGAGAGGGTGGACATGAAGGTGTCGAAGAATCCGATGCGGGCGGTTGTGTAGACGGCTTGGCGGAGGAGGCCGGCGCTGAGGCCAGTGTAGAGATCTGTTACTTTGCCCGAGGCTACGACGTCTTTGAGGACGCTGATGGGGGTTGGTTTGGGTCCTGTTTTCACGCCCTCGCCGGCCAGTTGGAGACGAACTTTGATCATGTCGACGGGCTGGATGACCGTGGTGGCTGTCATGCCTGCTAGACCGCCATTGATGAAGGGCAGGGCGGCGCGCATAAAAGGGGTGTGGAGGAAGTCTGTGGTTGCCTTTTTGGGGTTCTCTGCGGCTTTGGACATTGCGGAGGAGGCGTCGCTGAGGACTGATTCGGAGGATTGTTTGGCGTTCTCAAGGGCGCGGGCGGCGGGCATTTTAAGGGTTTGGGAGGTGGTGGTTACTGTGGTGGACATGGCTATGTCAGTCACACTGCCTCCTTCAAGGGAGAGTAGTATGATGTGGAAGTATGTGCGTAGTGTATGTGCGTGTACAGGTGTAGACAGACAACGAAGAGGGTATCCAGCGAAGCAATGCGCTAAAACGAGGACTTGAAAGCAGATGGAGGAGCGTGAAGAAAAAAAAGGGAACCGATATGGTGGACCAAAGATCAAAGAAGACGAAGACGGAGAATGGAGAAGAATCAGCAGCAATCTATATGCTCGACTGATGACTCCACCACACTACTGTGATGTGAAGACCTTCCGCGCCCAGCAACGACGCATCGCATTTACGCCCCGGGCTGTGGACAGCAGCCTGCAGAGGAGCCTCAACAGTGTTCCATGATGGTAGTGTTAGTTGGCAGTCAACAGCCGCGGCCGTGGAGTCCCATTGCGTGTACCGGTTAGTGAGACGACTAAGCCGGCGATGACATAGCCAGCCCCGTCTGCAATCGGCACAAGCAACAGATGGCCCAGCCGGACAGCGATCCACGTGCGCGACTCCCGAGACAGCCCGCTAAGAGAGACGAGGGAAAAGGCAGTGAATGCGGTGGGGAAACAAGAGGAAATGCGCGGTGTGAGGGCGTGGGTGCGTACCTGGTGGGCAGTGGAGTTCGAGGCAGTCCGTCCGCGCCAAGGGTCACCAATCTCTGGTGTCCAACGCTCTCTCTCTCTCTCTCTCTCTCTCTCTCTCTCTCTCTCTCTCTCTCTCTCTCTTCTCTCTCTCTCTTCTCTCTCTCTCTTCTCTCTCTCTCTTCTCTCTCTCGCCCGTCCGTGTGTGGGTCAGCCCCGAGTCAATTGTATACGGTTAGGCCGGGTGTAGCTGGCCCGGTAAGCGCTGGTACAAGACAACGTTTGCGTGTCAGTGTAGGAGGAAGAAACGGGAATCCAAACAAGCAAAGTTGGCTGTTTAAAATCAAACCAGCGTCTTGGGGCCCATGGTGCTGCTCTTCTGAGGTAAGCCAATCCGACAGCTCACCTGCGTGAGGGGGTTTCCCGTGCTTTCTGGCTTGCGACCGATGCGGGGAAATGCTGCTGGCCTGAGGCAGAGACCGCTGACAATGCCATCAGGGCCCGAGTTGTCGTCCCACGGGTGTACCGCTGCTAACCAATCGGGTACATGGTATTTGGTCTTATTCAGGTTACAAAGTGTGGTTTGAGGGGGATCGTGGTACTCGTAGTAGAGACTGGCATGTGCGTGTGTGTTGTATGTCGACTTCATCACCAGCGCCACCAGCGATGCCATATACGCTATCATCCTAACACAACAAAAGTTACCGTAGATGCCCGATGACTTTCAAGAACCCTCATCAGTCCTCTCTCTTCATGCACGTCCTGACCGCGCCGGCCCCCATCCCGTGCTCACTGGGCTGCAAGCGGAACCGGCTCAGACAACCACATGTCCCACACTCCACATCCGAACCATGACGTCCCTTAGCACCACACTTTGCTAACCAACCGTGCACACCACACCATCAACACCACACATGCCCACACCAGACGGTCACACGTCACATGTTCCATAGCGTGCATCCATGCCATCGCATTACTGAGAACCATGCTGTACATCACTATAGAATACATGACCCGTCTAGCTTCACCTCGGCGCACATCTACTCACCCACCAACCCGCAATCAGACTTCCACCCTCCTAACCCATTGCCGCATACCTAAATGTACTCAGTCCCCCCGCCATCAAACCCCACACCAGCACAAAACTACTTTTCCGCCCTCCAACACCCGTGCGCTTATCCGAACAACGCCAGTACCATATGGTAGGCACCCCGTAGAGTACCTACGACCAGCCTTATCCGCGGCCGAATCCCAACACTCCACCTCCATTCCCACCCATACTCTGCATCTCACACCCCACCGCACCGCCCTCCCTCCCCAAGGAGAAGGAGAAATCTTGTCCGGCTAAAGGGAACGGACGCGAAAATAGTTTTCCGGCGCACGTACCGTACCTGTCCGTGGGTGTCTGAACAGGTTCGGGCTCGGGTGCGGATGCAGGAGGCGGGCGCGGTTGGGGAGGGTCGGGATGTGGGGGATTGGGTGGGTGTGGGATGACTGTGTTTGTACATCGGCATGTGCGACGGGATTGTGTGGATGGCGAGGGGGAGAGTGGTGTGTTGGGTGGATGGATGGATGGCAGGAGGTGCGAGACCATAATTTGTCAATACGGCTCAGATCAACATGTTTCCACCATCATCACACACGCGACCTGCTTCAACATTTGGCCTCGACAATTGTACACGTGGCCCAAAGACACCAAAAAAATCAATACAAACATTCCACTCCGTAAATACAGCCCGATCCAACTCGCAATGCCCGTCTTGTGATGCATATCCAACCCCCCCAACTCCAAAGAACCCCATGATATATATAATATTGTCTAGACTCGAAAACCCCCACCCCAAATATCCGCTCGATGTAAAGTGTTTCCACGCTCTCATTGTGTGGCTCGGCTTGATACACGCATATAGTCCCTAGACAGTATGGAAGCCTACATGACAGTGCAGGGTATAGGGATGCAGCAGCAACTGCAATCGTCGGTGCTGATGCATGAGCATTTTCCAGCCTGGGGCTTGACTACAGAGCCAGCAGCGCTAGAAACCGAGTTGGACGAGGCAGGCATCGTATTGATTCGAATGCGCGCGCGTGCTCGGCTTTTGGTGGTCCGCAACAACGTGTTCTCGGTAGTTTGTGGCGAGGGGCTTGCGAGGAATGGTGAAGAGTTGGGTAGGTAACGTCAACTGTGGCGTCGTTAGCTCATCGATGCACCCACGTACGCTGCATCCACAAAGCCGTTGGTACCAACCTTGGAAATGGCGGGGAAAAGTAAAATGCAGAATAGTGAAGGAGGGTTCGAGTGGGGAAGAGCGAGACAAGGAGTTGTTTAAACGGTTTGGAGAGAAGATTCCAGGGTTGTCTTGTTGGATGTTGCCAGCCCCAGCCCTGCTTCACGGTCCAGGGCGCTAAACCTCAACCATCCACACTAGCCCAACTATGACGTCACTGTCGTGGCGCAACCACTACTAGTACGCGTTGCATTATGCGCAGCACAGTTGCATGCACTGCACAGCATTGACCAATCCCAAATGTGTGGAATTTGACATGGTAAGACTAGACTGTATTGATTGTGCGTCTGTCCTAGACTTTGTGGCCTACCGACTCTGGATATTTCTACTTGACAACAGAAGGAGGCCACCCAGCCGTCATGTCTGAAGCCAGCTATCACTACTACTATATGCCTCCTTGGGAGTATTTCAGACATCCCTCCAAGTCATCTGGCTATTCTCTACCCGAGGCGTCCTGACGGCTGTCGACTCGTTAGTAAAGATTGCAGGGCATACCAGCATCAACCTCACCGTTTTGATCGCCAAATGGATCGTCGTCGTCGTCCTCCTCTTCAGCATCGCTCTCTGGATCGGCACCTGACCTGACGACAGCAGGTACAGGGGGCATGGGAATACCGCTTGGCCTCGGTGGCTTCATCGGAGCACTCTCGTCAATCTTCAACCCGGCCATGGCGGATTCGGCTGATGGAGAGGTACTGAGTTCCTCATCGTCGCTGTCGCTGTCATCGTCGATGCTCTTGTCCATAATTTCAAACGCCATAAGGGCTTTAACAAGCTCGTCATTGGCGTTCAAAAGCCCACCAATGTACTGTTCAGATTCGACGAGATGGATGTAGCGCAGGATCTGGCGACGGAGCTGCTTGCAGGTCTCAAAACGTTGCATTACCTCGGCGTTGTCGCTCACACGTTGCTGCTCGCGGTTGATGAGTTGCAGTCCATTCAAAAGGTTCGTACTCGCAACATTGGCCGAAGCGATGGTTTCTAGTAGCTGCCCCTTTTCCTTCTCCAGATTGAATCTTGTACTGCGACCTTTCTTTTCTTTCTTGTCCCTTTTGAAAAGCGAGGAACTGGAAAAGGGAGCAGAGGTACCCGGTGCGACAGGTCTACTGCTAGTCGCTGCAGGTACGTGCTGTGGCTCAGCCCGTCGGAGTTTAGGTGAAGATGGAGGCGAGTGCTCCTCATGCTCACGTGCAGCTTCAGCGTCCTGTTGTCTGACGATTCGCGACTGTTGCGGTTGCGGTCGCTTGGTGCGAGGCAACTCTTTGTGTAGCGCTGCTATCCTTTCGAGACCGGGTGTACCCTTATAGGCGACAGCCCATTGCCGGAAGAGTATCATGGCTTTTTCACGGACTTCAGCATCACCGTAATCGTCACGAGCTAAGATTCGCAGCCTTTCCAGGAGTGGTTCATCGGCAAACGTCTTTTGAAACCGGGAGCCGGCATTCTGGATTAGCGCATCCAAGATGACTAGAGCGCGAATTTGGCGATGTACATTGCCGTACTTGCTGCAATACCATCAGTTTCGTGTCAAAGAGATTCATGAGTGCAACTCACAGCTTCTTTCGCAACGCTCGAGCTGCTTCAGTTGGGCCAGACGACTGAATTCGGATGACCTCAATAAGATCCACAACGCCGCCAATGTCCTGTTAAATTTAAGGGATTGTATGTGAATGGGATCATGGGGCGGCTTACGTTCTCTTCATATTGCTCACTTGTCAAACGATCGATTTGAACGCTCACTGCTGAGAACGCATGTTTCTATTGTGGGACCTCCAGGCTTAGTACGTTGCAACAATGTTCGAGATGGCACGTTAGGTAAGGGACCAGTGACAGGCAGAGGCGCATAAAGATGAGATACTTGTCATGATGAGGCGAAGTTTTGAAGTCTTTCGACCAGAGTATAGCGTTGGCTATGGTCTGATCAATCGACGCAACATCGGCTGATTGGGCATCATGATCTGGTGAAGTACATGATCGAGTCTCCAAACTAATCAGGAAGTGTGACATGTTCACCGTCGAAAGGTGGCAGCAGCCCTTCGACTGTAATGGTCTGACAAGGGAAGGACTATGGAGTGCTGCGAGGTGTGTAGAAGGCATCAAAATTCGAGGGCCAAAAGGCATCATCTAGAGAAAGGTCAAGGCAGCTTACCGGCATCTTCGTATGGCCGTCCAGTAATGACTCTCACTTTTTTGTCCTTGTAATTTTGATTGCCGAGCATTCAATACCTATGCGTACTCTGTTCAAGATTGGTCTGTTTGAGAACGATAGAGCGAGATGTGGATGATCGTGAAGGCATGCGCTGATGCAAGATGAGGGGCCTGCCGATGGCGAGGAGCTGATGCCAGAGATGCAGATGGTATCGCGCAAAGAAATAAGCGGATACAAATCAGGAGTAGCTACTGGGGCGAAAGATGAAGTGTGGACGGTAGATGCGAGGTGTTGTGTGCAGTGGTGTTTCACGTGTGTTGACAGCTCATGTGTCAGATGGAGCTGCCAGTGCCTGGTGGAATGGCTGTCAGCCGCCACCCCGCTTTCAATGTTAGTGGGGGCTGAGTAAGGAAGTCGCAGCTCACACGTCACGCGATTTGCTTCACGCTGACCTCGGGATGATCACTTCACACATGCCCACGCTTCACGAATGATGGATGGTGTCAAGACAGCGAACGCGTTGTATCGTGGCTGGCGCGCTGCTGAGGTAGTGAGTGTCAATAAGGATGACGCGTGAGCAGACCAAAGCATGCCTTCACTTCACACTTCACAAACAACCCTCACAGCTTCGCATTGATCACTTTTCCACAGGCAACGACTAATATCATCGACCACACAGGACGTCCAGTGCGGGCCCATTGCCCTCTACCTTTACAGCAATCAATCACAGCCCCCTTCAACTAATCACGCCTCAATCGTCAGTAACACCACCAGTCCAGCAAAACGAGGCGCGGCGTAGAGCGACTTCCAAACGTCATCATAACTCTGCAGTCGCCCAGTACCTGGGATTCGGAAATTTAGAAGAGCCTGCACATCTGGAAAAGTATGCCCCACTACCGGCTGGCTACACTCGTCCAAAATCATCTCGCAAGCGAAGGAAACTAGCAACTGTCGACAATTCGTCTCATCGCCCACGGAACATCACTAATGGCGAGCCTGATATCAGCAAGCAATTCCTCTCCCAAGTTATACAAAGGCCTGTCTTGAAGCCCGCTGCAGACCAATTGCAGGTCTACTCGAATGACTCACTGTCCCCGAGCTCACCTCAAACAGTGGCGTCACAGACTCTACCATTACAAACACTACTCCAAAATATCAAACAGTCACAGAGTACCTGTTATGCATATCATACTCTGGGGCAGTACAGAAAGGCTGCCGCAAGTCGAGTGCCCAATGAAGAGATGATGCCTGGCCCAGATCCACTGAATCACATTGAATCAAGCCCTTTCTGCGAGCCTGGGCATTCTGATCACCCTGGTTCCGACCCGTGGCAGCATATCGATGGAAATACTGTTCCAGATGAAGATGATTTCGATTGTGGCATTCTCGATGAAGACTTCCTTGACCTGATGCACGAAACAGACTTCACGCTCTCTATGTACCCGTCTAAATCCACAGATAATTTGCAAGGCAGGGTTGGGAAACAAGTGAGGCCTTCACTTCCAGGTGTCACGCCAAAAAGACTTGATGTGAATACCAGCCAAAATCATTCACACCGTTCGTCTACCAAGTTCAAGTCACCTTTGACTCTGACGTCTCGGCTGCTGGCAATCACCGGGGATGTCGAAAAACCCGATGCGCGTAAGCCGATCGTAAGGCCTCCATTTCCTATAGCCGTTCGGGACCGGTCGCCTATCATAGGTCTCTCATCAAATACGTTGTTGAGGACATGCTTTCGCATTGGAGAAATTATCAATCAATGCTCTCAGATGCTGAGAACTGGAAAAGCTGTCATTTTCGAGCTCTATGCGAGAGTCCTTGAGTCGGAACGAACTGATATGCAGCAAACGTTCACTTTCTGTGACCTTTTCCACGCCAAGCCTCCTCATGTTAAGGGCACTTATCATGCGACTATCTGGGCATCAGTTCAGCTATTCGAATATGATGCCAGTCGCCTCCTGCAAAAGGGGCGGATCTGTCGATGCATTGGCACGATGAAGCGTGTCGATAGGGAATGGGTGATGACGATACTCAACATTTGGGAGGCTACCTGGGAAGATGTTCAATGGGTGCAGGGCATTGTGGAGCTCTAAGTGTATGCTCGCTCATCCGCTGTTGGGTGCAACACCTATGGCAATGTGGAAAGTGGAAAATAGTATAACTGCTGAAGAGTCAAAGATATGATATGGGAATTGTATGAAAGCTATTGAATGCGACGGATTGAAGACATGGACCACAAATCAGAGGGTATGTATGCAATGAAATCGTAGTATATGTAGGATGTACTGTAGGTAGTCAGGAGTATGCATGACGATTTCCCCGCCAATCTACACAGTAGTTATACTCTAGTTGACTGTGCCAGGGTCTGGGTGCATACGACATGTTGAAGGGTGGTCATAGCTCATACATCATGCCTGGTTAATGATTGGTGCCCCCCGCTTACCAGTACGACATCAATCTCCAGTCCTGACTTACGCGCCTGATTCCAAGAGATCAGGTCTGGTGCCAACAATTGATCGATATGTTGATATAAAACGGCCGCACCGCACACACCCACCTCATCAACCCGACGCTATGTTGACCCAAGCTATGACGACCCAGAACGCGACTAGGCACGAGCCCGTCGATGATCGCGATGCAGCCAAACCCAACTCCCCAACCTCGCAAACACCAGAAAAGTCAAAGTCGCCAAAAGCACGCTCGCTTTCCGACAGCGCACCTCGCCTCGAACCGTCGCCGAAATTCCAAGAACCTGTCCGCATGTCGAAAGATGACCACACCATCCTCACCAGCCCGAGCACGCCTCGCAGGCCAGACTTCCTCTCCAGGGGTCTTTCACTACAAATGCCAGCACGGGGAGACTCACACATGCCCAGTCCCGCGCATTTTGCCGCACGAGTACCGCTGTCGCCCCAACTGGATTCACGGAACACATACGCATCTGCATCGCCCGCGTCACTCCTACCCCGACGTTCGCGCGGTGCTGAGTTCTCTAGAGCGTGCACCAATCTCCACCACTCCACACTACCGAACGCATCCTCCCCTGACTCTTCGCCCACAATCACACAGAAGGGGATCAAGATACCCCCGCGGAAACCACGCTCCAACTCGATTTTACAGGAGTCGCCAAATGTGAATATGCACGGTGGTGGGTGGAGTCATGGCGATAGAACAGGTGCTTCAAGTTCCGTCGGCAGCATGAACATGCTCGGCTCAGAAGACTCCAACAGCTCGTCAGACGAGGCTGACTCCTTTGAGCCTGAAGAAAACGACGACCCCATGATCATGACCCCACAGGCGAAAACTAACATTTTATTTCCTGGAATTGGTATTGGCAACAATAGTGCATGGTCCAACCTCTTCTCACCTGGTGGCCAACCAAACTTCGCAAGTATGCATCGAGCGAGACTACGCAAAGGCCGAAGTAGGAAGAGCTCTAGCTCTGCTAGTGGTCACAGCTCTCTGGCGAGCCCTGGTCCTGCGTCTCCTCCGAATGGTAAAGACGGTCACTTGGCAAGAGAAGCTGCAATGCGCAAGGCGGGCGCGTCTTCACGAAGGGAGAGCCTATCACTGTTCGCGAACGATCTGCACATCTCATCTGGTAACGACAGTGGCGACGAAGCTGGGGCTTTGCCACGAACACCAGGTGTTGTACGGCGACAAGTGACACGGCGGGGTAATTTGCTGGTAAGTTCTTACCTTGAGCCGCTAACAATGTCTAATTTTGGCAGCCGAAATCACGACAGTTTGGCCGTATCAAAGCAGAGCTTTTTGAAGAAGCAGCACCGGTGGATAGTGAGGCTCGTCGCGAAGCTGATATCATCCGGCAAGTGAGAGAGAGCGATGGAGATCGGGACCTACCATCGAACACTGCGCAATCTTCCCCGAGTCTGATGCCGACTGTTCCAGGACTAGATGGTCCACTCGAAGGAGTCCCTGAAGAAGGTAGCGAAAATGGCATGAGTCTCGACAGCATGACCACCAAAGGACTATTCGGCACGTTTGGCAGTCTCAACTCCAATCGCAATTCCATTAGCAATGGCTTTTGGGGCAATCGTGTTGCTCACACTCCGCCACCAACTGTCCCTCGTGCCGACTCCTCGGCCATGAGTGAAGACATGAACCTAGATTCCCCAACCATTGGCACCACACCAATGGACTACGGTGGCAACACAGGCTGGACATCTCGCGCCTCAACTCCCGGACCGATGAACCCACCGACTGCCGCAGAAGCTCTCAAAAAGAGCAACAAGCGCCGTCGGGATGATGACTTCGACGAAGGTTCGATCAAGCGACGCGCGGTATCACCGGGTGTCAGCGTACAAAATAGCCCTGTCATATCGCAGTCGCCAGCTCAGCGCGACAACACTCTGTGGGGCACGACTACCAGAACTGGAAGGGAGGCGTCTATGAGTGGACCGTCAAGCAATGAGCGATCGAATAGTGGGGGAAGCATGAGTATGACGCCTACCTTGGGTCCGAAGAGGATTGGATTACAGGGTATGGTGGATACCAGTGATGGATTTATGAAAATGAGTATCGAGTAGCAAAGCCTAAGACTACTTCAGCTCCGTAAAGATGAAAGGGAAAAGTGCATATTGCAGTTCAGCGCGGAGTTTGGGCGAATTATGGGAAACACGGAATTTTGGCAAGCGGCCAATCATGGATAGGGAGTTTCTTCTGTTTAGTATCGATACCCAATAGTGTACAAGTTTTTACCTGTCTCGTACGTGCTTCTGTGCCTCTCAAGTTCAATTTGCGTGTACAACGCATGTGATGTCTCATCGATACATGTAGAGGCATGGCCAACGGACCCTTGTACGCCCCTCCAGACCCCGCCAAGTTAGCTCTGCCACCACATCTTGCTCCGCAACCCCAAACAAAACATCGACCAAAACATCACCACTACAATACAACGTCTGTACTGTAGCCTCAATCGCAAACATGTCACGAGCAACAGCTCTTTCTTCTTTCATAGACAGTGCGCCCCCTGGTGAGGTGAGACGGCCCTTTTGCTTCCATTCCTCCCCCACCATGCTCGCTTCCACACGTCCACGTCCACGTCCACCAATGCTAATACTGTTACAGCTTGCCGATGTAACCAAGGCCATAAAATCCATCCTCGGCTCCAACAATGTTTCTAGCGAACTGAACCCCGCCTTTGAGAAATACAATGAAACGCAATTCACCACGACCAAGCTGCCAGGCGGCGCTACTGAAGTGCTGGTCAGCGAGTACAACAAGTTGAGCGACGGACGGTACTACGATACAGAAACACAGAGCTCATTTGACTTTGAGCATGAGACTGGCAAGGCGAGTGCGGTGCAGAGTCATGTTGTGGAGAGTCAACACCAAGATCTCATGTACGTCCCCTCACCCTTCAAACCCCCACTCTCATGAATTCATTGGTCGGGATTGGCTGAGGTAGTAGCAACAAGGAATAAACTAACCCAAGATCCAGTAAGAGCCTGATAAAAGCCCTCTCAGCACACACCTCAGAACATTACCCCTCCTCCTCTCACGGCGTCTTCCCCACTTCCTCCGACTCAGCTCTCGCACTCCTGACAGTCGCAAACAAATACTCTCCGACAAACTACTGGAACGGCCGCTGGCGCAGCTCCTACATCTACACTCCTTCCTCCGGTACCCTGACCGGTAGCATAAACGTTGACGTACACTACTACGAAGACGGAAACGTACGATTGCTCACGAACAAGAAGGTCGATGTTACAGTCGGGAGTGGCGCGAGTGCGCAAGAGATAGTGAAGAAAATTGCGGCAGAAGAGAAAAAGTACCAAGAGGATCTGAACAAGGCATTCGGAAGTTTGAGTGAGGGCGCTTTCAAAGCGTTGAGGAGGCAACTACCGATTACAAGGCAGAAGATTGAGTGGGAGAAGATTAGCGGGTACAGGCTTGGCCAGGACATTGGGGGTGGACGGCGGTGAGGGGTCAGATGTGAAATAAGCGGAGATGGAGAGGCGAAGACGCCTGGTATATCGAGTAGAACTCTGGCTGAAGAGTCTCAATGAGCATGCTCGACATGTTAGCGGAATGCATATCTTGATTCATAAGACAGTCTCGTCACTACAATGCTTCATATGTGTGATGTAACTGCGAAAAATTTACCACGGTCATGCTGGCTGATTGGTAACTACTGCACTGGCAGTACTCTTTTTCAAAAAACAAAGAGCTTCAGAGAGTCGCGAAATGACGATGCTGAGGCTTCAAGTCGAAGACCTTCGCTAGATGTGGGGCATGGCTAATTCTGGGTATGGCCATTCTCTCTCTTCAAAAAGAGCCCGAGATGTGATTCTGGATCAAGAAAAACATTGTGTATCCGCAATCAATGCACTCTGTCATATTCATACACACAGAAGTCGCGATAGTACCATAGCGGAAGCCAAAGACCTCAACGCATTCCAATTGGCTCTCCCACCAAAGCCGAACATCCCCCGACCCCATCGCGCAGAACACCACAACCACAACCACAACCCTCACGCAACTGCCCTCCCACCCCGGCAAACCACCACCCCGCGCCCCGCAATGGCTAAGAAAGGTGCGCAATTCCTCCTCCCCGTGTTTCCCCCAGGCTTTTTGGAATCGCTCTGCGTGCGCAAGCTCCCACCCATGGCCCTCGTTATCCTGCACGGCCCTGGTGGTTGGAAAGAACTACATACTGACGAGCCCCGACAGCAAAGTCTCGTACCATCATGGTGCGCCTTATTTCCATGGCCATGACGGGTTATTATCGTACTATGCAGCGGCCTCGTGCGCATCAGCCGCTCAGTATGCTGAAATACGATCCTATTGGTATGCACACCACCACAACCATAACTCGGGGCCTCGGTCCTGCGAATTCCTTGTACCCGCTGCGAGCGAGCATGTCCTTGCTGGAAGCGCATTGTCTGAATATGACAGGGAATTGGGGGCAATGGCATTCGTTATCGCAGGGCTGGAGAGCTGTGCTAATGTCTTTTGATAGTGCGCAAACAAGTCCTCTTCCTCGAAGCCAAACGTGGCAAGAATAAATGAATATGGTTGCGTGATGGGATGCACGGGTTTTCTACGTTTCACGGGGGGAGGGGCCTGCCTCGGCGCATATCGTATATTTGAAGAGGAAGGGGGGTGGGGGAATGGGGGATTTGCGTGCAAAGCGCTGGGCTTCGACAAGGCAGAGACATAGGCCGTTGTCGATGTAGCAGTGGAGAAGCAGTGGTGGGTGTGGGGGCTGTATACTGTATCTGTATCATATATCAGCATGAATTGGCGTTACTGGGTAGTAGGGGAGCTGCTTGATGGGCACCTCGTGCGAAAGAATAGGAATGGACAGGTTTCTCGTGGCATTAGGTAGAATGCGTTGGTGCTTATGTCTACGATTTGGCGCTTTTGAATATGTGTCTTGTATCTGTGTCGACCTCACTAGCATGTAAATATAGCTGGTTGAATCCATGGCGCTGTTCGACAGGTTCGTTGGTCTCTCCTAGCTCAAGTGCGTAAGACCTTATACACTTTTTGCACCGTGAATCGTCGCGAAACAATAGACGTTGAATTAACTCACTGCTGGCGCGCAGTTTCACTGAGTTGAGAACTGTTGGGCACCTTGAAAAGAAGAGGAGTGATTTTGTCAGTGTGTGAGGAGGTTCATAAAGGGGAGAAGAGTATGAGACATTAAGTAATGCTCGGAGATGAAAAACCAAGTCAATTTGGCTATGAAGTAGTTGCGACCATATATACAAAAGTGTTTTTCATACTGCTGCTTCCGTGTAATCGTATGCGAAGAATTGAAAACGTCATTTCTGCGTACATGCAAGAGTAGTCGTTGGCTTGAGATGTGTATTTGTGGACGCATTCTAGGCTCCATTTCCGGGACGCGACTATGGATTTGAAGGCGAGTAAGTCCTTTCTAGGGCGAAGTTTTAAAATCGGTTGTGAAGAGACTGGGGAAATACACCTTACCTGTCTCCAACGACCTGGAGGAAGAGGAGTACAATTCGCACGATATTAACAAAACCATAATGTTAACAGCGGCGTCCCATGTATCCGCTTCAATTAGTACAAGCAGCTAAGAAGTATGATTAATCAGTGAACTGAATCGTCAATACATCGCAAGTTGCGCGCCCAAAACAATCCGCTTTCAGACCTGGCATCATTGTCAGTAAGGAAAAATCGAATATCCATAGCTCTTATGACACTCACCAGGTTCTCTTCACTGAGTGACACGAGCTCATGCCTGTCCATTTGACCACAATCACCAAACTGTGGAACATCCCAGGACGAGCGCGCTACAATCCTCTCAAAAAGCAAAAAGACGCAAAAAAGGCTAATTAAGAGGCCGTCAAGTGACTACTCGCTGAATCGACTTGAGCAAACGCCGTCGATGGCGCCAAAAAAAAACAGCAAAAAAATGGTAGCTTCTCTGTGATTTCGCGTGTCAACCTTAGTGCAGGGGCCATGCTAATCTTCTCTGTATCGTTTCAATTGACCAGATACCCGAAGGTAGAATGATGAGGAAATTTGCGTATTATATAGTCCTTTCGTTGTTGTGGCGGTGATGTGGTGAATGCGTTTGTAGGGGACGTGCTCGGGCGGCCGGGTTGCATGGACAGATGACAAGTTGATGGGCCATCCTAACCGTGTCAAGGTTGTTTGAAGGCATCCATAGACTTCTGTTGCTGTGATGGCATGGAGCCTGTCGGCTGTCGTCACTGATGCAGAACAGTCTTAACGTTCACGTAGTCGCTGTGCCTGCCTTCACGAGGCGTGTAACAGAGATCTCGCACATTATGTATAGCAGCCTGAAACCAGTCCCTACTATTCTTACTATATAGAGATCCATGCTATCGATTCTCAGGGTCGGGTATGTTCGTTGTTGGTATGTCTCGTGCACACATCAGTTCGGTATGATCGACTCGAGGAGCGCGTCGGCGGTCGCATGGCGCGGTATGACTAACTTAGATTATCTGAAGACTCTTGAATTAGCAAAAGAAGTTCAACAGTAAATAGGTAAAGCCAACGGGCCTGCACTTACTGGAAGCATTTGCGCGCGCTGTACACAGTTCGCGGACACGCGATGGCAGGGAATCGTAAAGCAGGCTAATGACCGCCAACGCAACCGGCTACACACAGTGATTACCTGCTTCTTGAAGCCTGTACACAATATAAAGTGCTGCCCTTCATTCTACTGGCTTCGACGATGTTTGACAAGATGCGACCCTCTCCGGCATCGACTCTACGTATGGACATATCTAGCTGAGCGTGAGCAAGTCGTTATCCAGATCTTGATTCGAAGTTTTGGGATGTTGGAGGCTCACATAATTTGACCCGGTGTGGCAATGACTGACAATGGCCATGATCAGCAGCGCTGATAACGAGAGGGACGAAGATGGCCATTGTCGGCGCAGGTATGAAGGATGTGATCACCGGAAAAGAGACACCCACAACGAAGTCAGTAAATATTTGGATGAATAGAAGAATATATTAGATATGATAGCTATAAAAGAGGACGACCGCGGCCCCAGTGCTCAAGTTGTAGTTGTTATGAAGTTAGCCCACGATCGACGGAGAAGGGAGGGAGTTGACTCACCGGGCGCGAACTGAAGCTTGGAGACTCTTTGTAAACACGGATATCTTTTCAGAAGAACCAAACCAAACAAGCGAGGAAACAAGGTATGTACGGTGCCTCCCACCATCAATCTTCATGGCCCGAAGGCTCGAAAGTGGGCCTGGATTTACACCGCATGCTCATCCAATAGCCTCGTATGACGCTCCGCATCCTCACCTGCCGCATCCACTGCGGTAACGGTGTCCGACTGGGTACCAGCAGGGTCTCGGAGCTCGTGCGTTACGGGCAGGCTAACGGTAAAGCCGTTGGAGAGCGTGTGGGGAAGTTACTTCATCTTGGGCATCGATAACGAGAACACTATGTGGAAGTAGTCTCGATAACACCATCGATGCCCTGGACAGTGATCTGAGTATGCCAGGAGTCAGCATGCTTACCTTCGAAGGAATGAGACACGTAGTCAGTATTTGGAAACGACGTCGACTCAAGTCAGTGACCTTGTTTGCCGGAAGAGAGCCATTAAATAAAATTTTGTTAGCAATTTACACCGAACACTTGATGGAAGGAGGGGACGATCTGCGTTGGCCGAATCTTATGAAGCTTAAGAGACGTTGACCAGGCGGCACCACGTGGAGGTGCAGATTCGGTTTTGCCGCCCGACCTGGGACACCAAAGCATCAGGCCTTTGTCGCGACAGTATCTAGTAGTAGTTAACAACATGTTGGTGATGGAAGGTAGAAGAGTACTTACTGAGTGACTGCACCAGCTATGTTCGGTTGAGTTCCGGGATGGCAGCTGGTAGAGTGCGACGACTACTCACGTTGGCTGACTTCAGTACGAGAGACTGAAGTGACCCCAGGAGGTACTTGACCAGGATGATCGGAAGTGTGAGTCAGATTATGCCTCCTATGTCCTGCGATGTTGAAGTGTTAATTGATGGATCATGCCCAAGGGAAAGATGACTTACTGATCATAAGCCATGAACAAAATTTGGCAATGAGGATTGTATGACCGTTCCATGATCCTTCATGCTACCAACCAAGCATGAAGGGGAAGGGAAGGTCAAACTTGCACCACTAGGCAATAGTACCATCTGCTTCGGGTACGGATCCCTACAGACAACTATGCCTAACAGCACAGGTGCAACATTACTCTTGGCCATATCGAACGGGTGAAGCGAGCATCCAGGGTGTACGGGGCACCAAGGATGGGCGCAACTCCCAGTCTCGACATGCGACAGAACATGATGTGGGATGCGATCAAGCTCTGCCACCAAAGGCCGATGAGGCACACCTATACAAGGTGTACCAGATTGTTATGATACTGTCAGTCATTCCACAAGAGGGGGGGAGGGTATACTTAACCTTGGCAGCTGGTGAAGTGGTTGTTGTTGATGGCGCCGTAGCAGTTGGATTTGGCGAAGGTGGTGCCCACAAGTGAACCTCAAAGGCTGGTATGGTAAGAAGCTGTGAACAACTGTCAGTGAATGAAAGAAGAGGTGGTTGAGCAATAGCAAGCTGAAGCACAAGACTCGCGATCATGAAGTTGATCGGAGTTCTTGTGGAGTGGGTGTGATGGAAAAGAGAGAGAAGGAAAGATGGAGGATGGGCGAGGGAAGACCTCTATTTATGGAGGGGCCGGAGCTTCTCGGTGCGTTAAGCGAGAGGCCAGAGGGGGCAGGAGCGACGGTGACGGAGACTGGGAGGGCAAAGGGTATGATGGAGATGCTGTGTAGGTTATAGAGAGGCATCGCAGAGGCACTGCAGAGCTGCAACACCAGGAGTAGGATCAGAAGGATCAGAATAGCATTTCTATATAGTCAATGATGAACCTCAAGCCCTGTTGAACCCGTGCAGGCCTTTGATAGCCTCCTGTTGTTGTGATTCACAATTCTCGTCGGACTCTGAAGCTTTGGCGCTAGGCCTGGATACCCTTGAGACACTCTCCCACATTGGGACCGGGGCCCAGCTGCCCCTGCGGAGAGTATTGTGAACACCAAGTGCCAAAGAAGGACACGAGGATCAGGGGCGAGAGGAGCTCCTACTCTCCTGACACAGGGGGACGACAGATAGGATCCCATTTGAGCAGCAGACTCTTGAAGGCGGCAGGGAGGCCCGGTGAGTGCAAGCAGGATGATGGGCACAAGCCGACTGAGAATCACCATCAACCTGCTTGAACATGCTCGATCCTCATCCTATTGGTGCGAGCACACTGCCTGGTAAGTCAATCACCAATTTCCGACCTCTGTGGCCAGCAACTCCCCGACTGCCCGCATGCTCCGGCGCAAGAACTTCTCCAATCCAGCACCCTCTCGCCAGAGTGGACGGCCAACTAACGTGCAAATACGTCCAGAAGCTCTTCAGCTCGATTTGGCTGTCGGACACCCCTTCCAGCGGCGCTGGACTCTAGAATTCCATCCTCGTCGAGGGGGGTACGGTTGCAGATGGCCGACAGCATCGTCAGTTTACGCGAGCACGACGCCTTCTCGTCGAACTTAGGTCCGGGCAACCGAAAAGGCAATACACAGATCAGGGATGTCAGAGCCTGTACTGGCTGAGAGCATGACAGCTTATGCTCATCATAAAGCGGCATCGACAGCAGCATCGACAGCACCGATAGCAGCGCCGGTGGCAGCAGCAGCAGCAGCAGCGACGGCAACGGCGACAGCGACGGTGACGGTGTATAGCATGTATTACCATTTAGCAACAACACCAACAAGGATAACTTACACCTCCATATACCATGCGACTCTATGCGAGTGTGGAAATACCCGGAACAATCATGCCCAGCGTGGCGATGCTGGCCTTGGATATTGGCACACTTTCTCTGTCCCCGCAACACCTTCCGACCAAGCTCTAATATCACCAGGCGCGCGACATAGAAGGCGGACCATGGCCACTATACCACAGCAGCCACAAGAAACAATAACATGGTAAGAGGTGATGGGCCACAACATCGACTGACAAGAGACCCTCCTCTGTCGATCAACAGAGAAGGCTTGCACCCAGCTCTCCGAGGCAACAGATAGGCCGGGTACCTGGCCTGTGAGCCGACCCTAAGACATACTTGGCAAGTAATATAAATCTCAATCTTTCCTTAAGAAGAAAAGACTGACAGTGCATTTGCCAATAGAGGTTCAGCCGTGCGACTTCGCCGTTGTGAGCCGTTGTGCCAACAGCCAGTCAAAGTCCCAACGCATCCGAACGATCCCTCCTCTTTTGCGAAATACTCGAGACGGCAAGAAAATTTGCAAAGAGACACAAGAAGACAAAAGAAACAACGGAAAGAATAGAATGTATTGTGGAATGATGGAGCCGGTCCAACAGGCGGGCAGCAAGGTCTTGTGCTCGCCCGTATCAGAACAACCTCTGTCCGGCATAGGCTCTCACAGAAGCCAGTGAGTCGTTGCTGTGATGAGCCCATTACCTTCGAGGTACAAGAAGCATGACAAGGCGGCAGCATGTAGTGGTGTCGGAGATTCGCTCCATGTACCGGTACAGGCTCCCTGTGCCTTCGTCATGCGGCCAGCAAACATCTTTGAATAAGCCATCAAGGATGCAAGCAGACAGTAAGACATCAACAGAAAGAGCCAGCAGAGTCCAGGTGGAGCGTTCCGGTCCGCAAGGAACTGCATCCCTTGATGGCATGTTCGACAAGCTAAAGTGGAAGGCTGGGGGGAATTGACGAGTCGTCTCATTAGACTTTGGCTAACCGAGAATCAGGGGTTCCCCCTTCCCCACATCGTTCCTTCTCGCATCCCTGAACTTCGGCTTGGTTGCAATCGACTGCAATCGACATCATCATACGTCGGAAATGCACGAATTAATGGCTTTACAAAGACTTTGGGATCGCGTGGCTGCTTAAAGTACCCGTATGCTGGATGTGGTGGAATATCGTGGCTTCCGCAGCGTTAAATGGCCACGGAGGTTTACGTGTTCTGTGGGGGGCGACAGGCTTGCCGACCGTACAGCAGCGAAACACAGATTTGGATCTATCAACAGTGTGACTGAAAAGCGCTAGATTCTGAATTCAACTACATACCTGGCATGAGAGAGGCTTTAGTCATAAGCTGTCCACGGGCAGTTCATGCTCATAGCCTTGGATCTATCCTACCACGAAAGACAATAGGGATAAGCGGGAAGACGAGCCACAACGCTGGCCGCATACCTAGTCGAGTATCATGATATCATGGTATCAACACTATCTGGATCACGATGCCGGCAATCAGGAAGAAGCAGAAGTACAACCAAGCATATGGAGTACAGGTCATTTGCTTCCCCAGCGACGCTGAACATTAGCGCACCCTGCGTCTAGGAGCAAAGCATCACATGATGAACTCACGTCGCGGGTCGAACAAGCCTATGTTGTATCAGCAAGGCCACATGAACTTCGAAGAAAGCAGACGACGTAAGGACAGCTCAGACCATCAACATGGTTCCTTTTCCCACAGTAATGTTCAGGCGGAGTTTAACATCACAGCAAATGTACAATGGGCTGCGCGTGTTGCTTACCTTCATACAAGATCATCTACGCCCCTCATAGACCTGAATCTTGACGAATACGCGCAGAGTCAAACTGTGAACCTGGTAACAGTCAGCGGAGACAGCCGAAGGCAGATATTAGAAAGCATGCTGTAAAGACGTCTCAGAACTCAGGTGAACAGATAACAGCTTTCTGACAATAGAAACAGCATAAGGCAAGCTGCTTACCTGAGATTGAGACCTCACAGCACCCAAGTTTATCCATCTGGAAGTCTGGTTTACGTCGAATTTGCGACAGAAGCGAGGCGAATGAAAACTCCAAACTCGCGAATTCATCTAAAACTGAAAACGATTTCAGTCCCACAAGAGCCATCGGGTGAGAAGCTATACATAAGCCGCTTGTAATTACAACCTGCGCTTTGTCAGCGATGGAACTGAATATCCGAGACGACGAGAGATGGCAGGGGAGGCGCGTTTCAGATGGATAAAATATATTCCACAGGAAGAGTTAGGCCAGAAAGGTAGCATTATAGCGGTGACAAGAGAATGCGTAGTTGCTCACCATTACTCCAGGTCGCGAATCCTCAAGCCTCCGGGGGAAAGCCCTATCGGTATTCCTACTTTGAAACGGTCCGCAAAGAACAAAGGCATGAGGCGAAGGTATGCTCAAAACAGGATAGGTGCATCAGATTGACAAATCACTTCGATCCCGCAGGGTAATTTAGGCGAAAAGGTTGCATCATAGCGATGATGTGCAGAGGACGAGGTACGTTGGTCACATTAATCATAAACGGAGGAGGATACTCAGAGCTCCTAGTCTCGAGCATGCTCACTGAAACGAGTGTTCCTGCGGCTTGTTAGCGAGGTACGATTACTTTTTAAAATGTTGAGATCCCGATTGTGATAGCTTATCCGAGAACATTTGTAGATTGTTCAGACCACACAGCAAGCATCGTCATAACGCCAGAAATGCAAGAAGCAGGGCACAACACTTACTACCATTTGTTGTTGTCCATGGAAATACTCTCCTGAATTATACCTAGATTCTGGCTCGTAAATGTGGCTTGGAGAAAACGAGAAAAAAGACAGCGACATTGAAGAATTCAGATTGAGTTTGAATTTCTGCCACAAATGCCACAGAATGATGATGAATTATCATGGAAATTCAAAGCGGTGCAGGGTACGCTTACCTGGAAGATAAGACCCGATATTCGCCTCGGATCGTTCTATCCAATGGCATCGTCAGCGAGATCATAAGATTTGAGAAGGTGTGGCAAGCGATATTATCTCGACGCCCGACAACACGTGGGACTTGAGGAAAAGGCTTACCTGATAGATGGGTCTGAAAGCCCCATCTCGGATCTGGAATCGCATAACCTCAGGTCTCCGTGGACGTTTTTGGCTTGAAGTTTACGGATGTACCGGTATTCTTCAAGAACTGGATCCAGGACGAATGGGTATAGACCTGTCTTGATTTGCGTCACAGCCATGATTCTTGGCTTTGACCGAGGGACGACGTTTTACATACGCCGCCAGCGATGCAGGATCAATCTACCCTTTGAATAAGAGGCTGCCGATGCTATTAGCTTTTGTCAGTAGCGATCACAAAAATGTCAAGGAAATCTTCAAGGAAAGAGGATAGAAGCCAGGCCGATTGTCTACTGCGCAAAGGAAGTTCGGTCTATCCGGCAGGGTTACAAATCTGGGGATATGATGAAAGCCAGGGAACAGAGTCCCATACTTTACCTCATACAAGCAATATGGCCGAGCATACGGTAGCAACCTGAGTACTATTACGAGTCCACTTCCCGATGGGACGATATCAGCACCATCATACTGTGACGGTGGTACGAAGAACTGCAAGTTAGCAGCGAATCTCTGGATCCCTTCAAGTGCTAAAATCTGTCTGATGTCAGCAAACCACGCCATCAAAACGGCAAATTCCATTCGCAAAAGGAAGGAAAGGTACGATATAAGAGCTTATAGTAACCGGCGAGCATCTTTCTTTCAAAGGGCAAGGTTCATCGAGATCTACCCTTGATTACAATCGCTTTGTTTGATCTTGGTGTCGTCTGAATGAATAGACGTGCACGGGTGGAGACATGATCAATCGTACACCCGCACACTAAGCACCGTAATGTTCGCGCTCGACAAACCATCGATGGGATTGCAGACAGGTGCACCCATCTTGGGCCCAGTCAAGCATCGATGAGAGGTACTCGGAAGGTCGGCTCCCGCCAGCAGCCTATAGGATTACATCCTCTGTTCTCCTAATCGAATAAGCTTTGGGGAGTACTATTTCTCTCTGGTTTCAATCTTGGTGCCGTCCAGATGGATCAAGGTCAAACGATGAAGGTATCGAAGACCTAAATCATTCAACCACGCACCTTCTATTCCTCGGTGGATATACCGCGCTGACATGTGCATTTTGGGTGTTGTAAGAGGAGGCAAGAAAGAGGGTATATGACGTACCAAATTGGTGATGCTGATGGCCAGCCAAGACCCTTGGTCGCGATGGACAGTTTACCTGAGACTCGTCAGTCGGATACAGAGTGGGATGCAAAAGCATTCCATTTGTCAGATGGTAGACAGTCGGGATTTTCACAATCCTTGTTGGAGCATACACGTAGACGCTCGCTGCAGACGCTTCAACTTCTTCATCATAGTCATGATGTGGAATGTATGAGATTGGTCACCGGCGCTCCCAGGGGATAGTACCTCAAGAGAACCTCAAGAGCTGACTGTCAGAGCTCGGAACTGTCCAATCATCATGTGCTGACCAGGGTGCGCGCATCCAGAACCAAAAAATGGCGATCTGGAGGAACACCCATCGGCAGGAAACTCGCATCGATCGGAACGTGGTGTTCGCCAAATCACAGACACTCCCGCTTGGGAATCACATTCCGTCTACCCTGACAAGGCATATTAAGTGTGGAAAAAGAAAGAACCACACTATAGATCCTTGAAAGGCGATGCGACACGTTAATCTTGGCCAACGTCGGCGAGCTCGCTATTTACAAGCGGATCGCGTTCGGCTGGCCGTATAACCGCGTCAGGGGACTACGGGGATGACGTTGCAGAAACTCACCTCACATCGACCACAGCAAGGCAGACATTGTCCAGGCTCCCCAAGACTCGAAGTGTCTTAGTATGGCTGCAGACTTGAGAGCTTACTCGAAATCAAGATGGCCTCGAAAAGATCTGTGGGCGGCGATGTTGTACCGGTAGAGCGGGAAAGAAAGATGGCGAGGGTGGAAGGAGGACTTCTAGTCAATGAGATATTCGCGACAGCGATTGTTACCTGTTGGCGGTCAGTTCAGTTAAAGCTCCATCAATGTGAGTCTGTATTTAGGAAAGAGGTGCGTTGTCTGTGGACACCCGCTCGACTTCCTCGACTTACGGGAAACTGTAACGAAGCTCACGTGAGCTACCCAGATATGCACAGAAGAACTTGTGCAGCAAATCAGGGCTCCATCGTGTTCAACTTGCTTACATACACACTGCGTAGTCATGCAAGCTGTCGCGGGAGTTGAGGTGGTACTGTTGCCTCTCGTGTGTGCGGAGGGGTCAGGCAGGTGATGTAGAGAATGAGCCGCCGCCCTCATCCAAAGAGATGATCGAGACGGAATGCGGTCCGCAGCGCCTGGCGCCTGAGGTTCTAAATACTATGCTCTGTCAGTCATTTCCAAGGACTGCGCTTAGCCCGGCATGGATGTTGTTTGGAAGCTCGTCGCCATTGTGCCGCCGCGGAGAAGCTCTCATGGTTCCGTCAGCTCCACTGTCAGTGACAGCGACAGCTTGCTTGCCTCGCAGGCAGACGTAAGCATAGAGTGATGGGGAGGATCAACTTACTGGATTGTCTGTTCGGAAAGCTTGTGTAAAGATGATGGTACACTCCCATGGAGAGGGGGTAGGGTGTAGGGACGCTGGCCGACGAGGCAGCTCGAGGCCGTTCGAAGGTCAAAACCATGGCCACCATCCCCCCCTGCCCTCCGTGTCGAGGGAGTTCGAAAAGAAGAAGCTGCTGCTCGAGGATGCTCACAAGCTAGAGGACAGTAACAGTACTTACTGGTCAGGAGGGTAGGCCATGTTTACCGCGCTGCCGGCGAGGGTTTCGACAGGACGCTACCACCATTTCGTGCCAGCAGCATCTATGGAGGCAGGAAGAAATAAGATGTGGACCCAGATATTGCAGAGCCGTCTGCATGTTGAGAGTGGGTAGGTGGTTGAGTGTTGTTGTTGAGTGAGATGGTGAGTGAGTGGGAGGGGCAGGAAGGGCAAGAGGCAAAACAATCGAAGTCCGCACAGAAGTGGTCCGAGCAACAGTGATTTGGTCTGCCGCAGTCGGTGTGAATGCGCACTCCTGGTTATGGAGCTTTGCAAGTGGTGTGTGTGCATTGTCACCACGCCGAGTGTACAAGATGGATGTAAGTAGTAAGAGTACCCCATAAATTTGTCATGTTGTTTGATACTGACCCGAAATATACACAGATAGTCTTCGATTATCTCAGCCGCCTTCATACCCTGTCTAACCCATGTGTTGTCCTAACACCACCATTCGCACCGCACCATACCCACGAATACCCGTTCGCTCCAGAAACTTGCGACCATGGTAAACGAAGAACATGGGCGAAGGACTTTGGCCAGGCGTTATCGATATGTCCACAGCAGCTTCAAAGATCAGTTTGTCTACTGATATGCACAGTGCCTGGCATACCTTATGCACTCGCCGCATACCTCCGCCTTTCTCACCATCTGGGCAAAAGGATCATGCCTTAGTGCTTCAAGTCTATTTCATGATTCGCACAAATTTGCACAGCATATCTCGAGGGGATGGATCAGGGCAACTCTTGGTTGAAGCGCTGGTCAAACATGTCATATCCTCGACCTATTATTTGAGATCAGTACTATGAAGCAATGGGTGGAGTAGAAAAATCTTATACTTTTGCTCCTCGTGCTACGACGCGTTGGTTCTTTGCCTCGTGCTGAGCTTGAAGACGTCTGCTGATTGCGAGAGTGATACACAGCATCTGGTGGCGCATTCTGGTTCGAAGCACGTGGTTTAAAGGTGGTCGATAAGGCGTTTCTCGTCCGTGATCTAGATCCTGCAGATTGATCCACTGGTGTCTGCAACGAATCGGATCGTATCTTCGAGTTTGATGCCTCGGTCGAGGGCTTTGACGAGTACGACGAACTGTGCTTTGTTCGAAACGATTGATCTTCTACTGGATATTGGGAAGAAGACCGTGGTTTCTTTGTCATGGATCTATCAAAAGCGGCCGCATTTTTTCTTTTCTGACTATATGTCAAGTCTAGTCCCTGCAACGGATCTGGACTTCCTGGTTCAGGACGTGTTAGAATGGACTGTCGCTGACTGTATGTCTGTTTCTTAACAGGCCGCAAGGGTGGAGCCATGCCATTAAGTGAGCTTGTCTCATTGAGCTTGCATTTGGCCTGGACAACTGTTCTGCTATCATCCCCTTTAGGCTGGTGTACTGCGGCGTGTCTCGCGATGGTGACCGTAGGAGGCATTAGTCGGGACGCAGTATTGGCTCGCGATTTCGGGCGTTCATGAGACTGTGACGAGGCGGAACCAGATTCAGAGACATTGTCTGAACGAATCAAAGCATCATCTACGTGCTTCTTGCTCTTGGCATAATTCGAACTCGATGGTTGCTCAATGTCTCGTCCCAGATGATCCAGAGCATCAGAGTTCATCAGACTCAGGTCAGTGGAGCTTGCCTTTTCTATTCCCAGCTCACTCTTCGACGCCTGATTCAGACTTTCCCAGAACTCATCCATGGACATGCTAGGAGCCTCGGCGTCTTGGGCATCCAGAATAGGCTCAGGCTCGGGAGCAGGATTAAGTTGAGAATGGTCTCTCTGGTTGGATGAATTTCTAATCCTATTACGTTCCTCAAATAGATTTTCAGAGTGATCAGAGCTTTGACGATGCACATCAGAAGTCAGGTCACGGCTGAGTTGCTCAGCAAATGAGCCTGCAACACTGGTCGTTGAATTGCTTTGACGGCTGACTTTCTTACGGTTTGAGCCCGCCTTCAGATTGAGTTTCGGACGGTTTGAGGGTTCAACGTTCCCCAATGAGCTCGAAGGTTCTTGTTGATCAGGAACCCTTTGTTCTCTTTTGGATTGTAAAACGGACTCAAATTGTTTCACAATCCTGGACCTTTCAGTCTCAGCTTTCTCTCGTTCGTGTGTGACTCTGGCGTGATATTCATCATCCTTACGGCATAATTCTACCTCTGCCTCCTTCAAAGCGATGTCAGTCTTTGCTTGACGATGATTACACGCTTCGAGCTCTGTACGATGCTTATCAATAAGATCTTGCCGGTCCCTCACAGCGTCTGCTCTGAGTCTGACCGTTTCTGCGTCTTTGTCCGCGTGTGCAGCGTAGTGTTCCGCAAATTTTCGTTCCCAGTTGTCTCGTTCGCAGATCAATTCAGCTTCATGTTTCTGGAGATTGTGCTCCCTCAAATGAGCCTGTGCAAGTTCCAAAATTACCGCTTCTTTTTCTTCTCGGATCCTAGAAGCATCTCTTCGGGAAGTCTCGATGGCAATAGTAGTGTCTCTTTGTGACTCTGCAAGACGGTCTTCAGCTTCTTGACGTAGAGTCTCAATCGCAGAACGGTGTTCAAAAATTTGAGTTTGCAATTGGTCATGAGAACCCTGGAGACCTGCTATAGTATCCCTGGACTCGGCGAGCTGTTGTTGCAATATTGCATGATCTTGGGCCTTGGCTTGTAACTCGTCTGTCTTTTTTCGTAAATGATCCGTCACAGTCGCAAGCTGGGGGCCAGTGGCCGATACTGCCGAAGCTGATTGTCGCAGACTTTCAATGACTAACTTTGCTTCTTCATTCTCCTTGAGAAGAGAATGAAGTTCGACCTTGCGTGTTTGGCCTTCCTTGCGAAGATCATGAACTTGGTTCTTCGAGACGTTCAGCTCGTTATGCAGCTTCTGTCTCAACTGCTCCTTCTCGTCGCGCTCCAGGGTAAGGCGATGGACTTCATTTTTGTAACCAGACTCCTTCTCCCGAACCTCTTTCCGAACCTCTTCCACGATTTTCTCGCGTAATTTTGTCATGTCCTCAGGCTAATGAATTCGTCAGCAGCCAGTAAAACTGGCGTAAAAGAGTTTACCTTTGTGGTTTGTTTCGGTGCTGCAGCCATCTTGCGCAGATCCGCCAAGATTGTGGTGCACTTGTTCTGGCAGTTTCGTTAGACTCATTGAGTGAGATTATGTGATGCGTTTCATACCTCAAGCTGGTTTGTTTTCTTTTCTTGCTCCTGTCGAAGTCTTTCGACCTGCAGAACCTTTTCGTTAGCCAAGTTGAGATCTTCACTTGCCTGCTTGAACCGCTGGCGCAAATCAGAGAGCTCCTGTCTTTCTATCTTTAAAGTGGAATCTTGCTCCTGATTCGCATTCTGGGAATCGCGTAATTTACATTCGAGCTGGAGGTATCGGGTTTTGAGATCACTTTCAGCCTGGTGAAGAGACTTGAGCTGGGCATCGAGCTGGCCATATTGCTGCTGCTCTTTTTCAAGCTGAGCTTTGAGAACCACGTTGGCTTTGTCAGTCTTCTGGTACTCGGCAACCACCTCTTCATGCTGCAAGATGTCACTCTTGAGAGTCTGCATCTGTGTTTTAATGAAATTTTGTGTCTCTTCTGTGATCATGTCCTTGCTCTTGCCGAAAGCTGAAATGGAGGAGAACCCAGTGTCAAGACTATCAGCCAGTCAGTTCAATGCCACATATCGACTTGATCTTCATATTACCGTTCATGCACAGAGCGCAGCATCCTCTCGGCTCTCTGGATATTCTCAATGGTCAGAAATGGTCTGGATTGAAGGCAATGGATCGCTGCCAGACACTCTTTGGAAACTGAGGTCTGAGTTTCCAAGTCACTAGTTTTCGCCGCCAGTGACTGAAAGGTCTCGAGTTTTGTTATGAGAGTCAATGTATTCTCGCCGATCTGTTGCTGTATAGTTTGAACAGAAGCCAATAGGCTTTTCTCCAACGCATCGCGCTTAGTACGCTCTTCCTGGAGCATACTGTTCTGCTTGATAAGAGTCTCGACATGGCCAGCTCTTTTTGACTCCGAGATTGTCAGTCGCACATACAAATCGTCAATTGTCTCCTTCATGTTTCTCTTTAATTTTGCGAAAGAGTCGAGAGTTGATTCGAGGTGTCGACACATGGATTGCCGCTCAGTTTCAATTTCAGTTATCTTTTCTCGCAGGGTCTTTGCATTCTGCGCTTGGAAAGTTTTAACTAACTTCTGTACCTTATCGTAGTCTTTCTGCAGTCCAGCGACATACTTTTGATTCGTCTTCGCTTTTTCAGTCAGTCGATTGAGCGCACACTCAAGCTCTCCTTGGCTTCCTCTCAACTTGAAGATTGCTTCTTCTTTAACTTTGATTTGCTCGTTCAGGTTGGCTATCGTGTCTTCGTAATGTTTTTTAAAATTTGATTGCTCATGCTCCTTACGGAACTGGTCGGCAAGCAAAGACACACGCAAGGCGTTCATATGACTGTCAATTGTCGATGGTACGGCAGCAGCCTGCGGCCCAGAAGACAGGATACTGCTGGTACCGCGAGATTTCTTTTGCACTTTGCTGACACGGGTTCTCCCTTGAGTGGATGTCTTGTGCGAGATTGCCTCATTAATCGACCTCTGATTTTGTTGCCGAGGTGGAGTGTTCTGCATAGGTGTTGAATTATGAGTCTGCTGCTGTGGCATTTCCATGAAATCGTCAGTGAGACGATCCATCGACTCGCCAACCGCGAAGTTCGGCCTCCAAGTCTGACCTGCGGTGGATGTATCAACACCCCTAGCATGGTGAAGATCAGTTCTGAGGTCGTCTGCATTGATCTCATCCGGGACGCATAGCGGTAAGTCTTCAACATCCGCCATCAAGGCTGGTTTCGCTACAACTGCAGCAACTACGGGAGATGCCGGGGGAGTTTGCGATTTGCAGGAAGATACCAAGTTCTTCGTAATTCCATGAGACCCCTGATCATTAGGCATATCATTTGGCATATCTGCGTCCAGGTTACAGTGACTTGGACATGCGTTGCTCCCCCGAACGTCTTCAGGGAACTCGTTATCACCGGAGATATCTTCCAAACTTTCTCCCACCGAGTTTTTGACGTCAGGATCTCCATGCTGATCTCGTATGACGCATTCCATATTGGTCAACGCTATCGAAGGAGATGCGGTTGTCCGATGCGAAATTAGGCTGGCATGGTTCCCACAAGGTGGCCAAGGTTGTCCCTGCTGCTGGGTAGACAGTCGGTTCCTTGACCTCCCAGTTTTCCGAGTAGAATACGTCTTATCAGTTGCTCGTGATGGCGTTGTAGCTTGTGCGGATGGCGATATCGTTGACTGTTTGCCCGGTCTATGGGATCTTCACAGATATTAGCGTCAACCAGATACATGACATGGGGTAAGGCACCTGTTCTCTTCTGTTCCAGATACTCGAGTCCTTGATTTCATCTCATGTGCTCCAGTCTCCGTTCTAGGCGACCCGAGGGAAGGGGGCGAGTGAGAAGAGATGTCAGATTGCATATCCTGACGTCTTCCACCCTGAGGATGCGTTGTGGCAGCCACTGTACGACAATCTGAGAACTGTCAGTCCTGAGTTCCTCCATTGGAACAACACCTACTGTCTTTAGTGTGAAGCCCAGGAGCATTGCCTATATTCGGAAAATGGGTTGCTGACGTCTGTGGCGATTTCAGGTCTACATTATGAGGATTGCCTCGTTTTGCAACTGTGCTCGGCTGATTGAATGCGAAAACGGGCGGAAACGACGGCGGCGGGCCTTGATCGACACGTAGCAATTCTCTCGACAGCAAAGTCCACTCTTGTGAAGCTGGACCGGCCAGCTCTGTTTCCTTCATGACGGAGGTGCGCTCAAGAAACGCCACATCATCAAACGCGTCGTCATTTCCATAATCCGACTTTTTGTCATTGTCATGATTGAAGACATCAAAACTACTAGGGCGTTGCAGCTGCGTCTCCAGAACAGCGTCGCTGTTGCGCGCCTCGACGATGTCTTCTTCGTCGGTTGAACTGGCGCGATACTCGTTTCTCAGACGCGAATGCCTATGTGGTTTCACTGGCTGTTGACCCTTTGGGAAGGAATCAGCCATGGCGAGAGCCAGCCGGTAAGCGGTATGAAGATGGTGGGTGCGGTCTCACTGCACACGTAAGTGAGGTTTGATAACGGGAACAGGCTCGATGAGTCGACAGAGAATATGGCGAGGTGCAATGGTATGTTCAAGGGTTGAGGATCGAGTGACAAGGCAGGTGGGGGGAAGTTTCCACATTGCTGCTTGCCTTTCCAGGCCTGAGGAAGTCGCGATGGCCTGGCAGGATGAGGCGAAATGACTGATCTGGTGATATACAACACTTGCGATATACAAGAGCCTGGTTAATATGCGTAACGACGTAGAAGGCTATAGCGTATGAGAGTAAGGGCATCAGATAGCACCATGCCTGCCTCAATTGTTCATTCACTCCTCAGGTCAAGAAGCGAAGCATCTCATGCGCCGCTCTCACCTTCTTTCAATACATCATCATAGCTGATTTCTTTTTCGAAACATGTCATCCCAGATCACATTCGTTACCAAACGTAAAGATCATGTTGTCCTTTCCTGGTGCTTAACTGTCTCCAAGCTTGTACAGTCTTTCACAAGGTCCGGCATTTGGTAGTGTCGCATTGCATCTATTCTTTACCATTCCTAATGCGTCTATGTGCAATCTTATCAACATTCCGCCGACTAAAGTCCAGGCTCGATGAGAGTGCAGAAATGCGACATGGGTCATTCGCCAGGGTCACGATGAGGTAAACGACCGAGTCACAGGCCCATGAGGCCTAAGTTAGTGCCGGGCGTATCCTCGGCGTAATATATGCATAAAGGACGTGATATGTACAGTATTACAGTAAGATTGTGCTAAGTATTGTTAGAGTAAGCTCTAGCGGGACTGGGATAAGGGTTCATAGGCCTTGTTGTAAGGGCTCGTGGACATAAGAAGATTAACACCTCTAACGTAGACGCCGAAGATACAACAAGCGCTCCCTTGAGCTTGATGGTCTTGTGACACATTCACGTACTATATTAAGGCCCGGGCGAATAACTCCTCCCCTCCCCAGAAATACCAGTACACCTATGTCTTGCATCAGCTTTGTAAAGTAATGGGCATTGTCCATAACAGTCAGCGGGCCTGTTTATACTCACTATGTTGCTATCCCAGGAGAGGAAGTGAAGAAACATAGGAATGATGACATAGCCCTTTTGATGCCTGACATGCTCCTTACAACTCTCTGCCGCAATCAAGATCTCAGTGTATTAGCAGCAGTAGTAGGATGTCTGGATTGTTTTGGGTGTCATGGATCAAAACCACGCCGCGGACTCTGCTTAGAATGGTATGTATCGGAGAGCCAGCTGAGAACCTGGGAATAGAGCGAAACTGCAGGTTTTGACTTCTAAAAATGGCATGACACCATTCATAGAGGTTCCAGGACTCCGGGGCTAATATGGTTGCAGGGTGCCTATCAAGTCAAGATTCTATTTTGTCAAAGCTGCGTTGAGAAACAATTGTGTCCACCAAACTCCTGGCTTCAACGTATTTCCGGCCCTAAGTACGGAAAGGGAACGAAAGTCCTGATCTGGAGCTAGCTGGACAGGGACTAGCGTATCTGGCAAGGATCACCAAAGTTTGGGCCTCGTGCGGGGATAGACCACATGGTACAATCGCTCCCATGCAGGATCTCAACTCTAGGGGCTACGAATACAGCAAGTTAACTTTCAACCATGTTTGCAATCTTCACAGCAGGTCTCGGGGCAAAGGTACAGCCAGGCTGCTTTGACCAAAGGAAACAAGCTCCGGTGGCTGAGCAATGGGGACAGGTACAGTGGTTATTGTCCCATGTACTCGTACTAAGCGATGGTACCAATTTTTTGACACAATTGGAAACCTTCCAAGCAAGTCTGTTCTTGGGAGGTAGATATGCGCAGATATCTTGCAGTTATCTTTTCAAGGCCGTCGGCAGTGCCCACGGCAGCATACAGTGCAGATAGACCTGAACGAATAGGCGTTGGTGGTACATATTTGTCTAACCGAGTATCCAATACAGTGTAGGAGAGTGTGACTACTGTCAGTATGGTTCTTGCATCAAACCACCTTTTTTACACATGCGCGAGTAAGTTCTGCTAATCTTTCCTTCTCAGAGGGCATGCAGTGTTGATCCAAGTCTTGTCAAAAAGGTACCTAACTTCTGGTACCAATACAGCCGTGCTTCTACCGAATATAGGAACATTCACTTCACTAAGCTAGCCACAAAAAGCACGACTAGGTACCGATGGTACCAGTAATTCTTCTCATTCTTGCAATGACTCCAACAACCTGAGATGGCCTTGCCATGGAAGACCTGTCCCCGTTCCAACCAGCCCGGGACCTGAAACGTGCGGCATGTACAAGGCCGGGCGCTTGCCCACCGGCGGCAACCAATCAAACTTCATTCCGACCTAGCGTACCTGCACCACCGTCTTGCCTTCACCACCTCTACGCGCCCACAAAGTCTTGTCTTCTACCAATCCCTTCGGCTGATGCCCTCCCAAGCCAGCGATCAGCCACGCCAATTTGGTCTATATTAAGCAAAATGGCGTGAGGTTGTCTGCCAGCAACCAACCTGGGCCAGCCTGCAAGCGCACAATGGATAACCGCCCAGGAGTCCAGCCGTAGACTCGCGGGGTACCTACCCATGGATGGAGTATGGATTGGCCTGGATAAAGGGAGAGTGCTGGCACAGGCGGATATAGAGGTGTGCTTTCCTCTGTGCTGGTACCGAGGGTTTGTTGGTTATTTCTCCTTCTGTTCTTCTTGCTAGTCGTCATCTGTCCTCCGTCGTCTGTCATCCTTCATCCTATCAATCCTGCGCCACCAGTTGGGTTCTACTTCGGTCGGGTTGTCCTACCTTCTTCCCGTCTACCACGCCGCACTCAAGCAGCAGATCCTTTCCGCCATCATGAGCAAGTCTCTTCTTCTACTCGCCTGCGCCCTACCGCTGCTTGCTTTTGCACAGGAATCAGGAAGCAATCTTCCCCCTCCAGGATACAATGGAGGCACAGACAACCCTCAGGATCCCAGTGATGCTGGCGCTGCAGGCTCAGCAAAGGCAGCATTCTCGCTCTCAGGTGGTGCAATGGCAGCCATCGTCGTAGTAGCGGTAGTGGTGGTAGTTGGTGGCAGTACGTTTCACAAATCTCCTCTCATACATATCAACAAAGCTAACACCACTCCACAGTCGCATCAGCCGTTCTCTGGTGGCTTGCCAAAAAACGCCAATGGGACGTCCGCCAGTCCATTCGCCGCGCATCTCGTCGTCTCACCGGTCGCACCCCTCCCGACAACCCCAAACAGACTCGCGAAAACAGGAGAACAGGTATCCGTCTCAACTCGCCTCCTCCAGGGAAGAAAAGCAACAAGCCCAGAATGGACCAAGATGTCGAAAAGGGCCTACCATTATCCTCCAAGGAACCAAGACTCACCACAACCATCTCCAGCGTCCAGAAATGAAAGCTCTCACAGACTTTTTATAAATCGCTTTTCGTCTTCTCTTCCTAGTGGTTAGGACTTTAAAAGAGGCAAAAGTCCCAGTGCGCATGCTCTACGCCCCACCACACACCCTACCAATACGCGAATCCACCAGCCACTCATCCAAACATCAAATATCCGCGTCCTGCATCTCACTCGATAAGACCCCGCCCAACCAGCGCAGCGCGCATCCACCCAACCAAACAACACCAGCCCACGCATCCCCAAACCCCCAACCCTCAGACCACCACCTGGGCAGGATCCAACGCAGCCTCACGAACAGCCACGGCGTATTTCCCACATTTCCATCTTCCATCGTTTTTATCTTTCGCAGTCACATGGCTTACCATATACCTCATGATATCCCCCCCGCCACATTGACACGACCATGGTGAAAAGTCGTGATAGAGTAGACAGACGTCCCATGGGTATTTTTCTCAACCTGAATCAATACATCAATTGTGTAATCACAATATTCGCCTTTCCAGCTCCCCGCCCTCATCGCATTCATCTTCTGCCCCGGCGTTATTGCAGGTATATACCTGGTTCTGGTTCACTGTACTCGATTCGGGTTATCAAGGTTTTTAGGGCGGGCTTGGCGCATCGTGGCGCATCGTGGCGCTTATGTGAGGAGGGGGTGGGAGGGGAGAGGGGGAGGGGGAGGGGTTCCGAGACTGTGTTGTGTGGTGCATGGATGTTGTCATGGTTTTGCTTTTTTTTACGATGGGCGGGAAGTTGGGCTCGGGAATATGTAGATTCAGATTTGGAATCAGAATTGAACTTTAAACTTAGAGTCGGAGCTAGCTTCAGGTGCGATGAGATATCACATTCAAGATGGATATGACTTTCATTCGAGTCTGCTGTTTAGCTTGGACATGGCGTGTTTACGAAAAGAGAGAGAAAAAAGCTTAGTAGGGTAGGTGATTGGGCGAATTGGGAGATGGGCGGGATCTTTCTCTTCTCTTCTTCCTGTTGTGTGGTGTATACTAGTATAGTATAGTACATGAGATGCATTGTCTTCTGTCTATCTGTGTCGTGGGGGGAAAGATATATCTTCGTGTCCAAAAAGTATACGCAGATGTAGAGAATTTTACACATTACATACAACACTTTGCACCTCCTTGCCTCGCTCCCAGCCTATTCCACCCCATCCCAGCCCAGCCCAGTCCAGCTCCACCCCCAACACCCTTCTTCCCCCATCCCCTTCCAAAATACTAATACACCTCCCGCCCCGCAACCCTCATCCGATTCCCCTCGAGATCAAAAACCACCAACACATTCTTCAACCAGACATCGCCGAGCACCAGACTGCCCTCGCCCGCCCTCTGCACCCCCAACACGCACGACCCCCTCTGCGCGCCCATCCCAATCCCGCCAACTGCTCCAGGCCCCAGATTGATCAAATCATCAGCACTGATCCAAAATGTGCGACCTGCAATGGCAATCCCGACGCGCGGCGCATCGGCATTACATTTGACGATCCACATGCCCGTGCGGGCGTTGAAGGTGGCGGGCGGGACAAACGAGGCGGCGATGTAATCTGCGATGTCGTCGGGGGCGTAGATGAGGCTGGAGCCGGAGTCGATGATGTAGGGGGCCGAGGCGGTGGCAGGGTCGGGGCGGGGCGGCCGTTTTTGGCGGTGGCTGGCGCTGGAGGGGAGCTCGATGGTGAAGCCGGTTATGGAGAGGGAATACCAGGCGTAAGTGTCGGAGACGGCGGGGAGCGTGGAGACGGTGACGTAGTCGGGGTCGTCTGGGTGGGGGGTTTAGTGCTTGGGAGGGGGTGATGGGATGGGAGGGACGTACAGGATACGGGTGGTATACCACCGATTGCGAGGTAGCCGCCTCCTGTCGGGCTTTCGAGAGTGGGACGGGACAGGGCGAGGGAGAAGATGGGTTTGATGGTATCGAGTGCTGCTCTATTCATCTCGTTAGGCTATCCATCCTCGCTCGTGACAATGCCAGCCTCTGTGCCTGTGGCGGCTGGAGCTTCATGTTGGTACAGCGTGCTCGGAATACAAAGGGAGTAGGAAAGATTTGAGAACTTACATGGTGAACAGCGCACTAGTATACGCAAACTCACGCGCACCGCTGACAAGGGCTGGATACGCCAATCCCATGAGCCCACTGCTAATCCCATCACCGACCCAATACCCCTCCGCCACCACCCCTATCGTCTGATCGACAACGAGAAACGGTCTCCCATCTACCCCTACACCCCCAATTCCTAGCTGCTCCACGCCCAGCTGACCGCGCAGGAACTCGCCGCCCGTGTAATTGACACTAAACTCCCAATCCGGTATGCCCTTCCACGTCGGACTCACACCAGGGTCGTAGGACGCGTTGAAGCCGCAATTGGTTGGTACGGTGGGCGCCATGTTGTTGGGGTGCAGACACGAGAAGTAGGAAGCAGCAACCCATGTGTCTGAACTGCCGGTGTCGATTACGAGGGTAAAAGGCTGGTTGGCGAGGGTGACAGAGGTCATGTACACGCGGCCACCGAGAGTGAGAAGCGTTTCCTGGACAGGGGCAATTTGGCGTTTGGAAAAATCACCAGATCCGGCACGCCGATGAAATAGATGTTTCGAGGATGGCGGCATGAGGTGTGGTGCATTGGGGAGCGCTATGAGTTCCATGACGTTGGCAGCGACTATAGCAATTTATTATCACGTTCGTGATGAGCTGATATTGATAGACGCACCTGGCATTTCTGCTGCGGCTCGCCGGTTGTTGGCGGTAGCATGGCAAGAAGACGAAAGAAAGACAGAAACTGTTAGTATGGGGAAACGCATAATGGCCAAAGAAAGCGTCAAGACGATGGCAGAAGTGGGCCGGTAAAGTGTAGATGCTGCATTGCTATATATGATGGATCCCCTAGAACCCTGTATCAAATGCACGATCGCCGAAGCCGCATTTTGTTGGAAGAAAGGGAGGAAAGAGAGCGAGACTTGTCATCGCATAGTCTTGGTAAGTCGCCATGCCGCATTCCTGGATCGAGGCTCATGCTTGGCTCCGTGTAACCGGCGGAGTTACCATTACCTGGGGTCAGAGCGGTCTCATTTTTGCCAAGTTCAAAGTAGTATCCTGAATGCACGTGTACCTTGCGAATGTAACATGTGCACATGTACTAGAGCAGCTGGACAAAAGACCCAAGAGAAGATGGAATCACAGACTTACGGTAGGAGAGGCTGGGAGAGCTAAGCATGGCCGAATGGCATCAGATCAACGATAGGCAATGTCGACATCTCGCCAACCTGCCGAGCGTCACGAGAGAGGGGAGAGCAAGAAAGGCCAGACAGAGAGAGGAAAACTGGCAGTAATAGCACGACGCACCTGGGATCTCGTGCAAGCAAAAAGGCTGAAGAGGGTCGGATCTAGACCTCACGACACCCTTTCGTCGACATGTTCCCTTGATGAGCGTTAGAAGCATGTCAAGTGCAGCTCAAAGAAGGCGTACTGTTTTGATATTTTGGACTAGGCCGTACGCTCCGAGGCCAGATTTTGAACCTGCAAGTCGCCATGTGTTGTACAGATGCTGCTGAAAGACAAATGCAGCCCAGAGGTCTGCAGGATAGTAAAATAGGTCTGTTGTAAGCCGGGCCTTTTGGTGGGAATCTTCATAGACACACCTTAACGCCAGTCGCAGGAATGATTACCAGCCGCCGCCGCCGCCTCGTCGCCCACGGCCACCACCTCTCCGCCCTCCACGGCCTCCGAAACCGCCGCCGCCGCCACCATAGCCAGCTCCGCCCCAGCCTCCGCCGCGGTCCATGTCGCCACCCGGTGTAGCATAGGAGTCTCGCGGTGGATTACGGCCCTTGAGCTCCTTTTGTAGGGTTTCGTAAGACTTGCGCATCTGAGCGTAGCCCAAATGCATCTTTCCGTAGAAGTGGTCTGCTAATCGGCGATCATTGTCCAGGCGACTGAGGTAGGCACCGCAGACATCGCACACCTGCAGTTTCTGGTGGCCCGAGGGTCCGCCCGTGTCTGACAACGCCCTCAACTCCCTCTCGCGCTCCTCCTTTTCAGCCTTCTTCATGCGGATCTTGGTGAATTCTTGGACGGCCATGTTGACCAGGCCTTCCTCGCCCATGATCTGTACCTCGAGCATGCCAGCGTCAATGGATTTGGTCAGTTCGTTAATTGATTTGAGCTGTAGATTGGAGTCAGCACGTGAATGAAGGCGGCTTGCGGGGGGGCGGACGGCCTACCAAGACATTTGTCTGCCTAATCTCCTCGGGCGTCTTCTCGAGTCTTCGCTGCGCCTGGTCGATCTTGCGGTTGCAGCTGTCGATGTGGTGCTGCATGTCTCTCATGTAGTCGAACTCGAAGCCCCATCGGCGCTTCTGCTCGGCGTCGGCCTCTTGATACTCGGTCTTGAGCGCTTCATTGTGGGCCTTACTGCAGGGGCCCAGTTCGTTCTTGGTGTTGGTGAAAAGGTCGTGGGGGCAGTTGCCCACGAGGTAAGAGCGACAGACTTTGGGATCGGTGATGCTGAGTTGGGGCGCGCGCTGGTCGGTTCCGCTCATGAGCTGCTCGCCCATAAGCTGCTCTGTCGGGAAGTGTTATTCATCAGGGGCAAAGGCATGGTGACGTGGATCGTCGTCTAAGGATGAGACAGAGATTGTGGAGGGGGAAAGGGACGAGAGGGGAGGGGCATGCTATCTTACCGAGCAGGCGACGCGTCTCTGCTGCAGCCATGATGTCGTCACTCGCGTCGTTTTTTTTGTTGTCTGGTCCGGCCGCGTTGAGTGCGAGGTTGTGAAAGTAAGTTGTGCCGGCGACGAGTGACGAAGAGAACGGGCGCCCAAAAGAAATCGCGACCGCGGCGCCCTGGTCCGCCAAGCCCGCAACTCCCCCCAAAGGCTTGAAAGAGCTCCCGGCGGAAGAGCCCACACGCAGCCAATCACATGTGGGGGGGGGGGCTTCTTCTTCTAACCTCAACGCGCGCGCGATTCGAGCAGCCTTCAGGCCTTGACGACATCAGCATCGGGAACTGTGCCAGCTGGCCGTCCGTCCAATTGTTCCTTTTCTCTTCGCCCCGAGAGAGCGCTGCCATGCTGCCATGCTGTCTTCTTCTCTCCTCCTTGCGTGCCTCCATGCCTTGATCACCCTCACTACCCTCACCTCCACAACCACCGCCGCCGCCAGCTCCGACTATCACGAGCAGCTGCTGCTTCGCCCGCTTCCTCAGGACACTCTCCTGGCCTCGTTCAACTTCCGCAGCAACGAGAGCGCGGCAGCATTTGAGCAGCAGAACTTTCAATATTTCCCCAGATCCTTTGGCCAGATCTTGCAGCATGCACACACCAAAGAAGTCCATCTGAGGTTTAGCGTGGGCCGATGGGACGCTGACAATTGGGGCCAACGGCCCTGGAATGGTGCAAGAGAAGGAGGCACTGGCGTAGAGCTCTGGGCTTGGGTAGAGGCCAACACAGAGGATGAGTGTGTAAAAACAATCCTGCAAACACGAGGAAAAAGAAAAGAAAAAACTATGCTAATCAAACCAGAGCATTTGCGAGGTGGCTCACGCTCACCAATGCCCTCTCCGGTCTCTTCTGTGCTTCGCTCAACTTCATCGATGCCACCAAGACGATACGGCCCGTCATGGCCTTCTCTCCCGAGGGCCAACATCGCAACGCCTCCAACCTCCATCTCCTCCATGGCACACTGCCCCATGAAGTCGTCTGCACCGAGAACCTGACGCCGTTCTTGAAACTGCTTCCCTGCAAAGGCAAGGCGGGCATCTCCAGTCTGCTGGATGGACACAAGCTCTTCGATGCTTCCTTCCAGACCATGGCCATTGACGTGCGTCCAATCTGTAGCGAGGGCAGCGATTCCTGCTCTGTGGAGATGGAGCAGACGGTGGACATGGTCTTGGACATTGCCCGATCCAAGCGTCCACGAGACAATCCCATTCCGCGACCGCTGCCAATGGACCAAATGGAGTGTGATACGTCAAAGCCTTATCACGGCCACGACACTTGCTACCCCTTGAACAAGGGCACCGAACCCTCGTGGACACTGGAAGAGGTCTTCGGTAGGCCACTCAAGGGTGCCTGCCCCCTAATCGACATCGACAGCGATACCGCACATAACGTGTGCATCAACACCTCCCCAGAACGCACAATCTCCGTCAACACAACCGGCTCCTACGCCGAAGCTCTCTCCGTCTACGACACCCTGCGCTGCTACAAGCTCCCCATTGGCTCCGACTTCGATCTCGTTCTCCCCGAGCAGAAGATGACTTCAGGTCTCGTTCGCCCAGATCCCCTCGTCTTCGCCGCCCGGAGCATCAACGGCCACGGCCAAGAACGCGGTAGTGTGCAGTCCACCCTCCGCAACCCCTCCCTTTCCCACCCCGTTGAAATCATCTACCTCGAGTCCCTCCCCTGGTATATGAAACCCTACCTCCACACCCTCCGCGCACATCTCTCCCCCTCAGCCAATACCACTTCCCCCATACAGGAAACCTACTACAAACCCGCCATCGACCGCACCCGCGGCACCCACCTCGAATTGCGCCTTGTGATTCCCGCAAACTCCACCCTCACCCTCACCTACGACTTTGAAAAATCTATCCTCCGCTACACAGAGTACCCGCCCGACGCCAACCGCGGCTTCGACGTCGCACCTGCTGTCATTCGCGTCATCTCGCCCCTGCCGGATCAAGGTGACGAGAGGAGTCGTGGCGTCTATGTTCGCACTACTAGTTTACTGCTCCCGCTTCCCACGCCGGATTTTAGTATGCCGTATAATGTCATTATTTTGACGAGTACGGTCATGGCGCTGGGGTTTGGCAATGTATTTAATTTGCTGGTGAGGAGGTTTGTCGGCGTGGATGAGGTGCCCGTGGGTGGAGGGTTGAAGGCGATTTTGATGGCCAAGGTGGCGAGGCTGAGGGGGACTGGTGGGAGGTGATATTGGTAGGATCGTTTAGTTTTTTTTTAAGGGAGAGGATATTGGAAACATGCAAATCTCTTCACATAAGAAATAAGAGCTTTTGGAAGATGTGGAGCTGTTTCTTTCGAGTTTAAGTGTGAAGGACGCTTCGTAGCTGACGAACTGGGAGAAGTACAACTCCTTGATTTATAATATCATCACCGTCTACCCTCCGTCCTGCCCTGCCAGCCGGAGATAGCATCCCACTCACCAAACAATCCCCCACCCCTCAGTCCTCAAACCCAACCCCCAACCCACCCAAACTCCCCAAAAACCCACTATTCCCCTCGCCCCTAACAAGCGCATCCACATCCACCCCCCCACTCGTCAAATACCTCGCACTCACCCCCGTATTAATCCTCTGACTCAACAGGGCCTTCAACTGTGCCCTCAGGGCCCCCATCTCCGCCTTGGTCATGGCACTAGCCTCCTTCTCCTTCTTCTTGCGGCCTGTGCCCCTGCCCTTGCGGCCGGGTGCCTCCCTGTCGAATTCGTCGCTGTCGTAGTCGATGCCGAGGTCGTCTGCGGCTTGGCGGAGGACGTCGGATTCGGCGTGTGCTTTTTCCTTTGCGATGACGGTGTCTGCGAGGCGTTTTGAGAGTTGGGCGCGTGGGCGGAGGCGGGAGATGATGCGGCGGTCGAGATCGAGGGTGCGGATGAAGTAGGCTGGTTTTTTCTTGCCCGAGGGTTTGCTGCCGGGGGTGGTGGGGGTGTTGGAGGAGGAGCGAGCGTGAACCTTGGCCACGAGGCGGCGGACGCCGGCGACTTCTTCGGGGGCGCAGATGAGGATGCTGGTACCTGAGGCGTCGGCGCGGGCGGTGCGGCCGGAGCGGTGGACGTATGTGTCTGCGGCACGGGGGAGATGGTAGTGGATTACGAGTTCGACTTTTGGGATGTCGAGGCCGCGGGCGGCAACGTCGGTTGCGACAAGGATGGAGCCAGGGCGTTCTTTGAAGCGCTCGATGGAGCGGAGGCGGGCTTTTTGTGCCATGTTGGAGTGGAGGGGAAGGGCAGGGAGGTCGAGGTTACAGAGATAAGGGGTTAGGCGGCGGACGGCAGATATGGAGTTTGTGAAGACTAGGGCGCGCTTCTTGCTGTAGAACATGAGGAGCGAATATAGGTAGAGATCTTTTTCAGGCCCGGCGCATTCGATCAGACCTTCTTTGAGCTTGTTTGCCATTTGCGAGTTGGGGTTTGCGTCGATGAACTTGGGCTTTTCCTCGCGGAATTTGAGCTTTTTAAGTAGATACTCCATAGACGCTTGCTGGCTCATTTCGGCCTTGTCAGGTCGGGACTTGCCTGCGAGCTTTTGTTGCAGACTCTTTCCAAAGGTTGCGGAGAAGACCAAGGTTTGGCGGTTAAGCTCTGGAGTTGCATCATCATTCTCGCCATCGACGGCTTCGCTGTCTGGCTCAAGAATCTTGAGAATGTCTCCGAGTTCTTGGTAATGGCCGTCACTCAACAAGCGATCCGCTTCGTCAATGACGAGGAAGCGAATCTGCTTGAACTTCTCAAGTAGCCCTTGCCCGGTGCTGATGACTTCCCACAGTCGACCCGGGGTGCCCACCACAATATCTGCTTTCTCAAGCTGTCGTCGCTGTTTCTGAACAGATAAACCACCAGTAATGGATGCGATGTGAGGGGCATTGAAATCCCCTTTAGTGCACAGCGCAATGAGATGTGCGGTGATTTGATGCGCAAGTTCTCTTGTAGGTGCAACGATGAGCGCGATGGGTGTGTGATCTTTGGAATCCTTCAGTCCTGGTTGGGCTGAAAGGAAGGATTCGATAATCGGGATACCGAAAGCAAGTGTTTTTCCCGAACCTGTTGAAGCCTTGCCGATGACATCACGGCCCGCCATAATCTCTGGTATCGTGGATGCTTGAATCTCGGTTGGCTTTTGAAAGTTGAGCTTCGCAAGTGCGTCCAGCACCTGCTCAGACAAATTCAGCTCCTCCCAGGCCGAAACATCCACCTCATCATCGTCGTCGATTGGCTGATCGGCAAGAATGTCAAAGGCGCTCGGCCCAAAGGTTTCACCGTCACTCAGCTCAGTGCTGTCAGACTCTTCCCCATCGTCGTTGTCTACCCCACTCACGGGTGTCTGCTCTTTCTCGGCACCCTTCTTCTCCTTCTTTTCCTTGGGCTCTTTCTTTTTCTTCTTATCGTTTTTTTCGTCCTTGTACGCGCTTACATCTCCATTGGTATCCACTATGTCGTCTTCAGCAGTGCTCGACAGCTCCACATCGACAGGCGCATCTTCATCGTCGCTGAAGCCCTCCCATTCCACATCTTCGCTCTCCTTCTGAACAGGCTTCTCGGATACCTCCTCAGCTGGCCCCTTATCGTCATTAGCTGGCCCTCCTTCACCACTAAAGGTGATTTGCTCGAGTCGTTTTGCCTCTTCTTCCTCACGCTGCCACGCCTCCTCAACGTCCTTTGCAATTTCCTCTTCGGTCTTGGTAGTCTCAAACGTGAGGTTTCCCGTTGTTGGGTCCTTGACAATCGTGACATCATCAATCTCTTCAAGTCCATAGAAGCCCTCTGTATCCTCCAATCGATCAGGCATGGGCACAGCTTTCCATCCCAGCTCATCGAGGCGGACCTTGCGCTTCGTCTTCGTGGGAAGCGGTTTGGCAAAGTTGGAAATAATCTTGGGGCGCTTGTGCGGCTTTTGCGCCGCTTTGGTAGCACTGTGTGGGCGCTTCATATTGCGTTCGGTGAGCAGTTACGGGCTGTCGCAAGGTTGAGGGCTGCTCGAAGTTTTCCAAAACTTTTGGTCGGCGGTCGGGTTCGGGGGTCCGACAGCGCCCCGCTCGGCTATTCTTGCCTCTCGAGAAATCTTCCCACACTTCACGTGCCTTGAACATTCACACGTCCGTCACTGCTAATTTATCTCCGATTATTAGCTTCGCCAGTTCTGGAAAAGTAGGGGGAAGGCTTTCCAATATATTCATCTCGCCAGTCATCCAACCATAAGGAACTCGAAGAGCACGAACCGGGACCTGATTTGAGATTATCATTGGACAGTGACAATCGGCAACACAGGATACTTACTCTGACGGATTATTCGAGCATACTACAGCAGTCCACAAAGTCACAATGGGAAAATCATCCAAAGACAAACGAGATGCCTACTACCGCCTCGCAAAAGAAGAAGGATGGCGCGCGCGTTCAGCCTACAAGCTTCTCCAACTCGACGAGGAATTCAACCTATTCGAAGGTGTAACCCGAGTTGTCGATCTCTGCGCTGCACCCGGAAGTTGGAGTCAAGTACTATCTCGCGTGCTCATCAAGGGCGAGAAATTTGGGCGTGCAGGCTGGCAAGAGAAGCAGGCCGCAGCGCGCAACTACGTCCTTGGCCTCGACAATACGAAGACCCCGGCCCCAGCAGAAGAAGAGAAGAAGGATATCCAACCCGCGGAACGGCCAAGGCCAAGAGAAGGAGTGAGAATCGTAGCCATTGACCTCCAACCCATGAGCCCACTCGAAGGCGTCACAACGATGCGCGCAGACATCACCCATCCCTCCACCATCCCACTCATGCTCAAAGCCCTAGACCCAGATACATACGACCCCACGACCCCCCAAACCTCCTCACCCGTCGATCTAGTAATCTCCGACGGCGCCCCAGACGTCACCGGCCTACACGATCTCGACATCTACGTGCAATCCCAACTCCTCTGGGCCGCACTCAACCTCGCCCTCTGCGTCCTCAAACCCGGCGGCAAATTCGTCGCCAAGATCTTTAGAGGCAAGGACGTCGATCTCCTCTTTGCACAGCTCAAAACCGTGTTTGATCGCGTGCGCGTCGCAAAGCCACGAAGTAGTCGCGCAAGCAGTATCGAGGCGTTTGTCGTTTGCGAGGGCTTTTGTCCCCCCGTGGGCTTCACGCCCAGTCTGGACAAGCCACTCGGCGCAGGCACACAATTGCCCACTCCCCCGAAACCCACACCCACATCCACAGCCAGCAAATTCTCACGCAGAGTCCGCGACGACGGCGCCGTCGAGATTGACTTTGGCTCTGAAAGCGAAGACGAAGAGGATGTCGAGCAGGGCGGTCGACGCTGGATCGCCCCGTTCCTGGCCTGTGGCGACCTCGCGGCGTATGATTCCGATGCGACGTATCATTTGCCAAAGGATAGGGTGAGTTTGGATCCTGTGCAGCCGCCGACTGCGCCGCCGTATAAGAGGGCGCTGGAGATGCGGAAGTTGGCGGGTGGGGCGTATGGGAAGACGAGGGCGAGGGAGAGTAAGGCGGTGAATTAGACGTGCGATTTGGAAGACTTGGTTGAATATATGTTGTAGTAGTGAGAGGAATTTTGTTGTGTCTTGGGAGTCGAAGGTGGTGATGTTTCAACATTTTAAATCTTTGGACTTTCATGTCTACGTGACCTATCACTATCGTACAATATACATCTCCCACTTTCCATAGCGCCCATCATACCCAGCATCTGCTTCCTCGCTCATTCCCCTCCCCACAACCATACCAACCTCTCTAATCCCCCATCTCCCCGTCAACCCTCCACCACAAAGAAAAGTGTACAATCAAGAAAAAGATCCATATATAATGTCTGATTCCTCGCATGGCGAGTAATCTAGGCTAGGCTAGGTAGACCACATAGACAGGACAGGCATGGGTAGCAGGTACGGGTAGTAGGTAACAGAGCGAGTATCAAAAAATTCCACACTCCATCCGTTTCCGGATACACTTACATCACGCCCCAGCGCCCTACGCCCCTGATCCCCCACTCCCCTACCAAACCCCCCACATCAAACGCCCATCCCATGCCCACAATCCGCCCCAAAGCTCTCAGGCCCGATACCCGCAGACCCTGCAATAACCCACAACCCATTCTATACAAACACAAGCCACCCTCGCACCCCCCGCAACCCTCACCCCAATCCCAGCAAGACGCGTGAAAAAATGGAGAAGAAAGCGTCGCATCATGACCCATATAGCTTTGCCACGGCTACCTTAAGGAAAAGAAACCCCAACAACAAGCCCAAAACGCCTAGACTATTTTTTGCTTTATCCCACGTCCCGTCTAAGATGAGGTGAAGTGTGTGTACGGATGGAAAGAGTCATATGGACGGATGGGGTGAAGATTTGTGTATGACTGTGTTTCCCTGGTGGTAGGAAGGAGGAGGTGATGGCAATGTACCCCGTGTCATCGGGATGTCAATTTGATGTAGGAAATTTGAAGACGCAAGACGGAATGTATGGGTAAAAGTTCCCGGTTGAATGCATCTCAGTGTATACAAAGGACAAGTCGTTATCGAGGTCGTTACATGGTTCGGCAGTCGACTGGTGGTCCTGATCTTATTCACCACTTCAGTAGGATTGTAGCCCTCAGGCTGGAGGCTTTTCTTCGCTCGGTTGCTCAGCAAGCTTTTCTCCACCCAACGACTCTGGAGGCTGCTCTTCACTAGACTCCTCCCGAGGCTGCTCTTCGCACGACTCCTCTGGCGCCTCAATCTTACCCTCTTCTTGATTCTGCATCAAGCGAGCTTGTTCCTCGTCAATATCATCCTTTACCCCGTCATGGCCTGCCATCAGATTATTTGATACAACGTCCGCTTCTGTTGCTGTCGACGTGTTTCCCACTGATGCTTTGCCAGCAGGCTTCGTCGACGCCTCCTTTGAACTCTTCTTGCCCGTGTGGAACCAACCTCCTTTCTCCCATTCACCCGGTTGATACAGACACTCCTTGCGTATGTCGGAGTCGACGACAGCAGCCATGAGCCTCTTCAGTCGGTCAAAGGAGATGGGCTTTAGGATCCAGGCGTCGAAGCCAGCATCAATGTACTGCTGCCGATCTCGTTCAATAAGAGACGCCGAAACGGCAATGATGGGTACCCGACCACAGAGGGCGGCTCTAGGGGAGTAAATTTCGGTGTGGGTCTTCTCATATGATCGAATCATTTTGGTTGAAGTGAGACCATCGACGATGGGCATCTGAAATGTTATTAGTCCTGTCCTTTGATTGAAATATAGTCAGCATACCTGCATATCCATCAAGACAATATCAAAGTCTTGTGGATTGTCGCAGTATGCAGATGCGCATTCTTCGCCATTGACTGTCAAATGCACGACGTGCTCAAGTCGTTCCAGTCTCTTCTTCACTATTCTACTGTTCACAGGATCATCCTCCGCTACAAGGACACGCATGTAGTCTGCAGAAAAATTTTCAGGAGCAGAGGCCACCTCCAATGGTGCCGGTTCATCGGTAAGGTCTCCAAGGATACTGCCGCTGGGTCTCCGGCGATCGATAGGAGAACCACCATCGTTTGGAACCCTGATCGCTCTTATAGGAGCAGCAGAACCAGTAATGTGTTGCTCGCCAGGTATTTGTGTGTCGAGACTCCTGTGTTGAATAGGGGTCAAGCCCTGCAGTGTTTCAAGACTCCTAGATCTCATACGAGAAGGACTGTTAGGAGACAAGCTATTGGGTTTTGTCAGGAGAGGTCGCATAGATCGCGCACTAGGGCTGCGGTCGCCGGTATTTCCTCGGCCAACCATATGTGGCTCTTGAATAGCATCAATGAGTCGATCCATGTCGCTTCTCGCGCTTGAACCACTCTTGAAACTGCGAAGACTGGTCTTGCTCGTTAGACTGTCGGCACTTGACCTTCTTATGATACTGTCAGAAACTTGGTGACTCTCTTTGTCAGATGTATGACGTGATAGACTGGGTGCAATCAATGTTCGTTCTCCTTCTGATGGACCAAGTTCGTCGGAACCTGGTTGCGGCGTCATGATCCCCGATGATGCTTCACTGTTCAGGTTTGCCTCTGCCTCGGAATCTGGCAAACTGAATGGAAACGAGACGACAAAGCGTGTCCCTCTGCCCTCCTCCGACCGCAGTCGTAACTGGCCGTTCATGTTCTTGATGATGCGTGCGACCACAGCAAGTCCAAGCCCCAGCGTCGACTTCTCGCTCTGAGCTGCAATCTTCTTCGCATCAGGAACAAGGGCGTCTTCTAGCATAGATGTTGCCTCGGACTGAACCTGCTCGAGGTCGTAGAAGAGCTGATCAAGCTTCTTCTGGCCCATGCCAATACCAGTATCAGATACTGCTATCTCCACATCGACATGCTCTGCATCACTTCGGGCTGCAACATACGACTCAACCCTGACACTTCCAGACGTGGTGTTCTGGATTGCATTTGCGGTGATGTTGGATATCACTTGCCGAATCCGACGTTGATCTCCTATGCACAGATTTGGTAGGCCATCATGTATAACAACGTCATAGCCAATGTTTTTCCGCTTGGCATCCTTTCGGAACATGTCCGTGGCTTCTATGATTGTTGCTTTCAGATCGAATGACTCTCCCTTGATCAATGGCCCACCCTCCTCGGTCTTTGTCAGGTCCAAAAGATCATTGATGACATATATGAGAGACTTCGATGCCGAATGGGATCTTGACAGGTTTTCTCGAGTTTCTGTGTCCAGTGCACCTTCCAATGCTATTTCTAGGTAATTGATAATGGCGTTGAGAGGAGTGCGAACTTCGTGTGCCGAATTCGCGAGGAGTAGCCTGGTCAACTGGCTACTTTGTAATGCAGCCTCCTTCTGCCTCCAAACTTCGATAAACTTTCCATAGACCAAACACAGGACAGATGCAGTCTCGATTTCTTCTTCCGTCCACTCACGGCATCTCCCGATGACTGTTTCTGACCAGGTCTTGAAGCTCTTGCGCGGCTCCAGATAGCCCTCTGTGCCTTCTTTGACGAATTTCTCGTACGGGTTTCCGGCCCATTTGACTTCTTTCATTTGGCCTTTCCGAAAAAAGACAATGAAGTCCTCGCCGTCTACCGATAATGGCACGATTAGCATGCCTGCTATCACATGGAACCCAGGCGGGTATCGAAGGTCTGGGAAGTCTTGGACGATATCCATGGATGTCATGACCGACTGTATCTTCCTCATTCTTAGATATTCCAGCATGGCCAACGCTTCCTGTGAGTTCTCCAGACGGCCAAGAATCTTCGTTTCGTCTCTGATGGATAGTAGGCCAAAGTCCGCGTCAAACAAGTTAAGCAGGTCATCGGACGAGGCGATGATGTAACCAGACGGGTTGTGTTGCGTCGGCACAGTGTTGATCAGCTTTCGGGCCTGTAGTCGCGAGGCATAGGACAACCTTTCAATGTTACGTGATGCGGCATCACCTACCATGCGACACATTTTACGAATAGGAAAGGATACGCGCATGCCGCGAGGACCATAAGAGTGGCATGCTATCAAACCCCACAGCTCGCTAAAGGCGTTGATAGAGATGGACATGGATGAGCGCACAGCCATGTTAGTAAGGTATTTGATGTGTATTGGGGACATGGCGCGTAAATAGGAGTGAGTAAGATCCAGAGGGTTCTCGAGATCTTCAGTGGTACGACAGACAAGGCGCGCTGTTTCTTGATCACGGTCGTAAAGCATACGGACTTTATTGAGTTTGTACAGTTCGCGGGCCTGCTTTGGAATGTCTGATGCAGGGAAATGCAATCCTTTGTAGAGATCCTTGGTTGCGCGGGGGTCGACAAGCTCAGTGACCACACGACCGTTAAAAGTGTGATCGAACTGGTAGATCATGACCCGATGAAAACCCGTCAACTCTTTGACTACACCGACGAGAACTTTGAGGAATTTGTCCAAGGAGGGTGCTGCAGCCAATTGCTCTTGTACCTGTGACATGATGTTGAAGACTTCCATGGCCGCAGCTTCACCCTTTCGTTTCCGTGCACTTCGCAAGACGCGCAGAGGCTTGCTCTTGATTTCTGTGCTTTCGAGCAATTCTTCCTCTGTAGGATTGCTGGACAGCGTGTCCTCTGGTAGCTCGGGAGTCATCTCGCTCGATGGTACTAGAGGATAGAGTGGATCGTCTTCGAGCTCAAATTCACAGATGACAAGCCCAGGATTAGCCTCGTTAACATGTACGGCACACCATAGTTTGCGTGTGCGTGAAACACCCGCCACTTTGATTGAGATTGTGAAGACCTCCGGACCGTTTGCGATTACATCCGAGTCCTCGTCTTTGATGAAGTCGATATGATCCAAAAGATTATCAGCCTGCTCCTCGGACAAGATGTCGGTGAAACTCTCCAAGGCAAAAAGCTCGCGTGGGGTGCGCCCGAGTATCCGCTTCGAATTCTCGCTCACGATCCGGACCAGCAGGCTGCCGCTTCCTTCTGTATCATCCTGTAACGCGACGAGAAGGCCAAAGCCTTGGACTGCACCCGGGACATGAATGGGCTCATCCTCGCAGCGCTGCAGGGTGTCTCCTTCCCGGCCGGTGATGATCATGTGACCACCCTCGGTGGTGATGTGCTTGAATCTGTGCGTCACCAAGCCTCCCATGTCCAGACTGCTCATAGCGCTCTTTGTGGATCTTGCGCTGGTCGAAGGCGGCCGGCCTGCTTGTGTGGAGGGGGACCGGCTGCCCTCTTCAGGCCCGCTTCCGCTGGACTTTGTTGACACGAGATCGCTGAACAGTTGTGCGGGTATGGGTGCTAGCGTCTTCTGGGCTTCCGCTCGTTCAGGTCGCTTCAGTGAAGATCTGCGAGAGTCTGTACGTGAGTCCGTCTTGGAGGTGGCCGATCCGCCATGTCGAGCAGCCCATGCACGCTGCGAGGGCTGTGAAGCAGTCGATGTGGTTGACCCGTGGGAGGGTCGTCTGCCTTCGAGGCGGGCATCGTTCGCTCGCGAATAAGGGTGGAAGTAATCGCCCGGTCCTATGTTGCCCCTGGGTGTGGGCGAGGGATCTACGCTGACGACGCTGCGAATGGGAAAGACGCGATCCGTAACAGAAGGACTTAGGGGCCCAAAGTTGTCTCCCCGACGCGGATTTGCATCTGGGTTGGAGGGTGAGGAAGGAGCAAAATCGGTGGCATCGGTAGCGCCGTCTATGGGGGTGCCTGGCTCTTCCTGGATGGGTGACACAGTGGAATAGGATGGGGTTCCATCGGTCTGAGCAGATGCAGCGACAGGGTCCTGTGGTGGTGATGGTGACGATGGTTGAGACATGAGGCGAGGTGCGTCTTCCTCTTGCTGCAATGTGCGGCGATGATGCGTACACGCTGGACAGTGAAAGCGAAGCTAGTCCATGTGTTGAGTGCGAGAAGTGGAATTGATGTCGCCCGCACACAGACACACATACACACACATGCAGCTGGGCGATGTCAAGCGTCCATGGGTGGAGAGAGGGTCTGGATTGAGTTGTGGCAACGGCGGGGAGAGATGGGACGCTCACAACAAGGGCGGCGCGTCATGCAGGGACCGGGGAAATTGGTGTGGCAAATGTGAAGACGATGCCCAAAAGGAAACCTAGAAAAGGCGTCTCTGCGGGGCGGGGGCGGGGCCTGCTTGGACTTGGAGGGGAGGAGGGGGGGCAGCGCAGACGAGGCAGCTGCATCAACGTCGCAGACGAGCTGCTCGTGGAGAGGAGGGAGAGGATGAAGGGGGGGGGGGCGGAGGTTGGAGGTTGGTGGTTGGTGGTTGGTGGTGGTCAAAGGCGAAGCATGTCCAAGACGGTGGAAGCTACTAACCTTGGAAGCACTGGAAGAGGGCCATGAACAGGGGACACACGGGGGCAGGCTGTCACGAGCAAGAAAGACAGTCGGGGGACTCTAGGGCTACTAGGGTGGTGTGGTGCACTGGGCCGCTCGGTATCAGTACTGGGAGCAGGATGGGAGAGCAGAGGGTGACATGAAGGGTAGACTGGTGGGATGGACAGTCAGACTGATACTCTACTCTAGACAGACAAGAAAGACAGACAGGCGGGAGGAGAGATGGCATACACTGTGGAGAGGATGGATCTGGGTCAAAGTCGCATGGTAGAGAGTATTTGCAGTACTATTGGACTAGAATCTGTGATGCAGGGGAGATGGGGTGGTGGCATGTCATATGACCATGGGTTTAGCGTCGGGCGACTTGGGCTTTACTCCGAGTGGTTAGAATATCCCTGTAGGTTCAAGTCCACGTCACAGCGGCAAATTTTCATGGTTATATGAACTAGCCCATGGTCAAGTATAAATTAGGGTAATTTAAGCAAGTAAACGCAGTTTTTATTACTATCTTTTTTAAACGTGTTCTAAACCTATTCTTAACAATATACAGGCGTTCCTAAATACTATACTAGAGTTTAGTACAGCAGTACTAGACAACGTATCTAAACTAGATAGTAATATTAGAGATGAATTTAGGCAACCGTATAAAGTGCTAGAGGAGGATAGTAGCAGTAGCGTTAAGGAAGTAAGTGAAAGTAAATAGAACAAGTTTAGAACAGGTTAGTAACACGTTATAGGGGCACAATGTATACCTTACTTATAGTAACAGTTAAGGACCACTACTTACACCAGCAATTATTAAGCATGCAGCTATTCTCCTAGCATACCCTTAATTACACAGCTAAGGGTATAGGTATATAATACTAGTTTAGTAATATAAAGATAGCTCTTACCTAATAAGAGAAGAGGTGCTTGTGTAGGCTACACAGGTAACACGTTAAGAACACGTTCTTAAATTGTTCTAATTCTAGTAGGTACAATACTCCCGCTAGTCTGTCTATCTTAACAGGCCTACAACTTTACTATTCTTTAATAGCTAGCTAGCAAGCTAGTATAAATACCAATACTCTAGGGTAAAAGCGTGTAAGTATCTTAAGAACACGTTACAAACGTGTTCTTATTACGTTGTTAATAACGTATTATACAATCAGATCTAAACCTTAAAAAGTGTAGTACCTAAGAAAATTCTATAAAGAGAACTATAAACAAGAAGCTATTATTATAGCCTTATTAAGCGCTTCTCTTTAAGGATTTATAAGGACTACTAGGTATCTTGTTGTCCTATAATAAGGACTACAGTAAATTAGGTAGGGAGCAAAACTTAAACATATTTAAAACGTGTTAACAATAAGTTAGCAAATCGTGGAACAGGCTTAACTATATATTAGCTGTTAGAACTATAGCCTAATATCTGCTACTAGGAAAAAACATTATTTTAGTTAGGTACTACTAGAGGTAGACTCTACATATCTACAAGGTCTTCTAACTAGGGAGATATTAAATCTTTCTAGTAGTCCTGCTTTATATTCTATAGTTAAGCCACAGTTAAGCTAGATAAAGAAGTGTGGTAGGCATATTGCAACCTATTCCTAACACGTTCCTAACATGTTCTAGGCGTTAATTATCTATAAGGGTAAGGATCTCTATTTAAAATCCTGTGTAAAGTTACCTTCTAAGTAATTATACTAATAGATATAGTAGCAATACCTTTTTTTGCTATTATTTCTTTTAGTATACATACACATATACCTCCTCCTCCCTTAACACTATCTAATAGTAATATTAAGGAAGTAGTAAAGGTATTATAGCCTATACTTACTCTATAGCTTACGTAATGTAAGTTGTTTGCAACCTGTTACAAACGTGTTCCTAACTTGTTACAGCCTAGTTCCTAAACTTAACCTAGCTCTAAACCTATCTCTAACTTAAAGGTTTCTATTCTATTAAAGAAATATATATTAGCTTTGCAAATAAAGATAAAATCTCGCGTATTATAAAGCGTGAAAAGCTTCTACAGTTCCTATTTAAGAGTAGCCTTAGAGGAGTACACTATAAGTAGAGGACAAAGTATTAGGATCCTAAAACTGTACGTAGTGTAAGAGAACAGGTTTAGAACACATTATTAACACGTTACTACAGGCGTATATACAGCAAATCTTTATATTAAGCTTAGGTAACTTAATTATTTGCCTTTTTAAAGAGTAGGCATTAATTCTATTAGATTAAGACACGTTCTAGATAGATATGTTATATAAGAGGTTGTATAGGGCATAGGTAGAGATTCTAATAGTAATCTTCTACCTACAGGAAAAGAAGCGTACGCATTAAGAACAGGTTTGTAACACGTTTCTAACACGTTACAGTTATTACACTTAGCTAAATTATTATAGATAAGGACATAACTAAGATATATCAAGTTGCTATTACTAACTTCTTTTAGAAGTGTAAAGCACTTATAAAAAGATAAGTGTTATAGAGGTATATTTACTTATAAGGATTCTATAGGACTACTATTAATATATGTAACAAGCAGATAATAGGCAAGTTTCACAGCGCACCATAACATGTTCGTAACGTGTTTCTAACTTATTTCTAGGACTTAGGCGCTATCTCTAGTTAATTAATCCCTACAAGCGTGACTAGCGCTAGTAACTTTAATCTTGCATAAGATTTTGTTAAGTATATCTACAAAGAAGTATTTACAAAGCATATAAAAGAGAGCTAGATAATACTACCTCTTTACGTCTAAGTGAATTACTACAGGCATTAATAGTAGAGGAATACTTTTAGCTTGCTAACCTCCTCTTACGTAAGTAAACATATTCTAAACCTATTCTAAACGTGTTCCTAACTCGTTCTTACATAATTAGAACACGAACCCTCTAAAGATGCCTAAAACTAGGCAATCTATAAGAAAAACCTAGTAATTGCTGCTAGGATTGTGTAATGCTGTAGTGAAATGTTAAAAGAGGCATAGGAAAAACTAGAATCTTATTTAAATGCAGCTAAGCAAGCAGGCTAGAAAGGATATAAAACTAGTAAGCATATAAGTATTCTTAAGGCTACTTAGAAGTAAGTTTATAACCTATTCTTAACCTGTTAGAATTGTATAAGTAATATTGTGTAGTGCACACTAGATAGATCTGCAGGATATAAAAGAGTTTAAAGCCTAGAGCAAGTTTAGAATACGCTATAACTATAGAACTCCTAATAGGCTTAAGCAAAGGTACCTTAAAAAGCTTTAGAGGGGAGAAAGTAAGTCTTACGCTAGCATTATGCATATTTGCTAATTAAAACGTGTTTAGAACGTGTTTAGAACGCGTCCTGCGACAATAACAACACTCTAGATAATAATAAAGCAAGTCTTGCTATATCTAACTTAACTAGATATGTCTTAGTCCTAATAAGAAATAAAAGAGCACGCTTAAAAGCCCAAAGCTAGAGGGCAAGTAGTAGAGCGGTATTAGAAAGAAGTTCACTAGCCCCTTTTCTATCTTCTCTACCACTAGGCTCTTCTCCTCTGCTAACAGCAACCTAAAGGTATGCTTTACGAAACACGTTTACAACACGTTCCTAACTTATTATTAGTCTACAACCATAAACTTTGCAACAAAAGGCTCTTCTTAGTAATTAGGCTCTAAAGGAGAGAAAAGAAAAGCTAGAGGTAGATAAGGAAGAACTTGCACAGAAAAAGGCACTATTTAAATTGCAAAAGGCATAGTTTAAACTTAAGAAAGAGATAGCTACTTTTTATATAAGGCAGGGTTAGTCTATAAATATAGTAACTAGTTCCTAACTAGTTCTTAACATATTCTAGTCTATCACGTAAGCACACATAAGCGGATAAATATATATTCTTTCTTCTTCTCTTTCTTCTTCTTTCTTCTTACACTCTACAAGAACTTTTTATATTTAAGAGTTTAATACTATTTTACTATCTATCTTTCCTAATATTATTAGATATAACTAGTTAATATAGTCCACAAAGATCTTTTAAAGTTAGTATGTAATAGAACGCGTTAGGAACACGTTGTGAACTTGTTCTAATACTAAGTAGGATTCATACTAGCGATATATTAAGCTTAAGTCACTTCTATCTAATACTAGGGCATTCTCTCCTGTAATATCCTACCTAAATAATAGGTGTATAGTATTTCCTGGCGAGCTTTTCTACTAGGCTATTTAGGCTAGATTAGGGGTATAGGAACTTTGTAGAGTATGTATGCATGCGAGTTAGAACACGTTTACAACATGTTAACAACCATTTTAGCGTCGCTTCTCTAATAGAGGTAATCTTATCTACCACCTTAAGAGGTATTATCCTAAGGTTCAAATAGCCCTAGTAAACTGTGGCAGAACTATAATACAAGGCACTATAGAAGCAAGGATCTTCTATAGGAGCTTAATAGTAAATGCTTAAGAACGTGTTCTAAACACGTTAACAATACGTTCTCTGCTAGTAGAGCAGACTGCACTAAGTGCCTCCTCTAAGGTTCAAGAACCCTCTAAGATAGCTAGTCCACAATAAGAAGTAGTAGCTAGAGTAGAGGCTAAAGAGGAAGCAGAGAGTAAAGAAGAGGAGCAAATAGTTGCTCCCCTTTACACTGTGAATAATATTTGGCGAAAGTAGCAAAAAGGAGATATAAGTCTAGTCTCTTAAAACATGTTTAGAATATATTAATAATACGTTATAGCTAGACACCTATAAATACTAGATTCTTCTTTAATCTAAGGGACTACTAGAGCTTTACAATACCTATAAAAGTTAAAAGAAAAAGTTATATACTATTAAAGGACCCTATAAAAGTAAATAGTACTTTACTTTTAGTAGATAGAAAAAAAAAGAGAAGAGTAGAGAGTTTATTTTAGCAATTACTACTACCCCTTTAGGTCATGTGCTATTATACATTGTTTATTAGAACCTATTCTTAACACGTTCTTAACGTGTTCCTACTTATTACTATTATTATCTCCCTCCCCCTCTCTAGTATCTTCTCTATCCTCCCTAGGCTCTACAAAAGCATACCGCAAGTGGAACTAGGCAGTATTCTAGTAGGAATTAGCAAGGTCCACACTAGCATTAAAGTAACAGTCTTAAAACACGTTAGGAATAGGTTAACAATATGTTGTAAACAACTTACTACAGCCAGGATAATCGCGAGCGTAGATAGTATAAGGAACCTAATAACCTTAAATCCTTAGTAGGGTAGATATAGTAACAAAGTTAAGCTATAACAAGTTAGCAACGTGTTTTTAACAGGTTCTTGCAGGCTATACCTTATTACTGTCGTAGCTACTACAAGTCTTCTTCTAAATTATATTTAGGAGGGTATTAGCATTTACAGGGGGGCCTATAGTAGCTACTAGCTAGGCTTAGAGAACTTCTATAAAACACGTTAGCAACAAGTTTTAAATATATTCTAAATAACTTATAGCAAGGAGCGTTCTAGTAATTACGCATAACCTTTATATAAAAGTCTACATATATTAGCATAACAAGTTAAGAACAGGTTAATAACATGTTTACTCTTTACCTCGCGGACCTCTATTATAGAGGGCCAGCTAGTCTTCTTAACCCTACTAACCTTATAGTAGGCTATATTAAGCCTATAATCTTTTTTAGCATAGGTACACAAAGTGCCCCTAGTACCTAGAACAGCCTAAGAATATTAGAACCTATTTAGAACACGTTTAGAACCTGTTCTTACTCTGCACAAGGTGCCCTCGTTGTTAATCTTAGCATGGTAGTAGCGCTCTCTACTCTCTATCTTGACTACCCTATTAAGGCTAACCACAGGCCATGCCCTAATGTTATCTAGGACGTAGCTAAGGGCGAGGTACTATTAATAGTGCTTCTATAACCTGTTAAGAACACGTTCTAAACACGTTTTAATCTACTTACGTAGGATAAGAGGGATGCGTTAGTAATAGGTATAGCAGCAGCAGCTTGTAGTGTTACTAGTATAGAATGTGTTTAGAATAGGTTTAGAACGCGTTGCAAAATCTTATAGCATAATATTTGGTTAACCTCGCTTAGCTAGCTAGTGGAGCTTGGCACAGCCTAACCCCATGCCGAATACGAGTTCACGCAGCGCTAATTCCATGGTCATATGAACTGCGCCCTCGGAGATGGGAGGCCAAGGATCGCCGATCTTGGTACCTACCGTCCTAGCTCTCTGGTAGTGCGATGGGGAATGGCATAAGAGAGTGTCTGATGTCAGGTTGAAAGAAGAAACAAAAAACAGAAAACAAGACTGAAGACTGGCATGTTTGAGTGCGTGGTACTAGCTGGTGCGACGTTGAGGGGGGTGTACTCTAGAGGACTAAGAGTACGTACAGTATTGTGTGTGGGAATCAAGGATAGGGGGAGGATTCCGTCCGAAGTGGGATATGCCAAAGTTTGAATCATGCCATGGCATTTTGCAATGGCACGCAACGGGAGTTTCCCTGTTTCCAGCCTACGTCATCGGCCAACAAGAAAATTGCGCCCCAGCACCACCGCACCCGGGCTGGGGGGGCCCTGGGGCCAGGATTGTGCCCAGGTGTGGTTTGTGGCTAATTTGCCATGGCCTCGCCTCGCCTCGACGCCCGCACCCGACGGCCTGAAACTGGACCTCTTCCCACTAACCACTGCACTCTACTCTAGTTACCTCCAACTGTGGTGCATGGTACTCACTACTCACAGTACTACATAAGTAGAAGTATATAGCTACCTAGAGAGTACCCGTTTACTTGCTGGACATGTTGATGTCATCGCTTCTCTCGCCCCCCTTCTTTTCCTCTCTCAATGACGACTACAGACAACACCGAGCACCTCAAGTCTCAACCACACCACAAGCTAGAGTAGAGTAGGAGTACTCTAGCAGGCGCAGGCTCTCTAGGAACTAGGTACTCCTACATGACCATAGTCTAGAGTCTAGCCAAAGTACGACAAAACACTGTGCGCGCGCAAACATCCGAATCTTGGAACCTGTCTTGCGGCAGGCACAGCTTTCCCAGCCAGTCACAAGCTCTGACAGCATCGGCCTTTTGCCGCCTGCAGTGGGCCACAACTCTCTTTGACGTCTCCATGTCGTCTGTCTTTGTCAGGTACTCTACAGTGCTCTCGTCAGAAACTTCATGGCTATGTACTTCCTAGTCTACTCTAGAGGTAGGTACTAGAGGCAAGTAGACGTCTTGTCTTTGGCCGAGTGAATCGCTGGCGAATCACGTCTGCCAGCTTGTCAAAGGGAACGATTTGTGGGGCCGCGGCCAATGGCGGGCCAACACAACATGTCGCATCGCAGTCGCAGTTGGCCGTGGCCGTGGTGGCAGTATTGGCAGTGGTGGCAGTGGTGGCAGTGGTAGTGGCAGCAGAGTAGGCTTTCACGGCCATGGCCAGTCCTGAAAAACGCCCCTCGATTCTTGCCCACCTTCTGGCAACATCACACATCAACCGATCACACTCCCACTGATGTCTGCGCATACTTCCGCGCACTCCCTGAACCTGCTCGTCGCCCTCACCGACCCATCGACCTTTCGCTTTGGCTGCTCCGTCGTCGCCCGCCTCCATCGCCTCCACCATGTCTCTGTAAAGGTCATCGCCTGCAAACCCTTTCCCACCGCCACCCACACCACCCTGCCTGCTCAGCTCGAGTCCGTCTGGCACACCTACGATGCCGAGAACAGCACGATACCGCCCTGGCAACATGTCGAATATCTCGAGACCAGAGTGGCCGAATACTGCTCTTGGGCAGACGTACTGATCCTGGCACCACTCGATGCGGAGAACCTGGCGAGGATGCTGCATGGCTTCACAAGCAATTTGCACCTGCAAGTACTCCGAAGCTGGAATGTCTCCAAGCGCGTCATGCTCATACCAGCCATGTCCACATTGATGTGGGAGAATCCCATGTCGCGCAAACAAATCAACAAGATCAGAAAGAAGTGGAACTGGATCCGCGTCCTGCCGCCCTTCTTGTGGTCATTGGATCATGCAGGCCGCAAGTATCAGCCATGGGAAGGACACAAGGCTTTCAACGAGTCCATACAAACACAGCTCGATCTCATGGCGGTTGGCGACCGTACCCTCGCTCTGCCTACCGCACATCTCCCCACGCTTTCACGGACGAAGAGCAAAGGGCCACGCCTGCCTCCGGAGCTGTGGTCGATCGTCCTCGAGTTCGCAGAGGACTGGGAGCTGGCAACGACTCTCAACGTGCACACGACTCTGCCTGTGCCACCAGAGTGGCGACAGGCTGCCAGCCACGAAGGACCCAAGACGCAGATGCAAAAACTCGAATGGGCACTGCTCACATACCCGCCATCTGAGATTAGAAAACTGCTTGACCAAGAACACCCTTCGCGCATATCACGGCTGTGCATTGAGCTCATCATGCGCTTCGCCATGGTCCATGTCTTGGTACACCTCGAGAGGCACCACAAAGAGCTCTTCTGGGGCACCTTTGGTCACGCGTTCCTACCCCACAAGGCCTCTGTCTTCGGAAAGACGGAGATTCTCGAGTACTGGAAGACGTCGCCCACCTTCCTCACCAAGGAATACTCGACCGACGCCATCGATGATGCAAGCCGTACCAATTCGATACAAGCCCTCGACTGGTGGTACCACTCCAGTCTGCCACTCAAATACACGGAAGCTGCGCTCGAGCAGGCCAGTTCACAAGGTCACATTCAGGTTCTCAAGTGGTGGAAAGAGCACAGTCGATACCGCACCGCTCCCTCGGTTCCCTCGAGCCCAAGCGAGGACAAGGACGTGGCCAAGGCCGACCGCGAACTGTTGAAGCTCAAGGTTGGCAAGTCCATCATATACGCTACGCAGTCTGGCTGTTTGCCCGCGATACACTTTTGGGTTGACTCTGGCATACCCTTTTCACACGAGGATACCGTTGCGAAGATTGCATCGACACATGGTCACACGCACATACTGGACTATTGGCGCAATCTTCGTGGCGAGAAGATGCTGTTCGACAACCAAGTCCTGGTCGGGCCGACGAAGATGGGTCATGCAGATGTGCTGGAGTGGTGGAAGCGAAGTGGGTTGAGGGTCGAGTACAAGACGTGTGACATTGAAGAGGCGTTGGAGGATGGTGTGGAGGGGGACAAGGGCGATGGCGTGCGTAGATGGTGGGCGTTGAATGGGCTCAATCTGGGAGTGGGGACAAGCGAATGGATGAAAGTCAAGGTGTTGGGGTCTTGGTGATGCAGGTGGATGCGACACCACGGTACACGGTATATATGTATATGGTTTGATACATGATAGCAACCGGCATAGCGAGGCGTTTTCAATTGATGTGATTTGCTCTTCTGAACGGCCAGCACGCCTGATATTGATACCGGATGAATCGGTGTTCCTGTCGTGAAAGTACGGGGTAGGCAGGGACCGGCAAATGTTGGGTCGACTGTCATGAGATTTCTTCTATTGACAAGTGTTGCAGTTGTGAGGATTACTTATACAGACGGTAAGTAATCAACAACTACCCAGTACACTACCTACGTACCCTTCAAACGTACCACCGAATAATAAGTGCCCCTCGATGATACTCTCTCTGCTCAAACCCCCACCCTTCGGTAGGCTTCCGCGGCAAGGGTCTGGCAGCTATGAGAGCGGGTCGGGTATAAGCCAGCCAATCGGGGGGCGGCAATTAGCTGACTGTGTACAGTCAGCCTTGGTACACAGTAGGCCGACGCAAGTCAGAGGGAAGTGCGAAAGGGCGATTCCGCTTGAGCCACCAACTTCGTTTATCAGTTGCTTCCTTCCAACCATTCGATCACCATCGTCCACTCGCCACCTTCGCTCCCACTACTCGGTCATCCTTCAACCCACTCACGCTGCATCGAGGAGGTCATCTGCTTAGATTCGAACACCTCCTTTGCGACCACTACAAGCACCGCCATCACCACCACCACCACCACCACCACCTATCCAACCAACGGAACCAGTAAACCCCCGAACCGACACAATGGCAGACAAGAAAGAGTTGACCTACTCTGATGTCTCGGAGCACAACTCCAAGAAGGACCTCTACATGGTCATTCACGACAAGGTCTACGATGCCACGAGCTTTGTAGACGAGCACCCGTACGTCTTCCACCAAAGCGACGCCTCATTGCATCGCTAGCAGTTTTTTTCTCTCTCTCGGAAATAATGCACAAAGAATCTCCACGCACACGACCCGTCATTCCACAAAAATAAAAGCTGACGACATGTTGCAGAGGTGGTGAGGAAGTCCTCCTCGACATCGGCGGTCAAGACGCGACAGAAGCCTTTGAAGATGTAGGCCACTCAGACGAAGCCCGCGAGATCCTCGACGGCATGCTCGTCGGAACACTAAAGCGCAGAGTACGCTCCCCCAATTTCCTTTCCCTCCGCACAAACCCAACACACATCCCCCTTCTATCTTTCCCCCGCCGAGAAGAAATACTCCCCGCATGCACACACACACACACACACGCATCTTGTAGTCCGCTCGGAATAAATTCGGAACCTATCCGCCGCCGAATGCACCACACTTCCGGCCTCTATTCGCGGCACCCCCAAACCCACATGTGCACACGCAATCCACAACCCCTTCCCAACACACACATTATTTCCCCCCGCCCCCTCTCCGCCCTCGTTTCTCAGCAACGCTAACTCCCCGCTCCCCTGCTCTCTAGGAAGGCGACCCGAAACCAAAGGCCTATGCCCTGGCCTCTGCCTCCACCGTCATGAACACCGATGGCGCGTCGACTGGCGTCGGTCTCTATGCTATGATTTTGATTGGTGGTGCTTTGGCGTTTGCGGCTTACACGATGATGAATAAGCAGGGTTCGGAGTAGAGGTGGTGGAGGGTTTCTGTGGAGGGTTTTTGTGGGGATAGACGGTAGACGGGGGTGGATATGGGGTGGGGTGATGGAGACCTGATGGGTGTGGGTGAGGCTTGAGGCTGGTTTTGGCTTCATGTGGAGGTGTGAGGGGGGGGGGTCGTGGTTACACGAGTTGCTGGCATTTATTTGCAATAATGGAAAAGTATACTCCATGCTTTTGTTACTTTTTCTTCTCACTATCCTCCCTCCTTTCCCTCCCTCCTTTCCCTCCCTCCTTTCCCTCCCTCCTTTCCCTCCCTCCTTTCCCTCCCCCCTCACAGAACCCATCCCATCGATCAACCTCTCCGCTCCTGCGCTTGCTTCTTGGAGGACGGGACGGGAAACTAGAGTTGGCAAAGTGAAGGGAAAGGGAAGAAAAGGGAGAAAAGGAAGGCAAGAGAAAAGAAAAGGCAAGAGAAAAAAAGGGAAGCAACACACAACACCCAGCACACCAGCAACTCTGGACCACAAAACTAAGCTCGGGGTATCATCCTCCTCATTCTCATACATCTCCCTCTTTATCTTCCTATTTCTATTGCCCAAAGGCCAGTCTCCTAATCTCCCCACCACAACACTACCCTAGCACAAACAATCCCTCTAGCCCTCTACCCCCCAAATCTCCCACCTCCCACCTCACAACCCCCTAAAAACATTATTACTCGCATTCCGCCTCCCCGTCCTCGCCTCATACTTTGCACCTTGATCCCCAGCATCCCCACTCCCACCCCCCTGCCCAATCTTCCTCCTCGCCTTGCGTTCAGGCGCAAACGTGATTTCGCGCTCCCCAACCACCGTCGTTGTCGAGCGCTGCGCACCCTGCCTGTGCGCGTTTGCCTTGTCCTGGAGCTGCAGCTTCTCGACGCGGCGGGCAAAAGACTTGTCGCGCTTGGCGTTGGCGGCGGCGCCCGTGTTGCGTGTGTTGGAGGAGGAGACGAGCATTTGTGGTGGGGCGCCGGTGCGGGGATCGTTGTGGCCTGATTTCTTGTAGGTGGAGGAGGAGATGCGGGTAGTATCCCTCGAGTCCTGAGTTTTCTTTTGCGATTTGCATGCGCGTTGTTTGGGCTCGGAATCGGAGTCGGAGTCGGAGGCGGAGGAGTGGTGGGATTCGAGGTCTTCTTGTTCGGCGGCTGTGAGACCTTTGGGGAGCCTGGTGGCGGCGGAGATGGTGGTGCTGGGGTTGAGGGAGCGGAATTCGTGGCTGTGCTCGTCGATGTCGAAGTCTTCGTTTTCAAAGAGACGTGCGAAACGGGGGTCGGTGAGGGCGGAGTCGCCTGGTTTATCGGTGGTTTGGACGGCGGGGGCGACAGAGGGCTCGTTGGTATCGTTTTTGTTGTTTGCGTCTGCGTCTGGCATTGTGACGTCGTCGTCTCCACCCTTTGCGAGGACACGTTTGGCCCGACGGCGCTCCCTTTCTTCTTGTTTCTCCAGGAGCTTCTCGGCAAGTTTCCGATTGACCTTGACAGCCACTTTTTTGTTTCCGCGGATCCGGGATTCGCGCTCCTTGTTGATCTTCTCTGCGATGCTCTTTGTCCGCTGTTCTTGCCAGAGATCCGGGTTTGAGATGAGCCGTGCTTCTTCGTAGAGTTTTTGCGCAACAAAGTAGCCGTGCATGTAGGGGCGCAGGAGGCTGGTGGTTCCGACGAGATGGTCGAGATTGAGTTGTTTGAGTTGGGGCATGGTGAGGAATTTGAAATTGTCGTAGACTTCTCCGGCGGAGCCTTTGCCAAAAGCATTGGGGTCGTTGGGGTCTTCGGCCATTTCTTCGACAATGTTGTCGAGAAAGGCGCACCATTTTGGGGCAGGCCCAAGTTGTGGGATGAAAAAGGAGTGTTGTTGCTTGCCTTCATTGGCCGTGAGGAGCATGCCAGTGTCTTTTACCCATTCTACGTGGTTGAGATCTACAGCTGGTTCGACAGAAGTCCAGGATGCGCCATCACGAGGATCCCAAATTTTAATTATGCGCTTGTCTGCTGTGAGGATTTTGGGTTCGGTGGTCTGGCCACGGGTGGAGGTGGTGGAATCGAGGTAGACGATGTTTTTGATGGGAAAGCCATACCCTTGGTCCTTTTTGACGGTCGGTTTTGGCGAGCGCAAATCGTACAGGTGCACCAGCCCGTTCGAGTCGCCTACTGCGACTTCGAGACCGGATCGAGGAAAGGTAAGGGCAGTAATCTCGGATCGGCCTTCGAAGGCATCTTGTGGTGAAGACAGTATGCCCACTCTGTTTCTTGATCGCGAGTCCCAGAACTCGACTGTGCCTATCGACGTACCAAAGGCAAGCAGATTATGGCTGTCTTCGGCAATCGCACCTGTATTTACCGCACCAGCATCGATTCCCCCTTGTAGGGTTCCACTTCCGAGCTCATCACCTCCCACGTCGATGTCATAACTCCTCATGAAGCGCCCCACTTCCAAGTTTAGTCGGAAGGCCTCGCCCATGCCGTCAGCATTGACACCCACCGATGGCACCAGACATTCGGCAGATCTTCGGTCATATATCAAGTCTCTTCCGTAACGAGGTATGCGGCTCGTGTAGTGGAGATTGCCTGCGGTATGGAACTCAATCATGCGATCGGACTGCAGGTGGACGCTCTTGGTGTAGTCGCTCGACAGCAGGCGGAAGGTCTGGTTCAGGCTGTTTGTGTGGCGGGCAAAGGAAAGAGACAGATGGGGGAGGTAGTGGACGTGTATTTGCGGCTGTCTGTGTGTCAGTAGAGCGTGGCGTGCGTATGGCGCAAGTTGCGCACCTTGTATGTGCCTGTAGACATGACCCAATCGCCATCTTCGCTCACTCGCACACACTGACTGGCCTCTTCAAAGTCAAAATCCTGCAGCAGCTCCACGCGATTCGCAAACTCGGGGTCGTTTTTCAGGCTCCTAGTAGATGTCAGTATTGTATACGGCCAGTGGAAATGAGCAACTATGGGGGCGCACCGTTTCCTGCGGCGAATGAGCCACTCGGGCAGCGGACGGGCCTCACTACCGCTGATGGTGTACACGGGCACCGCAGAATTTGAAATCTTCATGACGACGGCGGCGGGTGCGGGGGAGTTTGGGGGGTCGAAGGGGAAAAGTGGACGTCGTGTGTGAGGCCGAGCATAAAAAAAAGTTCCATAGGGCTGAGCGATGGAACGGCTCAGACGCATGGACCCCCCACCCCTCCACCCTCCGCAGGGTACAGTGACACTAACCAGTACAGTAGGTATGTGCCTAGGAATAGCAAGTGCGACCCCGAATGGCCGGCAGACAGGCAGGAGCCAGCCAGCCAATCTCGTTGGCCCCTTCCCCAGAACCCAGAACCCAGAACCACGCCCAAGTACTCCGTAGGTAGAAAGGCACTTTCGGTAGTCCAGTCGCTCACACGGCAGACATCGTCAAGCAAACAACGCTCAGGCCGCGCGCGCCGGCTGCACCCGCCTCGCACCACTTCCCTCCCTCCCTCCCTCCTTCCTTCCCCCAAACCCCCACTCCTTCCCTCGAAACACTGACCGGCCGCGGTGTCATCTTCGAGAGAGGCAGGCGCCACCAGCACTCGCTACGCGTCGCCTATCGCCTATCGCCCGTCGCCCATCGCCCACCACCCACCACCCATCATCGCCCATCACCCATATCTATCCATCTATCCAGCGACGCATCTAAAGTATCTTGTCGGTCGCCCACCACCTATTATCTCCAGCGTTCTCGGGCCGTGCTGTCCCTCGACGTCGGCTCTTCTCGCGCGCTCATTTCTTCTTGGCCACCATAGTAGTCCCACGCCTCGGTCGGCCTAACATCAAATCGCCCTTTCCAACATCCTTTCCGGCGACGATGCTCCAGCACCAACCCACGCGACCCTACCATGCACGCGCCTTAGACAACATTGCCCCGCCAGAGCCATTCGCCTGCACCCATAGCTCTTAGTTTTACGCGACACGCGTCTGGCCGCACAGTGAGGTTGATGGAAAAGGTGTATAGTGCCATCTTGGGAGTGCTTATCCGTCGCGAATACCACCTCGGCGTTCCCTAGCCTTCCGCACAAGGCCAGCGTCTCTCTAATGGAATTTCTCAAGTCCTGTAGCACCAATGCGCAAGCTATAGTCCGCCTCGCCCCCACCTTCTTGGCCATGCGCCCTGCCTTGCTGACTCAACATAGGGAGACTTCGAAGCCATCGCATTTCAAGCCTTCTCTGTATCGCGCACTACCAACCAGACTAGCTCGAGAGACCGCGAATGGCCGGCTTCAGATGACATCCGCGCCGTGGAATCGAAGCTCCGACAAGCATCGCATTGGGTGACACAGGATGCTGCCCGACCGTGGCTGTGGCTGTTCAGGCCGGCTACGGTAGAAGATTCGGAGCAGGCAGCTTTCGAGCTACCAACAGTAGACGGCTATCAATGGCAACGTAGGATTTACTGAACGTCCTCTTGACATCTCACTGTACTGACACTCCGCCAGGTGAACAGGGGGGACGTATCAAGGCAGTGGAATTGGCTCGACCACCCATACGTACAGGGCAGCCAAGTCCCACGTCAGGCTCCGCGGCTCCCTCAACAACGTCAGCACCACAAAAAGGCTCACAGGTTGGAGGTGCGCGAGTTGCTCAAAGCCACAGCCAAGCTAACACTGCGGACCAGCAGCCGCCCGATTTCTTTACCATCTACGATCTGCTCATATCGTCTGTCATTGGTCTGATATCGTATACCCTAGTTAAAGATTGTAAAGTGGTTGCCTTGAACTACCGTACATTCATTTCGAGACCGTCAACCCTGAACACCCCTCAAGACACGCACGATCTCTCATCATCAGACTTACATTGGCTGACTAGCATATCTGCACACTGGACCAGCTCTGGGACTTTCTTGGTCTCTACCCTCACGCAAGGCAACCACAGCATCTGCTGCTTAGATCAAATTGAGCATGCAAGCCAACAAGAACAGCTCATCGGCAGGGTCATTAGAGTTGCCCCTAACGGTCTACTTGCGAGTATAGTAACGTTTGACGATCCCCTAGACACCATTGCTGTGGAAACCACTTCACGCCAGAAGAAAAGACCAAGGACAACTACCGTCGAGCAAAGCATAGCCAAGTGGAAATCCACTGTCATACGTTGGCTGGGCTGGAGAGGATTCCTTTTACCTGATCTCGAGAAGCGAGAGTCCTGGGTCAGAATTCGCACCACTCAGGCAACCCCTTTCTCCACGTCTAGTCTGAACTCTTCCAGCCATGAATGGGATATACTTTGGCCGCGAGCTCTCTGCTTTCTCTATACCCCAGATCGAGTAGAGGATACAATGGGTGACCCATTCAGCACAAGCATGTCTGAGCCCAGGAGCAGCGTCCTAAGGTGGTTTGAAACAGCCAGCTCACCTGGCTTCAAGGATCCTCTCGATGTCGCTCAGGAGTGGGCATTAGGTAAAGCCGATCGTGACAAGTTCCTGGAAGCGCAACGAAGAGCCAAAAAAGCCGAGGAAGAGGCTGTCCGCCGCAAAGATGAACAGGTTGGCCTATTTCCGACATCCCCTCTGAACACCCGTACTGGTGTGTACGGCGACATGCAGGCTGTAGGCGGAGTCTACCCTACACCGCCCGATGGCGTAGTTCCCCTTTCTGGCCCATCTCACAGCGATACTCCAAGCGTCTCGGGTGCTGTATCCAACGTTATACTTGCACCAGGTGGTAACAATCCGGCCATCAACCTTTCAGCGCCTCAGCATCACTCCCAAACGGAGATGCGGGAGCCTCTAACTTCACCGGCTTTCCCTGCCGCCCCCGACAATTTCAACACATCCAATGGGAATGATGACCTTTTTGGAGACATGGAAGAGGAGGGCTATGAGGGTGACAATATCAATGATGAAGATTTCGACTTTTTTGATGCGCCCGATGATGAAGACGTCGATATGCTGGATGCGCCGGAGATGCCAGGGAGCAAAGTAGCATCTGCAAAGGAACCTAGCACCCAGGATGCGCAGGTTGCACCAGCACCACAGATCAAGAAAGAAGAAGCGGATCCAAGTGCCGCTCTCGAGCATGCCCTCGCTACAGCGTCACAATCGAATCAGAGCGAATTGTCCACCAGCAACAAGACTGGCCAAGGTGCGCCTATCGCAGCCGATCCGGTAAACGCACGTACAACTACTACGAGGGAAAAGCCAATACAGCCGCCCAAGAAAGATGTGAAGACTGTGAAACGGGAAACTACATCTCCACCAATCACCGGTGGAACTGTACAGATTGTTCGGCTACATCCAAACAAAAAAGTGACGCTGCAGACTCGAAAGGAAGAGACATCTGATCATTCCCGTGACAGAGCTTTTGATCCATTACATTTTAGTCGCAAAATGAGCCTAGCAGACGCCAAATATGAAGACGGACGATTTGGTGTGGACCGTGAGAAAAACACAATCGCCGAGCGACGGGTCATTTCGAGATCAGCCGAGTCCAAGAATCTCGGGGGCATCCCTTTTATGACGAATCTTCGCCACGCTATCGGTGCTGCATCTACGGCCAGGATCCCAGAGATTACGGCATTGGCCAGAGCAGCAAGCGAAGATTCAGATTCATCGAGTGAGGACTCACAGGCCTCGGAGCACGAATCAACGGAAGAGCCTGAGGCAAGTCCCATGGCGTTCCTCAGTAGTCTCCACATGCCTGCGAAGAGGAAGTTGCCTACGGACGGTAACGCCACACCCATGTCTGTAACGTCTTTTGCAGAGTCGTGGGGTGGTGACTGGCATGACCTCCAAGGACTGCAACTCGACGAAGCCTATCTAGCGTCCCTTGAACCTAGCTCATGGGACTGGTCTTTGGTCTACTCGTCGCCCCCATCCGAACGCACGGTGCTCGGCGCTCGATTCAGTATGCCGGCTTTGCCACCGGCGATGCAGATGCCAGACACCCCGACCTCTCAGCCCGATCTTAGCCTCGAAATGTCAGATGAAAGATTGCTGAGTCTCAAGGACAGCATCATTATTACTCAGATTGTGACGGATCAAATCGTGTCGACTACGCTGGATATTCTCAATGAGGACACTCCAAATGAGACGAAATTCGCTACTCCGCCGTCGCTGGAAGTACGCTGGCACTCAGCCATCAAGAGCTTGTTCCCGGACGCTGTCGAATGCACGGTTCCTGCGCTTGCAGCCGTCAACGACGTTTTCCCTGACTTCCAAGCACAAGGCAAAGGCCAACAGAGACCGCCACCGAGAAAGCAGAATGAAGGTACAACAACTGGATGTCAGATGTTTCACATGAATCCGCCATTCTTACGAGTCCGCCGCGCTGATACTCATTGGGACCTGCTTCCGCCCGCAGTAGCTTTCTGGGAACATCTTGGACTGTCGCCTGCAAGCCCACCGAAAAACATTGTCAGTTTCTGTATCTATCCACACAGTGAGTCTCTCAGGCCATGTCTTGAGGGGTTCCTTCTCAATCTACAGCTTGCGTATGATAGCTGTAAGCTCGGCAGTCATGGCCGTATTGAGACTGTCGTGGAGTTCGAAGGTGGATTAGTCCCTTGCAAACTTACGAATCCAACATCGGAACGCGATGCCTTTAGGGCTTACAAAGATACCTGCGTCCAGCTTGGGAAGTTGCTGGCCATGCAATATCCCAAGATCCAGGAGCAACAGGAGGCCAAGATTGACGCCTTTGTTATCTACATGGTCGATCCTTTTGGCGGTCCATCCGCTTTGTGGGAGCTATGTCAGTCATTTTGGGCACTATTTCAAGCGTATGGACAAGGGCCCCCAGGTCGACCCGACCAATCTCAGAAACCGGATCTGGTACTGCAAGTGGTACCAATGAAGTACATTGCCTCATTTGATGCCCCCGTCATACTCGATCCGAGCACGTACATCAATCTTGCACGCGAGGTCTATGACCGCTGTCCTCCCAGTGCACCCAGCGGGGACAAGACATGCTTGAGCATATACACAGCTCCAGCATTCCAACTCGAGGAGACTATTCCGCGGAGCATACCCTTTAAACTTCTGTCCGAGCCTCCTCAGGATCTGCTTCGTGAGAATTGCTACATGCATCTCGGCTACGCCGTTAGTCTTGATGGCCTCTGGGTAACAGCTGCCTGGACCGATACCTGCGGGAAGTCGCAGACCGTTGTCTCATATCACCTTGGGACGCGCATGTTTGGTGAGATCGCCAAGGAAATCTGGCAAACCACCATTGAGATACTACAATCGCGCCGCGTTCATTGGCGCGTCTGCATTGCCAAAGCAGGTGTTATGGACAGAGAGGAATTAGAAACATGGGTGCTGTTGATTTCCTATCCCGCACAACTCAACCTCTTCATCACACTCCTCACCGTAGATACGGACGCACCTTTTAAGTTTACACCTACCGTACCTACTTCCCAAGCTCAAGCCGGTACCGCCACACCAGGCTCTACACCACAGCCAACCGTCTCCCCCGACCCAACCGCAAGTCTCACCCCCGCCGCCACACCATCCTCCCTGGATCCCTCCCTAGATCCCTCGCAAGACCCCGACGCCCGTCTCATCGATGTAACAGACGAAACATGGGGCATAACTCTCGGTCACCGTCTCCATAACTCCAATTCGACAAACCACTTCAGTCCCGCGCTCATCTCCGGTCTGCTAGTCAAACGCGGCACATCCTTTGCAACAAGCCATTCCATATCGCACCCGATCCCCGACCCAGAGCCCGGCCCCATCGTCATAGCAGTGAACATACTCTGGATCGGCGCAGTGGGAAGCAACACCACTCCCAGCGCCACCAACAATCCCAGCCACATCCCCAACTCCAACAATCCGAACAACGCCAGCACAAGCCGCACCTCCTCCCCCTTCCCCGCCTCCACAAACCCTTCCACCGACCCAGGAACACCGTCTTCCTCGCCCGCCTCGGCCCCGCCCTCGCCCAGTCCTGCCTCGGAGGCAGCAGGGCCGCGCAGCACGAGCAGTCTCATGTGGACGCCTACGCCACAGACGAGGAGTACAGCGGAGAATTTGCTCAAGGAGATTTTGGGTCAGTTTCGTGCGCTGGGGGTTTTGGCGCGCTTGAGGGGGATGAAGGGAACGAGGCATGGGAGTGTGCCATGGCATGTTGTTGCTGCTAAGAGAGGGGTGGAGGGGTTGGAGAGGGTTATGTGCTGTGGTAGTGGTGGGGTGGTAGCAGCTGGAGGGGCTGGAGGAGGGAGTGCAGGGGGGAGTGCAACTGGGAGTGTAGCTGGAGCGACATAGCATGGGTAGAGATGGTGTTTTCGTACATTGTTTTTATGTTTTTATGTTTCGTTACACTGGCGTTTTGGTCATTTTGGTTGTCGGCAAGAGCGTTTATGGCGTTGTGGTTGGACGGGTTGCAAAGCGGCGCTTTATGCTGTGGGAATCGGCATGTTATCATGGCCATCTTTTTTTGTTTTCGTTTTGTAATCTTCTACATGTAACCTGTTCTAGTCCCTCGGATACGATAGTTGATAATTACAATTACTAACTACCACAACGTGTCCTGTTTTTCGCGCCTCTGTTTATTGCTTTTTTTCATAAGCCAAGTACTAAACGTGTGATTTTCGACGGGTTTTTATATGGGATGTTGTACAGAGTGCAGCGCGGGGATTCATCTTGGTATTTAAGATACATATGGATACTGTGCGCGTAGCATGGCTTATTTAAAATAAGTGTCGCCTTTTCGCCATTTTATTTTATTTTACCGCCTTTTCTCTCCCGCATTACTTCCCTTGCAACCCTATTCAATACCCAAATGATCCACCCTCTTCTTAGCTTCCAGCCTACTCTGCTTCACCTCTCTAGCCTCACTGTCTTCGGTCCCCACGCTCCTTGTGCTGGTCTTGCGGTTGTGCTCGTGGGCTTGTGCGGCGCCGTGTGCGGATGCGGCAGCTTGGGCGTGTGCGGATGCAGAGGCTGGTGGGTGTTAGGGTGGGGTGGGAAGGGGAGGGGAGCGGGGGGGACGGGGTGAGGATAGACAGAGCCTGATATATCCCGGGTTCTCATATATGGGAATAAGGAAGGATTTTAAGGGTGGCAATACGGGATTGAAAGGAGGTCACGATAAAGACTTTATAATAATAAAGAGGACGAAAAATTACGTACCACGATCTACCTTCTCCCTCGTTGTCTCACTCGAGCCATCGGCGTTTTGCTTCGTGCCCTTTTTGCTGCTCGAGCTGAAAGCGCCGGAGAGGGCGCCGAGGAGGTTGAGATTGAGACCAGCCTGGGGGGTTGGTGGATGTGTTAGCTGGGTTTGAGATTGAGATTGAGGTTTGGTTGGATGGGAGGGATTGGCTATGTGCTGTAGTTGGGTTGGGGGAGGGGTTATCTGCGTTGAGAAATGCTCGAGGGCAGTACATAGAAAAAGGAGTTGTTGAAAACCAGCCAAGTAGAACATGGGGTCGGAATTAAAGCTCTCAAGCACGAATGACGGGTATAAAATGGCAGCGAAGAACCCAAATCATTCCCGTTTCATCCCAAGGAGTAGTGGAGACGTGGGGAAATAACGCGTGTTAAAATGAGGGTGTGATGGAGAGTAGAACATAGACATACAGATGCACTGGCACTTTTCCTACTTTCCTGCGTTTCTACATCCCGTGCTTCTGCGCATGAAGTTTGTACCTCGTGGGACTGGAGATCTTGTTTTGCGACGCTGGTGTCGGAGTGGTGGTGCTGGGCTTGTGCCATGGTTGCGAGACTGGGGTTTCAATTTTTTGGAGTTTTACGGATGGCTCTTTGGATTAAGGGGGTTAGGGTTGAAAGCGGAATGTGGTATGATCTTGATTTTTTTGGTATGGGTATTGGGCTGGTGAACTTGGTTGGGTACTTCGCACTTGTGCATAAGAGGGACATGATGTTGGGGATGTTGGAGATGACGTCATAGCGACAGGGGTGAACAGGTTTTGAGATGAATGTGGGAAGGAAAGGTTTCTGAGATCCTTGTAATTGACTTGAGTGGATTGGCCATGGATATATTGCCAAAAGAAGTATCTACAGCCGTATCAAAAAGTAGGAGCTGGGCTACACAAATGGCACTAATTGCAGAGTCTAGTGTAGCAGCACCTCCCTCAAATTATCATAGAAGCCGAGGTCGTACACATTCTCCACGGCAGCAAGACTCCATATTCTTTCAAAGCCATCTTCTTTTGCAACGGCCTTGATGCGACCCGGCAATCGTATTGGTGGCTGCCCGTCACCCGTGCGGACTAGAATGTGTCTGCTTTCCAGCGGCCAGGTTGTCGGTGGTTCCTCGTCTTCTGGTGGTGTTTCAGGGGGCGTTGGAACAGGAGATGTCGAAGACGAAGAATGCGTAGAACCGTAGATCTGACTGGGTCTGGCTGTAGGATATTGTTGCTGCATTGTGTCTTCTCTTCTGTGCCCTAAAAAGACAACACCATCAGCCATGTCATCACTCCAGTCAGCCCACTTGGCACTTTCGTTTGTGGTCATGCCCGCCCAGATAAGGTAGACGTGATATAGCAGAAGACCTAACGGAAGCGGCCAGGTAAGCAGTGCGAGAAGACCGACTCCCGCTATTTTTGGGCCGCCAACGTCGAGGTAGACGCTGGAATATGCGAGAAAATAGTGGCTCTTCACACTGAAGTAGGTCATCCAGCTCAAAGGGTCAGCGCCCTGTTTTGGCACGTACGTGTAGCCGGCCGCCCCTTTGGCAAATTTGGCAGCGACCTGAGGGGACAAGGTGATGTAAGCAAGATAAGCTCCGTATGCGATCAGTATGGCAGTGGACAGTAGAAGGATGAGGAACCACTTGTAGTTTCCACGGCCAAGACAGTTGTTCACCCAAATACAGTGATGATCCATTCGGGAGACGCAGGTTTTGCATATACTGCAGTGTTTACTTCGCGCTGGCTTCAGAAACTTGCATGTCCGGCACTCCACACCAGGATAGTAGAGGATTCTATCATAGGGGTAGTGGCGCATCTGCTCTGCGTGGTTGAACGCGGTGATGTATGTCTCGGTGTTCTTTTTAGCGCTCAGATAGACAAAGAGGTATGGCTGGGGTAGCAGGAAGAATGCGATGCATTTGTGGTGTAGTTGCAGATGGCGCCAGACAGTGGGGAGGAACATGCTTGCACATGCAGTTACGAGACCGAGGAAGAAGATGATGACAACTGGGTGCTTGTCGTACATGAGGTAGTGGCCCAGACGGGAACCACTGTCGGTGATGCGGCCATTGGTGAGTTTAGCATCGACTTGTCGAAGCACGGATGGGATGCGAATGAGGAAGAGGCTGTTGAGGAAGCCAATCGGCGTGTTTCTGCAGACTGTTAGTATAGAGTTTAAAATTGAAGGGAGTTTGCTTACCTGAACGCAGGCAATCGGCCGAAGAAGGCAACAAATGTCAGAAAAGAAACACTGATGGTGAAGAGGATGATGGTGCGGGCAGGCGTCATGGTGGAGAAGGTGTGGCCTGCAGTCACTGCATAATAAAAAGGCACTTTCACAAATCCAAGCACAACATGATCTTGAACACTTGAACAAATGCGGTGTACTCTTGGGATTACGAATGATTCTTTCTTTGGCGCATGGGTTGTAACTTGTTGCTGGTAGAAGGACAGTACCGGTACCGTAGTTGGCCCTGCCGCGGCCGCTACCGTAGTTACCGGTGATCTACCGGTACCGTAGCTGGGGACCCCGGACAGCACGCGTTGAACGTCTGGGCGCGGCGCGTCATCTCGTGCACAGCTGGACCACGATCCACAAGGTAACATGGCGGCGCCCACTATATATAATGACGTTGCGGACGATCTCAACATAGGAGGTCAGCTTTTTGCAGGCAAGAAGTTCTTCGTCGTGCAACGCGTCCCTTCGCGTCACCGATTGCTGGACGACATCAAGGCGAATGGCGGCGAGATTGTTACGCTGGAGAAGAATGCGGATTATATCATCGCAGACCATCTTCTCCCCAAGTTCTGCCCGGCTGGCGCTATTTCGTACGAATTCGTGGACAAGTCGATCCAGGATGGAGTGCTTCGCGATCCGGAAGACCATCCAGCTGGACCACGACTGGGCGAAGCGCGTGAGCCTGGGGCCATCAACTGGCTTGCCAAGGCTGGCAGGAAAGCATACACGGCGGAAGACGATCGCATGCTGTACAAATGGGTACGTGACTGTGAAGCTAATGGCCAATTGTCCTCCGGGAACGAAATCTACAAGCGCCTGGAAGCAGAGGTATGCAGAGACAAACCGCATGGCCAAGTTCTGAGACTTATACAGACTAGCATCCAAACCATACCTGGCAGTCATGGCGCGACCGATACATTAAGAGACTCAAGAATAGGCCTCCGTCTGCATTCAATGGTTTCGACAACACACCACCGTCGCCGCGCTCAGATCCGTCAAACCAGCATGCACCTCCTGAAGCTTCTTCCTCGAGGCCTACACAGCAACCCGCACATGATGGTATAGTTGGAAAGGCCAGGACCAAGGATGAGTACAGCCTTGAGGATCTCGCTAGACTCTTCAGCACTGTGGATTGGGAGGAATTATATGCCTTTGTGGACCTCATCGAGAGTACATCCATTGATAAACGTTCCGGAGCTTGGACTGCCTGGGCTGCTTCGCAAGACAAACAGACAGTAGAGCAGTGGCTCCAATACTACGAGAAAGTGGTCCGCCCGCAATGGGAGCGCGATCCTGAGTGGAAGAGACAGCAAATCAAGAAAAAGGTCGAGGAAAAGTACAAGCAGGATGACAGTCAAAGCGAGGATGCAAGCCAACAACAGCGAGAGTCCCAGACAATCAAAGGGGAAGCGACCACAGCACAGGAACAGCCGCCCCGTGCTGCTGACCGCGTATCATCAAACGCAAAAAGTACATCTGAAGAACCACTGCAGGACGTACAAAAGTCAGCAAATGCGGAGGTTGGCAAGTCTGAACAAGTTCTTCTTACCAAGCAGAGCCACTCTACAGCAGCTGCTTACATTTATTATGTTCGAGCAATGGAATCATCAGTCCGGACTGCACAACCGGATCTAGATCATAGTGGGTGAATCTTAATCAGCTTCCGTATATATCGCTGATTCCGTCTAGCTGAACTGCATAGAGTGCTCATGAGGCAGTGGACGTCACTCTCAGACGAAGAAAAGGCGCCATACATCGCTATGGACGAAAGAGCCAAGACACATAGAGCGAAGGAGATTGCCAAATTTGCCAAGACACCCTCGGAAATCAAACTAATGTCTTCGTCAACCACTCGTCACGAGTCTCCGATAGTCTTAAAGCAGACGTACGAGACAGCTATGAAGCGTGTGCGTAGTCATGGTGCCATCGAAGAACATAAAAATGAGACTGAAGAAATCGTGCGTCCTAGTAAACGACGAAGGAGTGATGGCGCAATCCTTAATGTGGGCCAGAAGGCGGCTCTTTCAGGTACACCAGAGCAGCCGCTAGAACTATCCTCGCAGTACTCAGAGACGTCTGATTCAAGAAACACAGAAGACAGAATCGAGGAACAAATTGTATCTGATATGGCCTATGCGCAAGATTCTGGGTCACCTTTCAAAAACGAGGACCTACACGACCCAGACATTGCGACTGAAAGCATCGAGTCGGATGAGTCCATCAACATAGATGACCAGACTCTCCTTCCAGACGATACGGAAGAAGACACTCCCGTGAACTCGCCCACTCCTCGCGCCTCCCGCTACCAGAAAAGCCTTTACGACACGCAAACCATACTCTCCTCCCCTACCCGAGATGTCTCCACCCAAGACCCTCTGCCTCAAGAGCCAATCCGCAAAAACAAGATTGAGGCCGAAGCCGATCCCCGCTCCAGTTCCCCACTCGCCCATCACATCTCTGACGTCTCAACACCCCCCTCGATACAAGAATTCCGCCGCTCCCTCAACAATGAAGATCATACCCATCTCTTCTACCCCGAAACCCGTCCATCCACCTCCCCAGCCCCATCATCCACCTCCTCCACCGGCTCTGGCGATCCTGATCCCCCCCTCACCGCCGCAGAACTCGACCTCTTCTTTCAAGAACAATACGAAGAAGGTTTCGGCAACGATTTCATCACTACAGCGCTCAAACGCACCCGTATGCGTCCTATGTTGGCAATTGAGGTATTGGAGGCGTGGGCGCAGGGTAAGCCGTTGCCTGATAAGAGAGGGATATGGACGGCGAGCGATGACGAGGATGTGGAGAGTGGGGATGGGGTCGCGCTTGATCGGTTAGCGAGGAAGCATAGTGTTGATGGGTGGGGTGGGATTACGGAACGCATGGTGTTTTTGGAGGGATATAGGAGTCGGTAGGGATGGTGTGGAGTATAGGCACGGTGAGGACGGATGGAAGTCTTGCGTAGTTCAGGGGTCCAGATACACACTTTTCGTGAATTCTCATTATGGATACAAGTACCGTCTAACAGGCGGGAGATTCTTCGAACTGGTGTTTTGTTTTTAACAGTTGAGCTCTCGGCCGTGTTGATAAAACAACGCTATGCCGAAGCACTTCTGGCATGCCACAATTCCCGAATGAGTTAACCAAGCATGGCAATTTATTGCTTCCGTCACTGAAACTGTTGCCTGTTTGCCCCATTATAGATGTGAAAAAAGCGAACAGCCGTACAAGTCTGCCTAAATGAAAAATCCTTGCTGGATGGTTGCTCACTGACATGATGACGCCAATTTTGCATTCACTTTCACTTCCCGTCGCCTTTCCCACTCCCTCTAACCCCTACAGCCAAACACATCCCTCCTGATTCCACTTCCACTTCTTCCGCACAACGCCCCCAAACCACCCTCACCATCCAACCCCACACACACAGCCACAAACACACACTCAAATGGCCACCCCACCCCCCCCCCCCCCCCCCAACGCCCATGCCCATGCTCATGCCCCAACACCCTCCTTTCTCACCTTCCCCCCGCCACTCCAACGCTCTCCAACCTCGCCGCCACCACCATCCTCCTCGCCACACTCACCACCCTAAATCTCCACATCTACGCCCTCAAAGTAATTTTTTGTATGACGCTCCTGCTTCTCTGGTTTATTCTCCATGTGCTTCTGGCTCTTCTGGCGCTGGTGGGAGCGTAGGAGGATGCGTGGGAGCGAGGGAGTGATGGGGCGCGGAGATATGGGGATAGCCCTGTGAGGGTTTGGGGGGGGGTAGGGAGGTTACCTACCTTACTATACCTCCCGGCTTTCTCTAGCCCACTTGGAAGAGAACAAGCAATCTGACTAGATAGTGGGCCCACCAGGGGAATTGCTCAAGGGATGA